TATCCTGTCTTTTTTTCAAATCAATAATCAATGGCTGTTTACGTTTTATTTTTTTTCAGTTTCCTGGTTTCAGCTGTTTTTCTTTCAGCACGTATTCACATTCCGAACATCTCGAATTAAATGGAACAAAACTGAACCGAATATGTACGTCTTGTTTGTTTGTTTATTTATTTATCCACAAATAAATAAAGCGATAGATAAGCGATTTGAGACGGTTAAAAGAGTAAACAAAAACATTTTTCAATCAATCAATCAATGGTCATCAATATATGCAATGTGATAATTTCGGTCGCTAGATTTCCAATCCAAGTTTATTCACTGTATCCATTGAATGACAAATTGATTTTTTAAAAAAAAATTCATTTCCATTACACATTAATTGATTATTTTATTTATTTGAAAAAAAAGAAAAATGATGATAACAGGTGTTAAAAAGCGAAAGAGTAAGCTCTTCAATGAATGAAAATTAAAATATTTTCAACGGTTAATCATCGTCGGACAAAAAGTGTGATAATAATCTTTCGTTTTTTTCAAGATAATATCTCTCTCTCTCTCTCTATTTCTTGCTTTAATCTACCAGTCATCATCATCATCTTCGAATCGATAATCATTGATCTGAGCACACACAATGTTTTCTCGATCAATCGATTACGTTTGTGGCTCTAATAGCCTGAAAGCCTATGATCTAATCTATTATCTAGATTTTTAAAAAAAATTAAAACTTATTTTTTGAGTTTTTGGAAATTCGTGATTTAAACCAGCAACAAAAGCAACAACAATAACAAAAATAACGATTTCAATTCAACAAATCCATCAGAAGTTCCTGAAATTAACTATTTTATGTGATGATGATGATGATGATAATCAGGGATTATGATGATCCATAATAATAATGGATAATCTAAAAATCATGAAATGAAATTTTTCCACTTTCAACTACGATAATCATCATTATCATAACTCATTAACTCATTCTCATTGATGATTATGCAATATTAAAAAATCTAGACGATGTTGAAAAAATTTAGTAATTTTATTATTTTCTTCATCAAATTGAATATGTAATATGTAATGAAATGAAATAAAATTAAGTTTGAAAAATGAATTCGTTGGTCAATCTGGATCATCAATGTTGATGACAAAATTTTTAAAACACAAAACATGTGCGCCATCTATGGCCACAATTTGTTAAAAGAAAAATTTGAACAATTTTTTTCAACATTTCAGCAAAGCAATATTCTGACATTGTCATTGTTTTTTCATTTCTTTTTTTTTTGCTGAAAAAAATGATTTTCAACAAATCAAACAAATAAAGAGACAAAAAAAAAAATAATGAGAATCCTTGAAAATAAACACAATATAATTTTTGCAATTTGCATTTGGCTCATTTGCATGTTCATTTGTTTGTTCAAAAAATGATGAAATTTGGTCATTTGGTAATTTACACAAAGAACACGCTTTTTTATGATTATTGATGATGTTGTAAAAATAAAGAAAGAAAGACTGGACAACAAAACAACTTGATGCAACTGATCGATCATCATGTATTACATAAATAAAGAAAATCGCAACGCGATTGCTTACCAATACATTACTGCAATTTTTGTTGATGAAATCGATAATGATGATGATGATTGTGTCATTAGACGGCAAGTGATCAACAAGCAAAAACGAAAAAAGAAAATTCAGTCCGATTCAACCAAAGTATCATTAAAAATTCATTTCATTTTTTAAAAAAAATAATCAAAAAAAAAAAATTTTCGATTGAGTCATAAAAAACAAACAAAACAATTTCAATTTCAACTTCAATTTCGTTGCTGTTGATGTTGATGTTTTATTGCCCCACCGAAACACAGAAACGAATGATAATTGCATCAATTCAAATTTGATTGGAAAAAGAATTTCATTCACACTGATGATGATGATGATGGGGGTGGATGTGGTAATTAGCTGGAATGGCACACCTGAAATTGTGTAACATTTAGAAAAACATTTCAAACACGCAAACATGTTGATGTTTGGCAATTCAAATGTTGAAAATTTTTTCAATCAAAAAAAATGATTCATTGAAGAAGAACTTGATTCAGTGGCACACTTGATTGCAACAGGATAATTTATCGAATTAATTTACCATTTTTTTCCATTATTCACTAGGAAAAAACCTAGTTTTCAAATTACACAATTAATAGTTGAAAGTCATCATGATTTTACATGCACACACTGTGAATACAGGTTAATCTACACAAATCACCAATAACAAACAAACAAACACACTCACACACAGAGACAGACTGAATTGATTATTTTGAGTGTGGCACCATTATTTTGTAATAATAAATACATGTTGACCATCATTACCATCATCAACATTAGTATCGGAATTGTATGTGTAAAATTTGAATGATGGACGACATTTTTGTTGACCACCATTGATCATCATTCAATTTGAATGACGATGAAAAACGTGTTGATTTAGATAACAATGCAATGATTAAAACAACAAACATGACGATAATATGAAAAGCCATATTGAGTGAAACGGCACTTGTTGATTATCACAGGCTATCAGATGCATTTTACAGTGTTACTCCGGACTACCTACCGGGTAAACAAATTCATCATCAAATTAAAATAATGTAACAAAATTAATCAAAAAAAAACCGGAGACCTCACGATTACGACATAATCGCCATCATCATCATTTGGTTACACAATCACCTTTAATGTCAATACACACACACACACACACACACACAGTAGCCAACAACAACAACAAGTATGTCGTTTTCTTTCTTTCTTTTCTTTTCTTTTCTTTTTGGTTTCAAATTTTTTCTATTTTAGAAATTATTATTATTTCGTTTTTTTTCTTTGTTTTGTTCAATCGTTTGTGATGATGATGATGATGATGACCTGTTTCAGACGACAACAACAACAACAAAAACTTGGCTCTCTTTTCTTAAAACATTTTTCTTTCTCTATTTCTATTTCTATCTCTCTCTCTCTCTTTCGAAATCAAATCATTTTTTCTGTATCACACATTCTTGGATCATTTAGTTCGTTGTCTCTGTCACACACATAGATACTGTGTGTATTCTGTCCGAATATCTAACCACCACACAAATCATCAACTACACTCATCAAATCAGAAAAAGTTTGAAAAAGAAAAATTCATTTATTTTGATTTTTCTTCTGTTCAATCAATTTTGAATCATTTGATTTGCCACACACACACACACACACAGACACAAATTTGTTATTATTTCACATTTGGCGCCAATAATGACGAGGTGCTCTTTTTACCATTTTTTTTCTCCTTGCTGCTGTTTTACCGATTTCGGTGTTATTGTCTTCTTTATATTACAGCCAAAATAACGAGAAAACAAAAAATAAAACAATCTTTTCGTGTGTGTGTGTGTGTGTGTGCATGGTTGATTGTTTTCATTCATTCAACCAATAAGGTCGTATATACCAATAATGGTTACGGTCGTACGGTTTTTATTCTTTCTTTCTTTCTCTCTCGGCTTTTTTTCAATTCAATTCAAAATCAATCTTGACTAAAAATTTGGGAAATTTTTTCATCTTTGGAAAAGAGAAAATTCGAGTTTTGTACAATTCACAGAGACCAAACAAATTTGAAACCGGAATTCTGTAATGTTTTTTTTTTGTTCGGTGCTGATTTACGGCTACACATCCTAAACACTAATTGGCTAATTTGAATATTTTCACCTTTTGATTGATTAATGGTTTGTTTTTGTTTTTCGTTAACAGATAATTACACACACACACACACAATAACATTGATTTGAATCTTTGGATTTTTTTTTCAAGCCCTTGACCATCACCATTGAATGTAGTAGAAAGCAAAGCAACAACAACAAGTCAATCCTCAATGTTTTTTTTTGTTAAGATTGTAGGGCGTCAAAAGCCAAAGGCTCAAATTAGTTGATAAATTTTAATGAAAACAAAAAATTCAAAACTGAATTAAAACATTTTGACCATACACATGCTGAGATAAAAATCTTTCCCTCGAGGAGACGTTTTTTTGCTGTGAAAATGGAAAAAACGTTATTAAGTTTCTCGTTGTAGGTGAGGGCGAAAGCACGTACAGGCACGAGTGCAACATTTTTTTTATTATCGATCGCTGAAACAAAACAAAACGAAAAAGTCACGTTATTGTAACATATTTTTTTCTGTTCCATCCAAATGAAAGTGATGAGGATTGTCAAAATGAATGATGCCAACAACAACAACAACAACAACGTTATTACACAACAAAAATATTGCAAAATGTTCGTACAACGCGGTGTAACGGTTGATCCATGATGATGATGATGATGATGATGATCCATTATCCACAACCACGCAATCCAGTATAATTTTTCATTCAACTTTTTTTTGAAAGGAAAAAATTATTCACACACAAACTGTTGTTGTTATGCAACTAGTTATCAACAAAAAAATGAATTTTTTTTTGATATAAAATTGGTAAATAAGAATTTTCAAATGACACCAAACTACAAACAGAAAAATATTTCAACTGAATTATTTTCTTTTATGTAAAATTTCTTGTGTGAAAAATTTCAAAATCATTATCAATAACAATGGTGATGAATGATGGTGATCTAATTTCAAAATTAATTAGATTAGGTTAATTTAAATTAATTTTAGAGAAAGATAGAGAGAGATAGCCTACAAAAATCTTCAACAACAACAAAAAAAAAACCGAAAAAAACAAAACCAGGTAATAAGAATGAGAAATAGGTTGACCTCGAACACAATATAAATTGTGGCGATTTCAACATACACACACACAGAGAGAGCTTGTTTGGCTGTCCATGTTTATTTGATGATGATGATCATTGATCCATGGTTTACAATCAACCGATAAATCGACTAAGCAAAAAATACAGAAACACCAAATTTTGCCAAAAGAAAAAATGAAAACTGGGAAATGGTGAAAATTGATTCATGAAAAAAACAGAAAAAATTATGCAACATACTTTTCTCAAAAAATGACCAGGCGTAGTAGGTTATCGAGAGATTGGTATACTTGAAGATGACAAATTTCGGTGGGTATAAACGGCTTGTTGTTGGATAAATTAAGTTTGAATTAAATAAACAGAGAAAAAGAGATTCACACACAGAATAGAAATTATCAAATGATACTTTTTTTCATGATCGATCAAACACAAATACACACAGACATGGCACACACTTCAACGAATAAAAAAGTTGAAATGATATAAAATATATAAAACACACACGGTGAAATGGCGAAAAAACTAAAACTTTCACTTTTTTTAAAGCCCGAAGGAGAAATATATGATTGTGACCATCCATACACACACACACACACACATACACACGAAACCATCATCATCATCATCATATGTAACATCGATAACATAACATTAAATAAGATTTTCGGATTTGAAGAGACCAACGACAACGACAACAAGCACAGCATTTAGCAATGGTTTTCTTTGTTGAGCTTAGTGTTGATATGATAAACTAAATATTTTTTGAGAAACGAAGCTGACCATCATCATCATCATCATTATTATTATGTATATGGATGATGTTGGGATTTTGCCTACTCATCATCATTACATCTGATTACTTGCTCATAGAGATTATATTAGAGGCCTGTTCAGATTGATTCTCTTTTTCAGAGAAAAAATAAATCTTGAACTTCATTTTTTATCAAACTCCAATCATAATAATAAGTGGATGTTAATTTGTTTTCGGCTTGTTACTTGTTTGTTTGTTGTTTGTGACCTTTCCTCTCATTGCAATCGAGATTAAAAGTTTTTTTGGCACGAAAAAAATAAGTAAATTTTTTTTTTTTTCGCCAATATTATTTGACAATGAATAGTATATATTAGATTATTGGGTCAAGAATCGATGATGATAATTCTTCATGATGACCATGATCTTTTGACATTGAACCTTTGTACTGGTGATTATCATAACTTTACAGCCAAACATACAGTGTAATTAGTAGTAGTAGGTATACAATGTTTCTATTTATTTATTCCAGCAAATCAAAAAAAAAAAGAAAGACAATCAACAAACAAACAAAAAAGTTTTAAAAATAAAAAAAAAAAAAAAAAATGGAAAATCCAATCAATGCTTCTGTTGTTTTTTCCGAAATAAAAAACGAATCCATTGATGAATTGTTGGTAATTCGATGAAAAATGTGGTTTGTTGTTTTGTGTTTTAGAAAAAATAATGCATCGCATTCAATAATGATTCAAAATGTTCACGTTCGGTTATTGGCCAAAATGGTAATTCAAGCTACGAATGAAAATTGAAAATTGAAAATTTCGAATTAATTTTCTGTTTCGATGAAATTATTTTTACCTTTTGCGATAATTGTTGTTCATCGGAACCTTTTCCCACCACTATATAGGTACAATTGGATCCAAAACGATTCAGAACACGATTCAACGTATGTTCTTTGCCTGCGAATGAGAGTGAGTAAATAAAATTTTACAAATCAATAAATCAACTCACTTGTTTTTGCACAACTATAAACATTTCCAATGGAAAAATAGGATCCAAGTTGAAATATCAACAATTTCGTTAACGTATAGATTAATGGCGATGATGAAACCAATACATTGAGACAATTTGATCTATGATAAAGACAGAAAATTAATGATAAACAAAATTTGATCCAATTTCAATTTCACTGACCTTGTTTTGATGAATGACAATGCTTTGATTGCTGGATGTATCCAATTCTTACTGAACAAGTCAAAACGTTTGATTAGATCTTGTAAATGTTCATAATCATCTTTGTCCATTAAGTCTGACCAATCACAATTGATTAAACGGCAAAAATAAGCAAAACAAAAAAAACAAACAAACAAAAAATTAGATCATCAACTAATACTAATACAAAATTCTACATAATCATATTCATTAGCAAAATGAAATCTATGTCAATCACTTTTTTTCATTAATTAATTTTTTTTTAACAACAGATTTGTATATCAATCTTTGAATTTGATGAAATTGAATTCAAATTCAAATTTTCTCTTTTGAAATCAATTTCGTAATCCTGTGAAATTGTTTTTCAAAATCAACCATTTACCTTCAAGTTTATCGCAATAATTTGAATAAATTTCATTTATTTTTCTATACCGTAACGCCATCTTTTGTCGAAGATCGCCACCACCATTGTTTAATATAATTGAATTACATGAAACGGATGTTTTAAAACCATCGGCTTGAAAATTATAATTGCTACACAATGTGAAGAGATGGAAGAGGAACAAGATTCAGATGAAGAGAGGGAAAAATTGCCATTCACATTTACCTTAAATCCTGCCCGTTATCATCGGCAGCTGAATCATCAATATGTGATTGATCAATATCCTTGATTGAAAAAAGGAAAAAAACCAGTTTCGAAAAAAAATTTAAATTCAAATTCAAATGTCAAATGTCAATCGACTACATACCTTGAGATCGGATAGAAATAAATATTTTTCAGCAAATTTATTGATAAAAATGAATATTTCATTATACAATGATGCTGTCAACGTATCCTAGTGGGAAGAGAGAGAGATGAAATTTAAATCAAATCAAATCAAATTAAAATTAAAGTTAAACTTAAATTAATTATCACGAAAATCATCATCAGTGAAAAAATGCCAAGGCAAATGATGATGTTATCAGAAATTGAAAAACGAAAAAAATAGCTAAATTGTCTACGCTGAAAAAAGTCATGACAATAAATCATCATCATAGAGATAAGTCTTGTGAGAGATGATTTGCTGTTGCTGCTGCGTTTGTCAACTTTTTTTTTCTAAAATGTCACCATAATCATTTTGAACGATTAATAATAATTTTCTCATTGTGGATGTATGAGAAACTTGAATTTCATTTCATTTCATTTCATTTCATTTTTTTCATTTTTTCGTCGGAGATTTTTTTCAAAACTCACATTAAATCCAGTGAAACGATTATATTCGGAAACAGTCAAATATGAAAGGATAGTTTCATCAATGTACCAGATGAATATCCGATCGATATTATTTTCCGGTGATGATGGTGATGATGATGATGGTGGTTGTATCATTTGTGATCGTCGTGAACGTCCACGTCCAGTTCGTTTAGCCTTTTTAATCGGTGGTAATTGGTGGTTTGGTGGCGATACATTTTTATGAACATTTAACGTATATAGATCTCCATCATTATTTTCATTCATACGATTGATGTTGCATAAGTTTGTTAAATATGTTTCTACGAATCAAATGCGAATCAATAAATCGACAATCTGGAAAAATGTTTTTTTTTACCTGAAGATTGATATTGCAATCCACTATTAGTATCATCGTTTGTATTATTAACCCCGGTATTTTCATTGTTCGAATCGATTGTTGAAGATGTTGCTGCAGTCGATGATGATGTTTGATGATTGATAGTCGAATTATTCTGTTGTAGTGGTGGTGGTGGTGGTGGTGGCAAGGATGTTATCGTTGTGAATGGTGAATATGATGTTGGATAATTTCCTGAACAAGCAATGTATGGATATGATGAACCGGATGTATGGACAGCAGCGGCAGCGGCGGCAGCAGCAGCAGCAGCTGCAGCGGCTGCTGCCGATGCAGATGAGTTTGTCGTTTGATTATTATATCCATTTGTAGATACGCCATTGCCATTATTTGCACCGGAAATAGTAGCAGTATTACTATTATTATAATCAAAGTGATTTACAGTGGGCCCCATGTTAGTTGGTGGTGAATTTGTGCCCGTCATATAGGCGCTATAATGATCTTTGTTTTGAGGAGAAATATAAAGAATTTTTTCATGAAAAATGGTGATACTTACTATGTGAATAAGGATTTGTTCCATTGATTGATGGTTGTTGTACCGTATGATGATGATGCGGATGATGAGAATGTGGATGGTGCGTATGATTAGCTGTGAATGCCGTTGTAAATGATTGATGTAAATGATGTGATTGTGGAAAATAATTTGTTGCCGATACAAATGATGGCGATGACGAAGATGATGATGCTGGTTGTAATGATTGCAATTGACCATTAGTGGTGGTGGTCATTTTGGATTGATTATGATGATTCGAATGATGATGATGACCATTTAGACCATTTGGTAGATTTGTCGTTGTTTGTGTTGTTGTATTACGTGGACTATTGCTATTTCCATATGACGATGAGGAAATAACACCACCACCACTTCCATATGAATGATGTGAATTCTGTGTGGTGGTGAAATAATTAAATGGCGACGTTGACTGGCCAGTATTGAATGGTGGTAATTGGTAAGCATTCATTCTGGCAGAATTTATTTGCTAAATATAAATTATTCAAAGGAAAAAACCTATAAATTAACAAAAGAAAAGAAATGAATTTATTGATTAATCTTCAGAAACATGACACGACACTATAATAAATACGTGAAGATAATTTTTTGCGGTAACAATCATTTGTAGAACAAAATGTTTTCAGAAACAAAAAGTTTTCATTGTTCAAATTCTAAAAATCAAATCATCAAACGATCGATTGATCGATCGAACGAGGCATCAAGCCATTCACACTTTTTGGCTCGCTCCAACTCGTAACAATAATAAGAAAAAAATTTTTGATTTGATAAAAAAATCAATCAAAGATTGGCTTTTATCATATCATTCATTCATCGATCGATCGTAAGTTTTGACGATTTATCGATTATTTATGTGATGTGATAACATAACGTTGTTTTGATTTCTAAAATCAATCAAATAAAGCACAGTAACAAGGAAAAATCGGATTTTTTTGCGGAGTTGAATCAGTGAAAAAAAAGTCCAGAAAAAACACTACTTTGTCATATGCAAAATTCATTCTCAGAAATCTGGTTCCACGACAAAAAGACATATGGATTTTGCCATACGAGAAAAAACTCGTAAAAATCGTTCAACAAGTCAAAAGGTCGATCTTTGGTGGTGGTTCTTCTGTGCCAAACACCAACCAACCAGAGAAAAAAGAATTACCAAAAATGCTGATGTGGTGGTGGGAAAAAACCACTTGTGAATCGACGATGACGATGGTGGAAAATATAGTCCACCATATAAAAAAAAAGTCCAGACCACCACCAATCGACTTGAACATTTTTTTTTTTGATTTGACATATCTTTGATGGTCAAAAGGAAAAAAAAAATTTCGTAAACGACCCGAACCGAACCAAAAAAAAACCATCATCGTCATCATCGAAGCAAATTTAATTAGTGGCACATGTGACACATTTCAATTTTTTCAGGCTGATGAGAAATGGACACTTTGTTCGGCCACAAGTGTTCGAGAGAGTGAAAGAGAAATGTGTCTTTAATGTGTGTTTGAGCCGACGATTGTGAAAAATGTGACACACATGTGACCAAAAGACGAAGAAGAATATTTCAATTCAATCAATTAATTTCAACAAAAATTATTCAAACTCAAAAATCAAATTTGCACCGAAATTCACTTTGAAAAACAAGGAAAAACACTTACAGATTCAATATAATTCTGCTATTTGGGATGAGAATATGTTTGTTGGCGTTGAACAAAAAAAATTTTGTCTTCAATTCACAAGTTGAATGAACAAAAAAACTTTTCACAAAATCATTGAAATGATAATAATAACGGAAAAACACTGTGGCATTTATTTAATGATTTTTATAAGCAGTAGAAATATTGTCTGGAATCCATCGACTTACGGTCGATGATGATGATGATAATATGATGATGATGATGGCTATATAATAATCAAGCAACGGCAGAAACCAGAAAAAACATGTACAGTTAACAGGCTGGTTTTATTTCTGGTTTTTTTGCGTGTGTGTGTTTGATATGGTTTTTTTATTTCATATATAAAGTGCTCTACATATAGAATGTGGATAAATGTTATATTTTTTTTTTGGTGCGAGCATTGAACATTGTATTAACCAGAAAACAAGAAAACGACATGAAATAGAGAGAGGCAGGCATATTACTATTTAACCACGCCTTTGATTTTATATAAAAATCAACTAAATTTAGGACGTACACACAACGTATCAACCAGCAGACCAACCAAACCAGAACCATATATTCCTCCAATCCAATCCAATTGAATTCAATTCGAATCTCGATTGTTAACCAGAAAAAAATAGAATAGCTGTAATTAGACAACATAACATGCGCCACAGATTCATTGTGTGCGTTTGTGAAAAATTTTGCTTTGTTTGCGAAAAATGACAATAATTTAGTCTTATTCCATCGGATGTCATTTTCTCAAGGGCCAAAGCTTTGCTGAATGAAAATAAAAGATTTTTTTTCTCGGAAGAAAACCAAACACAAAAACAAAAATCAACAACAAGCAATCACACATCGTGTGACATGAAGATCAACCATCAAGCAGCTAAATGAACAACAAAACAGTACATTGAAAGTGACATCCAATTTCACATTTCGGTTCGGATTCTTCTTTTCTTTTCAATTTAATTGATCATAATTGATTGATGATGATGAAACCTTATCAGATCATCAGTGTGTATAATTCAAACAGAAAGTGAAAGAAAGTGAAAAAGACAAACACATTTTGACAACTTAATTGGCCAATTTAATCGAAAACCAATGGAAGATTCCACATTCTAGCGGAAAATCCTGGTTATCAAACAGAATGAAAGCACTTGCTTGCTTTAAGTTTTCAAAATTACTACGCAAACAAAACGGGTTTTGTTCGGTTTGCCTATGTGCCTAATTCGAGTCAATGAAAAATATTTCAAATCGAAACGAAAAAACGAATAAAAATCAAATAGCCGAACAACAACAATAACCCAAAGAGGATTAGCCTAGTTTAGCTTTTGGAAAAGATGGATTGGCATGGATAAATCAAACAACAAGGGCCGAAAAAAAAACTGAAATGGAACAAACAAACAACAAAAAGTCTATTAGTGGATGGAATGGTTTTGTTGGTTGATCCTACAGCTCTCCAAAAATACATACAAAGACCATTCTCGAAGAGAGAACAAAAGCGAAAATGGAAAAACAAACAAATCGAAAGAGGAAAAAAAGAAGAACAATGGTGGAGAACAAAAAACCATTTTTTGCTGGTTCCATAGAAACAAAATAAAATGAATGAATGAATGAACGAATGAAAAAAAATCTAGACGAAAATTTCATATAAATGAAAGCTTTTGGTAAGCTGATCACATAGGGTCCTGACACAATATAATGGATGGTAATGGCGGTTGGTTGGTTGGCTGTTTGTAACCCGAATCCTCGATGAATTTGAATGGCTTCAAAAAAATGAACGACAATTGTGTAAACATAATAATAACGATAACAACATTGGGCTCAATAAACTATGTACATGTGTAGAATATAGATCCAGAAGCTAATCAACATTTTTTCATCCGTCTAGTTCCAAGATGATGATGTTTTGTGTGTCCGGTTTGTCCGTTTCTTAGTCGTTTTTATCAAATTCCAATCCAGTAAAAAATTTCATTTTTGTCGCCAGACACATCAATCCTAAAGACAATGACAATTTGTTGCTTGTGACACTTGTGTTATTGGCCTTAGCCTATAGCTAATAGACAGACAATATTCACTCTGTGTGACAGACGGTGACAAATTACCTGTCCCGACTTCGAAGATCATACACACACACACACAAAAAAATTTCTAAAGTCTAGTCCAGTCCGACAGTCGCCACATCAGTAGTGTCTTGAAGAAACGAAAAAAATCATTACGTTTCACTAAGTTTTACCTTTGATTTCATTTTCGATAAGAACTCTGAGATTTTTCACAAAAAAAACAAACACAGAATGATTACTCGGGATGATTATGACCTCATACCGAGTTTTGGTTACCAGAAATGATGATTTCCCTATCGTTGATTATCGATTTTTGTTTTGTTTTGCAAGTTTTAAAGTCCAATGGCCTCGATTTTGGTTATCACTCCTACTTTTACTCTATCTCGATTGGTCCATTGTTGTTAAACCACAAATAGGTTGTAATAATTTGTCCTTTTTTTTGAAAACAAGAAATTTTTATTCAAAAAAATATCATTATCTCAATCAATCGAAACAAACAAACAAACAAAACATTTCAATGTTTTGTTGTTGACAAAAAAAAAACAAATGGCTGAATATCTCGATGGAAAACTACAAATGATACTAGTCAATGATTGATTTTAATTTTTTCGTCGTTGTTGTTGTCATTATTTTTCGGATTAAATTTCACAATTTTCAATTGAAAACATTGTTGTTTTGAATTGCGAAACACACATATAGTGAAAAATCTATTGTTCCAAAATTCGGATATCAGATTTACTTTGATGGATTTAGACTCGAAAAAAATTGCAGCATATGTTACCCGAAATTTTATATCAAAGGTGGGGGCAGAAGTTTTGGAATCGACACACAAACTTCAAAAGCCAAATTGAAACAAATTTTTGGTTGCCATTCATTCATGTCCTATATATAAAAAGAAGATTACATAGACATCCTTCTTACATAGACATAGTGTGCGTGAAAATGCATGTGTGTCACACCAACAAACAATAAACTTGTCCAATGATAATCATCATCAAACAAATTGTCACAAATATGACATGAAACATTCGCTGATTTAATTGAATCGAATCTGATCGGATCATCGAAACGAAAAAAATTGCACATCATTATCATCATTGATTGATTGAATGTCTAAATATTTTTGTTACAACCACAAATATCAATCAATCAATCAATCAGTGATTATTAAATCTGCAAATGATCAATCAAAGTGATTGAAAGCGAAAATGCGTGTGTGACATAAAATGAAAGTGGATGTTTAATTTTCGGATGTTTGATCATTATCACACTCACAATGAGTTGAATTTGTTTTATTAGTTTAGAAAAAGAAAAATTCATTCAAAACAAATATTTACTTTTCAAATAGCTTTTCTCATCATCAAAATAATGGATGCATTTCTTTTCCTTTAGTTGCGTATCATTTGACTTTTTGGAAAGTTTTCGAAAATTCAATTCAATTCATTCATTCATTCATTTTAAGCTGACGGAAAAACAAAAATTGATGGCAATAATCACCCACATTATATAATAGTTTTGTTCTGTTGACAATTAATGAATTTTCATTATTTTCCAGAATTTCCGATATCCATCCATTCATCCATCCATCCGCCGACGTTCAAACAACAGCCGAAAAAAAAGTTCAAAGTTCATTCAAATCAGTGAATTTATTTTACTACTTTTTTCTTCTAAATTCAAATTCTATTAACTTGATGACACAAAGAATCTCTCTCGTTTTTCAAAAAGCCAATTCATTAATGGAATTAATGATTTTTTCCATCATCAATTCAATTCGAAGAATAATGATGGTTATTATTATGATTATGGTCTATGGATGGATGGATTGTAATATTAAACCATGGTTTCTTCCTTTCCCAAAAAAAAGATAAAATTACCAATTCACATTGAGAACTGAGAGAAAGGAAATTTAAAAAAACTGTTTTCATTTGACAATTTATAATTTTTTTTCTCGTTTCAGGACAACAAGGATTCTGTGTGTGTATTTTGTGGAGCGATGTTTATAGAATAAAGTAGAATTTTCAAAATAGACAACCGAGAATGATGATGGGAAAAAAAGAAAAGTTAAAAGTTCAGATTACAAAATTTTTTACTCTCTATACATTGCAAATGAACCGAAATGCAATGTTTGCATAATAATTTTGCCCCTCGTTTGGTTGGTTGGCCCCACACACACACAAACATTGAACAAAACAAGAACAACGAATCTTGATTGTCATAGAGAGATATAATCAAGGAGATTATTATCTATTTTGATGATGTCTATATGTGGAAGAATATAATGTTTGAAAACCATCAAAAAAAATCAACAGAACATATCTGCAGTAGTAATCAACTATGACAGCATCTATTTAACGAAATTATTATCTGGATTCAAATGAACCGTATCTTTTGAAATAGATGAGAGTGTCACACTTGATTCTCATCAGCATCCAAAAGCGTATGGATCTTTTTCACATCTTAATCAATGAATCAATTTCTAAAAAAATGATGATTTTAATTCTATTCGACACTTTTCAATTCGAAACAGAATCTCTTGCTGAGCCATCACAATTTATCAAAATATTGACCAATATTTATTAGTTTCGAAATAAAAAAAAATGGCTAAAACATCGAACATCTCCATCATCGTTATTTGAAACATGAGACGTCCATTGCATCACCAATGGAGAAAAAGGAATGGCATTTGTCTTTTTTTGTTGTTGTTTCGCCAAGTCGTCAACAAACATATAAAAAACTAATACTTTGGAAAAAACGACGACTATGATGATTATAACTTTTCAAGATGATTGAAATATTATGTTTCAAATTTATTTTCATTCGTTTTTTTTTTTTGAAAATGCATGCATAGGACATAAGATCCATCCACGTTGATGATGATTACAAGGTCCTTTTTTCTGGTTTCACAATAGACAAAAATCACATTTCAAATCGTGTTTCATAATAAAATTTCAAACATCCGATTCACTTCATCATCTTCATTGATGAAACTCAATCATCACAACAACATCTCATATGATGATGATGATGACGACAATGGCAAAATAACTGTATCGAAGATTATAATTAATGAATTCGTCATGAAAATGTAATTTGAATCTCAATGATTAATCATCATCATTTACTTACATTATGATAATAATAATAATAATATAATTGATATCTTTATCAATCAATCAATCAAACACTGTTCAAAAAAAATATTGATTTGTCAGTTTGTCAATTAACACATAAATATCTTATTTTATCTCACACTAATGATGGTTTGACAATACAATTTTAGTGGAAAGTGTACGTATTTTCTTTCCTTTTGTTTTTCGTCGTTGACGATAAGGCAATCGACTTTTGTTGGTCCATTCTGGTTGAACATTTTTCGATAAATAATTATAAAATTTAATTTTAAAAAATCTTCTGGAAAATGAGGAAATGTTTTGTTTGTATTATTTAATATTTGAATGATCCCAATGAATACTATTATTTTATTGATCATCTTTATCTTTGGCACCATGTTTTAGGATACGTGTAAATTCAACAAAATCAAATTGGCCATTTTTATCGATTGGCGCCTCACGAAACATATCATCCACCTGTGTGTGTGTGAGAGAGAGAGAGAAATAAATTTAGATTTTCTTTTCAACAGAATGCAACAAAAGCAAAAAAACTCACATCCTCTTCAGTGAAACGATCACCCATCGTTGTAAGAAGTTCACGTAGTTTTTCCTCGTGAATAACACCGGTATTTTCTTCATCAAAACAAGCAAACGCATTTTTAATCACGTCCTCTGGATCTGTGCCTTGCAGTCGTTCACCAAATAATGTTAAAAACATTGTAAAATTAATTGGTCCCGGTGCTTCGTTCATCATTCCTTCGAGATATGGATCATCCGGATTTTTGCCCAACGATGCTAACATATCATGTAGATCTTCTTTATCAATAAAACCATCACGATTCTGATCTATCATATTGAATGCTTCTTTAAATTCTTGTATTTGAGCCTATTTTAAATGTCAATGAAAAAATTCAACAAAACGAAAAACGTCATTATTTTTACAAATCAAAACATATTGCAATAACGGTCTATGTATAAACATCCGCAATGTTTTTGTGTGTGTGTGTGTATCTGCATGAGCCACACCTAGTTTAGTCATCCAGAAAAAATTTGATTTCATTTCGAATGATAATTTGTATCTTTTGAATTAAGAATTTGATTTTTCCTAGAATTTGAAATTCCAAAGAATTTATCGAATAAGTGGCCAACATGATTTGCGTTTTTGTTTTGTTTTAAATTCAGAAAAAAATTCGAAATTAAATTACCTGATCAAACATGGCAAATACATTGGATGTTGCTCGTTGTGCACGTTTTTTCGTAGCACCACGTCCTTTTTTATTTCTGGTATTCATTATTGATTTATTGCTTCGATTATCAATGTTTCGAACAAAAGAAAAATTTTCGCTTAGAAAACACAACTAAACAATAGAGAATTTATAACTGAAAATCAAACAATTGTCAAAAAAACACGATGCATATAAACTTTACATGACAAACAAGCAACAGTGAAACACCAAGAGCGAATCAAGAGAGGGGCGATATTAAAAAATACAATCGATATCAATTTTTTTACACTAGTCTCTTATTTTGAGTCATATGAGAAGTATTCAAAATTGATTCAAATTGAAATTGTTTTTCTACAATCATCATCATTATCATCATCATCATTCATCAATCCGAACATGACACATCTTCAACGCTTGAGTATCCAAGGGATACGTAGTTTCAATCCAAATGAACCACAAGAGATACGATTTTTACCGCTTACAATCATTCTCGGACCAAATGGCGCCGGTAAAACATCGATAATTGAATCGTTGAAATATGTTACGACTGGTGTGATGCCGCCATATAGTAATAGTGGCAAAACATTTATTCACGACGTGCAATTTATGGATAATTTGATTGTTCGTGGCCAAATTCGTTTGCAATTCACTGATGTTGAAGCAAAATCTACAATCATAACACGATCCATGCAAGCGACATTAAAATATGTAAAAGATAAGCCACAAATTACATTTCGTCAGATAAACGCCGTAATTAAACGCGGTAATCGTTCAATTGACCAAAAGTTTGCCGATATTAATGCTGAACTTATTGAATTGATTGGTGTATCAAAAGCCATCTTGAATAATGTGATATTTTGCCACCAGGAAGATATTCATTGGCCATTGAGTGAAGGCAAAATGTTGAAAGAAAAATTCGATGACATCTTCGGTTCAATTGGCTTTACAAAAGCATTGGAATCAATTAAAAAATTGCGTGATGAAGAAATGATCAATTTACGATTATTGGAAAAAGATGTCATTTTCACCGAACACATCCGTAAAGAGGTTGATCAGCGACGAAAACAGTTGGCTGAAGAAGAATCGAAAATTAAAGTGGAGAAAGAAAAGATACGAAATCTTGATTCGAAAATCAATCAGCTTGATAGTCTAATCGCTGATCTAATTGAAAATGAACAATATGCCGAAATGATGTCGAAAAAAATATCCGAATTGATTGGTTCAATTGACGAGAAACAAAAATATATCGATAAAATTGATAAAAATTGCCGTGATCAACCCACCGAATTGATGCAATTAAATCGACAACAAATCGATGAAAGATTAGCCAATTTTGATTCTAATTTTAGGGAATCGAAATCAAAAAAAAATTCACTTGAATTACGGATGAAAAAATGTTGTGAACAATATGATCAAATTAATCGAGAAAAATCACAATTTTCGTATCATCAAGCACAAATTGATTTATGTCGCAGTCAATTAGCTGAATATTTTGATAAAATCAACCCAATTGTCACTGGTGACTGGTCATCATCAGCCATTCAAAATGATTATGAAAACCTTGATCACAATGATTGTAAATCTGTCAAAGAATTTTTCGCGAAATACTCGAAACATCTTCATGAAATGATTGAAAATTCCGAAAATTCATTTGAAAATCGACAACGTAAACATTCAAAACTAGATGCTGTGATCAAAGAAAAATTTAATGAATTGAAAAATGAAAAGGATAAAATCATGATAGAAATTGAATTTCGTCGATCTGAAATCAGGGATTCAGAAGCGAAAATCGAAGCAATTTGTGATGGTGAAATGAAAAATGCGCCGGAAAATTTGCTAACAAAATTGAATCAAGATATCACGAATCTGGAAACACAATTGACCGAAATCAATCAAAAACAATTGGCTACAGATTCAAAAATGGAAATTGATCGTCTAGAAATGAAGAAAAAATCTCTTGGAACAGAATGTGATACATTGAAGAAACAAATTGCTGTGGCAAATGAAAATCAACAACGAAAAAAATTTTATGATTATTTTCAATCACAGAAACAGAAAATTGAAGCCGAAATGGCAACTATTAAAATGAATAATTTCGAATTATTCAATAGGCTTTCTGTTGATGTTGGCAATTTTTCCGAAAAACTTTCTCAACTCATCGATAAAAAACGTCGCGAAGATTTAGATAAACGAATGGCAGAGATTAAAAATGTTGAACAACAATTGTCTAGTCAAACAATTTCGTTGAAAAATCAGCAAGAATTATTGGATAAAAACGAAAAACAATTAGTTCGGATTAAGGAAAAATTAAACGGCGTTTGTACTGTCGAGGAATTCAATGATTATCGTTTGAAAATTGAAAATGATCTCAATGAATTACGTAAAAAAAATGTAAACATGAATATATGTCACAAGTAATGGATGAATATGTCACTATTATTGAAGAAAAGCAAGAATGTCCCTTTTGTGGACGAAGTCTTGATCATCACGAAGTGGTGAATTTTAGTTCGGACTTGTGTGATTATAATCCTGAAAAATTAGAGGCTATCGAAGCAAAAATCACCACCAGTGAACAAAAACATAATCAATTGATGCTATTACGAAATGAAATTGAATCCATTCCTGAAATTGAACAAAATATTCGTGATTGTAATGAAGAAATCGAAAAAATTACAGCCAATGTTGGTGATTTGCAAAAATTATTGACAAAATATAACACAGAATTGGACTCGATAAAAACAATGATTGATGATTGGCAAAAATGTCTACAACAAGCAAATAAATATGATAATCTTTATAAAGAATATATTGATTTAAATGCAAAACAGCAAACATACTTACAGCCAGAATCTGATGAACGCAATCTTGATTTGGAAGAATTAAATTGTCAATTACAGCGTACAGAATTGGATGTTAAATCTTGTGATTTGAAATTATCGAAAATTCAGGCCGATTTTTTGCGCATGACTGAAGAAAAAAGTAAATTGCAAAATCTTTTACAATTAGCCGAACGAAATCGTAATGAACATCTGCAAAAAGAACAAAATCAAATGCATAATATTCGTAAACGACAAGAATTGATTGAGAGAATTGAACAAAATGAACAAAAACTTAACGAATTAGAAACAAAATTGTCACCGATTGATCAAGAAATTAAAACATTACAGATTCAACTGTGTGATCATCGTGAAAATTGGCAAAAATCTAAAGAAGATTTACAGCATACGATTCAATTGCAACAAAATTCACTGAAAACATTGAAAAAGAATAGTGAAGAAATTGAAAAATCTTTGACTAAATTGCGAGAATTACAAAGTAAAATATCACAAGATTATCTTGATGATCTCGATAAACGATTGACCAAAGTGGAGGTGGAAAAGAAACAAATGGCCAATGATATGAATGTGATCAATGAAATGATTGTCAATTTTGAATTGAATAAACGTCAATTATTGGATCGACAAATTCTATTGAATTTACAAGCAAGAAATTCATGATAAAGAAACAGAATTGAAAGAATTCAAAGATAAAATTGGTTCGTCAAATATTACAACAATACGTGAGAAACGTATCCGTGCCGAACGTGAACGTCAGGCAATGGCCACACATAAAGAAAGTTCAAAAACCAAAATTCTAGATCTTGTTGAGAAAATCAAAAAAATTAATGATGAAATGGCCAATCATGATGAATATCGTAATGCAAATAAAAATTATCGTGAAAAATGTATTGATAAAGTGATTAGTGAATTGGCTTGTGAAGATCTTGATAAATTCTATAAAGCATTGGACAATACCATAACAATGGTTCATACGCATAAAATGGAGGATATTAATAAATTGATTGATCAATTTTGGCGTGTTTCTTACCAAGGTAATGATATTTTTTTCAGCTTTAAGATTAATTAATTAATTATTTCGTTTTATTATTAGGCGAGGATATCGAATCCATACAAATTATGGTTGATCAAGGCGAAAGATCGGCTAGTGCACGTCGTCGTACATATAATTATCGTGTGGTAATGATTCAACAAGGTAAAACATTGGATATGCGTGGCAGATGTTCGGCTGGACAAAAAGTACTTGCATGCATTATCATTCGTATTGCATTGGCATTGTTGTTTTCCAATAATTTCACCGTTATCACGTTGGATGAACCAACAACCAATCTGGATAATGCCAATATTCGAGCATTGGCCAAAGCTATTGTTAAGTTGCGAAAAATGAATCAACATCTTCAAATTGTCATTATCACTCATGATGAAGATTTTCTTCAATGTCTTTCGGCCGATGATTATGTTGACCAGTATTATAGAGTTTACAAAAATGATGAAGGCTATTCCACTATCGAACTTAGTCCAGTTCATTCTGAAGAACTTACTAAATAATTATCAGTTTTTTTCTTGAAATTATGAGAAATTGTCACTATTTTTGAAAAAAATATAAATATGAACATAAATAAAAATAAATATTCGAATTTAAAAAAAAATTTTGACTTTATCAAGTGTAAATAGTTGCCATAGTTGCATGCCGGTGTCGCAATAGGCGAAAAGCATTGTCTTCAAAAAAAGGTGTGCTTCGAAAGATCATCATTATAGTGTAGTTTTGTGTCTGAAATTTTATTTTAAATTTTATTTCAATTTTCGTTTTTCTTCCATATTCCAAAGAAAAAATGACTGCAAACGTAAAAACAATCCCAAAATCGAATGAAAAATCATTCAAAGATAAGGAAAAACCGACTGAAATTCGTTCATCGAATATTGTGGCAGCGAAAGCCGTTTCAGATGCCATACGAACATCATTGGGTCCAAAAGGTATGGATAAAATGATTGAATCACCGAATGGTGATGTTACCATAACGAATGATGGTGCTACGATTCTGAAACAAATGCGTGTATTGCATCCGGCCGCAAAAATGTTGGTAGAATTAAGTAAAGCTCAAGATGTTGAAGCAGGCGATGGTACTACATCGGTCGTTGTATTAGCCGGTTCATTGCTTGATGCTGCTGATAAACTACTCAAACGTGGTATTCATCCAACAGCAATATCGGATTCATTTCAACGTGCAGCAGCTAAATCCGTTGAAATATTGGAAAGTATGTCGATCCCAGTGAATCTGGATGATCGTGATACATTGATCAAAGCGGCAACAACAAGTTTGAATAGTAAAGTGGTTTCTCAACATTCATCCCTTTTGGCACCAATATCGGTGGATGCCGTGCTGAAAGTACAGGAAAATAATAACGTCGATTTGAAAGATATTCGAATCATTCGAAAATTGGGTGGAACATTGGATGATACACAAATGTTCGATGGCTTGGTGTTGCCACAAAAATTTGCCAATGATTTTGGTGTGAAAAAAATTGAAAAAGCTCGTATCGGTTTGATTCAATTCTGTGTATCACCGCCAAAGACAGATATGGATAATCAGGTGGTAATATCGGATTATACACAAATGGATCGTATATTGAAAGAGGAACGTCTTTACATTCTAAACATTGTGAAACAAATCAAAAAAACTGGCTGTAATGTTCTACTTATTCAAAAATCCATCTTACGCGATGCATTGAATGAAATGGCCATTCATTTTTTTAACAAAGCTAAAATTGCTGTCTTACGCGATGTTGAACGTGAAGATATCGAATTCATTTGTAAATCATTGGGTTGTCGTCCTGTTGCAAGTTTGGATCATTTCCAACCTGAAGCACTAGCATCAGTAGATTTGGTGGAAGAAGTATCCGATGCGAAATTCATTCGGTTCTCGGGAATTTCATCACCGAACGCAAATCGTACGGTAAATATCGTTATTCGTGGTTCGAATAAGTTGGTTCTGGAAGAAGCTGAAAGATCATTACATGATGCTTTATGTGTCATTCGATGTTTAGTAATTCGACCTGCTTTGATTTCTGGTGGTGGTTCATTGGAGATTGAATTATCCAGGAAATTATCCGATTTTAGTCGTACATTAGTTGGTTTAGATGGTATTTGTTTCCGTGCCTTTGCCGATTCAATGGAAGTTATCCCATATACATTGGCTGAAAATGCTGGTCTAAATCCTATTGTTACCGTTACTGAATTGCGTAATCGTCATGCAAATGATGAAAAATATACAGGAATCAACGTTCGTCTTGGGTCGGTTTCTGATATGTTGGCTGAAAATGTTGTACAACCGCTACAGGTTTCTATTTCTGCCATCACATTAGCATCAGAAACGGTTCGATCATTATTGAAAATTGATGACATTGTTCACACGATTCGATGATTGACAATTGAATTGAATTGAAATGAAATGAAATGAAATTATTATTCAAATACCTTTGTATGCAAATGATTTTGAATTGATACAAAATTTATTAAAAAATTGAAAAAATGCAAAATTTTTCATAATAAATAATCTATATGATGATGATGACTGACTAGCTGCTATTGTTTCGTATGGATGATGGTAAATCAATAAAATATGAATGATTCATTGCATCTTTTGCCGACATTCGTTGTGATGGATTGCAGACCAGCAATTTCTGTAATAGATCACGTCCTTTTGTATTTAATTTCGGTACAACTTGCATAAAATTTGCCGTCGGCTGATAATAGGGGAAAATTTTAAAATCCGGTAACTGTGATACACCGGGCCATGTATCTTCGGTAGGTGTGCCTAGTAATTTAAATATTCGTTTCAATTGATCATCAACATCGCTTCCAGGAAATAATGGTCGTCCAGCATTAGCTAATTCGGCAAATATACAACCAGCTGACCAACAATCAATAGAAGTGGTATACAATTTGGCACCAAAAAGAACATCTGGTGGTCGATACCAAAGCGTAACAACTTCGGCCGAAAAACAACGAACCGGTATACCGAATGCACGTGCCAGACCAAAATCGGCCAATTTTAGTTCACCATTTTTATTGATCAATAGATTCTGTGGTTTCAAATCTCGATGTAATACATTGTGACTGTGGGTGTGTGTGTGTGTGTATGAAAAGGATTTGATTATTAAAAATTTTTCCAAATTCAATAATAAATGACAAACCTGTGACAAAATTCCAATCCACGCAGTAATTGAAACATAAAACTTTTGACAACATCCGGATCGATTTCACCATTTAAACTGTCGAAATATTTCTTTAGATCTTGGTCACAATGTTCGAAAACAAGTGTCAATTTCTTTTCGCTATGCAGAACATCATAAAGCCTTTTGGTTTTTTGTTTGTGGAGAAAATGATTACAATTTACAATAGTTTGGTGGACAATCAACATACCGGACAATATTTCGATGTTCCAATTCTTTGAGTAGACATATTTCTCGTAATGCCGATGATGGTACGCCTTCATCATCATCATCTAAACGTACACGTTTCAATGCAACTATTTCACCGGTTTCACGATTTTTACCCTTAAACACTGTACCATAAGTACCTTCACCAATTTTCTCTAGTTTTTCATATTTTTGCATTCTTCTTGAATGATTTTGAGATGTTAATTGAATTGACTGATCATCTTTTTGAAACAAATTTTATCCATTTTACATATAAAAAATCGAACGATGAGAGTGAAAATTTTGTTTTGACAGTATGAAAAATTCATAGAGTACGTAATCGACTTTTTGAAAAAAATAAATAAATTTTTTTCTTTTATTATCAATTATCGAATCAATTAATTGGATTTGTGTAAAATATTTTCCACCATATTCAACATCATTTTGATAAAAGGACGTTCGGATAGATGATGGATACTGGATGGTGGCACAGGTTTCATCATTGGTGATGTCATTTTCAACATTGTCGACGATGATGTTTGTTTACGTGGATGATGATGAGTTTTTAGATTTGATTTGAATGTATTCTAAAAATAAAAAAGTAATGATTATTATTAAAAAACATTCACATTCATCATACGAACCAATTCATTGTGGATTTCATGGAAAAATCTTTGTTCATCACTTGGAATCATTTTCAGCGAATTTTTTGCAATCAATGACTGTGTGAAAAACAATACTAATGACAATTCTAAAAGTGAAATTTGTAATTGGCAATTGTCATCGGCTACTCCGATTCTTTTCCCATCCTTTTCTTGTTTGATGAGGAAATTGATTAGATTGGCCAATGAACCGAATGTTAGAATATCGTTTGAATCAACATTTGGAAAGGAAAAATTGGTCGATATAAGTAAATTATTATATTTCGCTTCTTCATCATTGATCGCTTCATTGGCAAACAATTCCAAAAGTCCGGGTGAAACATCGATCAAAAATTTCATCGATTCCAACAGCATCAGTATCATCATATTTTGCAGTGCATCATGGCCATTACTCTGTTTATATTCTTCCATGAAAGTTTTCAATACAAGTGTAGGACGAAGCAGAAAAGCGACCATCATATTACTGGACAATAGTATTTCTTCGGTTATAATTTTGAATGAAATTGCATGATTGTTTTGCCATATTTTCACATATTTCGAAGTGGAAGAACACAATTCCAATATAAGCAACACAAGTCGTATGATTTTCAATTTAGGTTGTTTACGAAAAGCAGCAAAAATCTCACGTATGGTGTCCAGATAGATGGCAATGAATGATACACAAGTTTCGCTGAAATGATGTCGCAAATGAATGATCATATTGTTTACGGTTCGTACAATTTGTGAGAATATAGCAATATCATGTATGAAATCTGAATCATTCATTCTATCGTCGATTCCTGCTATGGTGTTAGTAGTCAATGAAAAATTCACCGACATTTGATTCACTAAATTCAATGCATTCAAAAGACTGGCACCATCCGATGAATGTGATATAACAACAAAATATGGTGCAATATTCTGAGCTAAATCCAAATGGATACGTTTACGAAGAAAATAGATGAGCATATTCAGTATTTGTTCACTGGTGCCAAAATGCCGCAATATTTTCAGATAACGAATATTCATTTTCGAACATCGTTGAAACATTACGATTATGATGGAAAGATTGACATGAATTAATCGTTTTTCAAGATTTAAATTCACTGGCTGCAAATCACTATTCAATTGTTTGGCCATTAATCGAAATGAATTGTTCAATAATTCAACAATTGAATAGAATAATTCCTGATCTTGCGGTGATGATATTGATCGTCGTTCATCGATCAATTTGATGAGAAAAACACCGAGTGAAATTTGTGAATTGAATGAAATGGATTCTTTATGTATGACAATTTTGTTGAAAATTTCAGTCACAATTTTCATATATTCTTCACTATCATTTAAAATGGCTTTTTCAAATTGTTGATTATCCGATGTAATTATCAGCAGAAGATTTGAAAATTTATTGATCAATTTGTTTGTCTTTTTTTCAATGATATCGGTATCGATCAATATTGAAACGTATTCCAATATATCTTTGATGAGCATTTTGATCACGCAAGTTGAATCACGAGTCAGAATGAATTTAGTCCATGACGCTAAGAAATCTCTCCAACCATCAATAAAATTGATAAAATCTGCTGTCCATAATTTACTGTCGCTCAATTGATGACGAATGTGCGCGGAAAAATTTGCAATAACATTCTTGTCAATCATATCATCGAATATGTTGGTTAGATTGCTGCTAACATCAGTTTTTTCAAGTAATTTAGTAAAATGAATTTCACGTGATAATATTTTCAATACAAAACTACATAATGAGTTATCGATATTCCGTTGATCATTAAACAATGGAAATGTGACCAATATCCAGAATTTATCATTATTTTTCAATTTATTCATAGCCATTATATTGGGTTTCAACCAGAATTTCACCACAAATTGTAATGATGCATGATGAAATTCATATGGACAATGATATTGGCCATTCATCTTTTCCTCTAAAATCTCGATGATTGAGTTTAGAATGCTATTATTATTGGTGGTGGCAGTGGAAACATTCAAAAACATTTCCACCAAACCAGGTTGATATTCAACACATGTGGATAGGAAATTCAACATTGCAATCTTGAAATTGATATCTTCGGTTACTGTTTCCAATCGAAATAGGAAATGATCACGAATAAATTCGGTGTGTGAGCCAAAACATGCCAACATTGACATTGGGAATTTGAATGCTAACTGATTAATCAATTGTAATGCATTGATGGCCAGATAAATGTCATACTTTTGACAAATGAAATGTGTAAATATCAACAACATATTCGGTTTGGCATTGTTGGTTGATGAGAAAATGATTTTCTCGATAACAGATTTATCTTTAAGCGATGACAATTTCGTCACTTCGGAATACATTTCCAATAGATGGCTTAATATTAATATCGATGTACGAATACTGACAATTTGATCATCCACTTCCAGTAGTAATTCATTGCCTGAATTGACAATTCTTTCTTTCACAATTTCTTCCCCACTTTTAATGATTGTCAATAATTGTTCGGCAGCTTGGCCTTCCATCAATCGTATGATACAGATTTTTTCAATCATTATCAATTCATTGGCCATTTTACGTCGTACACGATTGATAATATGATGAAAAATCTGTATACACATTCGACCGATACGATGTGCATCATTTTCTCGGCGATAATTCCATAATTTATAGGATGGAAAAATATCATTCACAATGAACATGAATGAAGCAATTATGGAATTATCGTGATGATATTCATCATTTTCGATCATATATGTCATCAATGAAAGAAACGATATTGTCAATTCATAATTGCCTTTAATGAATTCATCGGTGGCGAGGATGTATCCCAATGTTGAAATATTCGTATCGGTTCCAGTTAATATTTCATTGAATTGATTGCAAAATCCAATCATGTATGGAAAGAAACGTTTATCAGTCAATGTTGACCAGATTTCTTTTTCATCCATAAAATTCTGACGCATCATTTCAACACATAATTTGATTATGGAAGCCACAAACAAACGAATCGTTGTCTGATCTACTGATACAATCAATTTAAATAATTCAAGCAATAATCTGACAATTGGTTCGAAAAATGTGATATTCGAATGTGAATTATGTACGATCAATTCTGAACAAATAAGCGCCAGTTTACTGATTTCATTCAATATAACTTCATCATTTATGGTTGAATACATATGACCTTGTTTGATTTGATTTATCAGATATTTCAATCGTCTATAAAGAATTTTCCATCCGTCCATCATTAGATCATTCCATTGAATTAGACGACAGCCTTCATAATAATGAATAGTGCCACGGGAACCTTTCACCAATTTCAATTGATGATCATTGTATAAATATCGATCATTGTACAATACAATACAAGCCACTGAATCTGTTTGTGATGTATAATAGTCATTGATATCCAACGAATCAAATGATTCAGTGAATGAAGTCAATGTATTGATTATTGATAATTGTTCGAATAAATTTCGACACATGTTTGTTTGGGCCAATGAATTCAATAAGCTCAGCAATAGATGTGTCCGATGTGGAAACAGATTCAATGCATATCGCAATGATAATCCCAATCCAGTGGTTAGACCGGAATCGAATAAAATTCGAGCGATCACATCACTTGTGAATAGATGAATTAGCAACTGTGTGAGTGTCGTATCATTGTGGATAAATTTTTCAAAATCAAATACAGAGAACGTTACTTCTAATAGATTACCGATAATTTCATAAATCAAATTATGGACAGAGCTTTTCTTCAACAGATCCATCGGTTCCAGACACGAAACACAGGATTCAATATATTTGAATATCTTCAATTGTAATGCATTATTTCCTAAACGTTCGATTACATCTTGATCTTGATTATTGTCTATTGAACAGAATTGATTGATGATTGTCCAGGTGAAAAATAAAAGCGAATGTTCTTGTGCTGTGCTATTTAGATTGATAATTATCGAAAAAATCTGTCGAATTACGGCTTCATTTTCACCACGAAAAAGATAATGTTCAACATCATCGTTTTGACATTTTCGAAGACCATTTGGATCCAGAAATTCAACAATCAAAATGGTTTTAAGAAAACCACAAAATTGACCTAAACTTTTTATTTGCGGTAGGCGATTACTATGATTATGATTTGATGTTTCGAAACCTGTTTCATGAAAACATTTCAATATATCCAAAACATCTTCAGCGGTTGGTACGAAATTTTTATAATACAAAAGAAGCAATTGTAGTACTTGAATCTCTTCTTTTCGTATGTTGATGGTGAGATCATCGGAATTTTTTTCGCTTAAAAAATGTTGAATTTTTGATTGTCGTGGTTTCTCATGAACGTGTATCAAATGTTTCAATTGTGCCATCAATTTTGTGGATATTTGTTCGTCTGTATTGATATGTTTGAGAAAATCTTGAAATATTTTCGCATAAACATGTTCACTTTCTTTCCAATTGCTGAGTATTTGTTTCAGGCAGAAAAGGCCGAAAATTCGTTCTGAATAATAATAATTCCAAAGATTTTCAAACAATCTTTTCCTCTGTTTTTCATTGGCAAATAATGTTCGGGCCATTTCGGGTGTACCATCGAATTCATAAAGCAAATATGATTGAATCAGATCACAACATTGTCGAGCATTCAGGTCGAGTAGAACGCTTAGATTGTAAAGGAACGAAGCATTCACCATTGTATTTTTCATTTCCATTATCTTTGACATTGAATCAACATTGACATCATGTGGTCGATAGTATAGAACACCTTCAATCAATTGTTTTTGATTCGATTCCAATTCATCTGCTATGAATTGAAGTGATTTTAAATTCAACGAACCGGATAATAGTGTCCATAAATTTTTCATCGATCTTTACCAACAATAAACAATTAGAAAATGATTATTCAAAATAGTAATAAAAATGAAATACCTTGGTAAATCTTCCGATGAATGATTATTCGAATTCATGATTGGAAATTTTCAAAAATTCAAAAAAACTCACATGCACAACCCAAATTCGAACACATGACAACTATCGATACTTGTGAAACAATCGATTGTGTGTTGGAGCAAAATCATCGAAAAATAAAGAATCCCGGAAATTCTGTCTCAATAGTGAAATATTGTTATCGATGAATGTCAACTCACTCACTCACCGTTGTACCGTATGTGTTTTTAAATAATCCAAAAAAAAAAAATGAATGCGCCCCTCTGCTTTGCCATATAAATAATATAAAGAATTTAATTTGATTGTCATCCTGAAAAAAATTGCTCACAATTGGTTACAACAAAAACAAATATAATTGTTATGGCCATGGTATATTCTTGTGTGTGTGTCGATTTTGGCCGGAAATCAACTGTAAGTTTTTATTAGGCCATTATAACATGAAACATTAGAGGATTGTTTTTTTTATTCATTCACATTCATTCATTGCTTCTTAGATGAACGGCTGGATTGTTGCTGTCTTGGAGAAATGACATACATTATCCCAAGAATTCACTTCTCCATGTATTACATATGATATAAGCTTGGTGCAAAATGTCTGTGTGTGTGTATGTGTGCAAGTGTGTCATTAATCACCAGCAGCCATAGTCCATCGAAACATTTTTGTGGGTTCATCTCATATGCATGTAATCAGAATGCACGACAACGACAACGACGCCGAGAAAAAAATCTAGTATGTGGAATATTTAATGCAGGAAATTTTTTTCAGATTTTCAATGTCATCGGCAACGTCGTTACAATCTTTTTCTTTTCTTTTTTGTTTCTGGTTAGTCCATTTTTTGGACTTTTTTGTCTTTAATGGTTCAACATACAAGAACATACAGAAACATGTCCGTGTCTTTTCTTTTCATTGTTCTGGATTCTTCATGAAAAAATGATGATGATGATGATGATGATGATGGTTCCAATAATAAATGCCATGTTCAATTTTTTATTCAAACATTCATACACACACACCCAATGTTTTTTTTTTTTTTTTTTGAAAGGAGTAACCATCTCTCGCCCTGTCATTTATTATTATTCGATATGTCTATTAAGAGTTTATAAAAATAAAACAGATAAAACAGAATATGAACACTATGTGACTACACGGAATTTCGTTTATCGTTTCATTTAATTTATTTAATTTATAATTACAATTATAAAATAAGAAAAATATTGGTAAATTGATTTTTAAAAAAAGTTAATCATCCATAGAACCGACCATGAGTAGCAAATAATCGATTCTATCGATTTCGAACATTCTATTTTTTCCTTTCCATAGAATATAATATGACAACATAGCAGATGATAGTAAAAAACCGCCAGAAAATACTTGGTCCAATTTTATTTTATCGTTTCGTTTTGATCTTTTTATTTTTGTTGTTGTTGTTGCTGTTGTTTGTTTGTTTGATTGTTATTTACTTTTTTATTATCCTTATTGTCGACGACGACGACGACGACAACGATGATTTCCATTTCACTATTCGTGTGTTTTTATTTTATTTGAATTCTAGTGTTCATTATTTTTATTCGATTCGATTCGTTTCCAATAAGATTTTCGATTCTTCGGCAACAATGCTTAATAAGTTTTGTTTTGTTTTGTTTTTTGCATACTTTATTCTTCATTTTCTTTTATTCTCACCGAATAATAATGTTTTACCGTCTACTTTTTTTTATTGGAATTCTCTCATTCATGGAGAGACAAACAAAGAATATTCTACGATTAGATTTACGATTTTATTATTTTCTCAAATACAAAAACTACACTACTAAACAAATATGTGTGTGTGTGTGTATTTTGATCAGTTTTTGTTGTCCTTAAAGAATTTTTTCGATTCTCATCTTTTGACTAAACGAAACTAAATAAAAAAGAAAATAAAATTCATGGATCAAATTCACAATTGTGTTTGTGTTTTGCCGTGTTGTTCTGGTATTATCATCATCGACAACAACATATCAAATAAAAATGTCATTTAATAGAACACAGCCGACAACAACAACAGCAAACATTCAACGTTTGTCGGGTAAGTTTTACTTTTTTTTCCCATTGTCATTGCTGCTGCTGTTGTTGTTGTTGTTGTTGTTGTTATTATTATTCGATTCAATAGTCACTCTCTCTCTCTCTCTCTCTCTCTCCATTGTTGAACAAGAAGCGAATCAAATTTTTTTTCCTAACAACATCTAAAGATGTAATATGAATGTTTAGTAGTTGTTGTATTTTGTGATCGTCTAATATAGCAGTAAGTTCACCACGATAATCATCATTTAGAGATTCGGTTCTCGATTGTTTGGTCTATAGACACACTTAGAAAATTGATGTGTGTGTGTGTGAACACACACGTTCATTCAATGTTTTTTCTCCTTTCTTTTCTTTTCTTTTCATTCTCATTCACCATTGTTATTGACACGAACAACAACAATAGTTTCCGGATAATGATCTACAAAATAACCCGGGAATCTCCTATTTTGTAAATAAATCGTATCAATTCAAATGTAATAATAGTATAGTATTTATATTTATATTTATATAACACAGGCTACTATATATTCATTAATAATTGATGATTATTATCATGATCATGATGGTTGTATTTGTTGAAATAGCTTTTTAAATGAAATTATAACACATTGTTTTCCACACACACACACACACACGGATTTTATTTATTGCTTTTATTATTCCAGGCAAGATTCATTTTCACATTATTTCTGTTTCAGCAATTTGTTTACAAAAAAATGATTGGGACAAAATAAATTTTTGATTGATTGGTGAATCATTGATTTTTTCCAAAAAAAAAATTCACTTTTTAATATTTGACAGTAAAATGATGAGTGATTAAGAAAGAATTTTTTTTTTGTTTGGGAACTGTTTGCATACAAATTTTCCATTTGTTTGTCTGTGTGTGCGTGTGTGATTGATTTGAATTGATATTATAATGCATAAAATTGATTGATGATGTGTATTAAGTTTTATTTGTTTTTTATGGGATGTGAATTAATATTATATTTTTTTTTATTTATAAATAGTGTAAATAGTGTTGACAAGAATGATGAAGATCAAGACACAATATTCAAAAACCTTGGAGAATGAAGAGATGAAGAAAAAAAATGCAAGTTTTCGCTTTTTATATAAAGATCTAAATTCAGATAGCAGTGTGTGCACTATAAAGCATCAGTGAGTGGTGAGAAAAAATTTTGATTGTGAATTTAACTGTACAACAACATCAACAACGTTTTGCTAAACATTTTCCCAATAAATATCCGCTTCTTCTTTTTCGTTTAGCAATGAAATGAATCATGATGAAATACATTTTGATAGCCAAAAATGATGACGATGAAGAGTGAACGAAAAAAAAACGGAACCAAACCAATTTTCTTCAGGGGATAAGGATGTTTGTTGTTGATGCTAAGGAGCATATAGTGAAAGTGCCTGCACAATCTTTGGATCTTGTTTTGAGCCTTCTTTAAATTCTTCAAGCGTAAGCTTATTATCCTGATTCTGAAAAAAATTGATTGAAAGATGATTTTTTTGAAAAAAAATAGAAAAAAATTCATTAACTTTATTTTTCATGTTCAATGCTTTCGAACAAAAAAGAATGCATCATTCCTCATCATACACTTTCACTAAGCATTGTTTCCAGTGAGTGTCTGTGTGTGTAAATTGAATTAGATTTTATCTGTTTTTTTCCCATTGTGTTTAACTGACTGACTAACTGAATGAATGAATTTGAAAGTGAAAATTATCATTACCTTATCAAGCTGTTCAAATATACGATCTACACGTTCTTTAGGGTTCTCATCCTCTTCATCCGATATTTTTGCTTGATTGCCCAACATTTGATATATAGCATCGACAATATTATACATCTCTTCTCTTGTTATATATCCATCATTGTCAACATCGTATAATTTGAACGCCCCTAAAATTAATGGTTTACCATTGTGAAATAGACCAATCAATCAATCATTTGATCATTTGATCATTTGATCATTTGAATTATCACAACTTACAAACTAATTTCTCTTCCAGATTTCCTCTTGACGTAACCGATAATGCTTTGATAAATTCTTCAAATTCGATTGAGCCATCCTTTTGTTTTGTTTTTCGTATTACAAAATGATTATTTAATGATGATCGAGTGTCATCAAATATTAAAAAAAGGAGATGAAATTATCAAATCAAATCATCATTACACTAAATGATGATTGATAATCACCATCCAACACTTACTTTATTCTCATCAAATACACGAAATACAAGTGAGGCAAATTTCGATGGATCTCCATGTGGAAAAAATTGCTTATATATCCGTAAGAATCCCTAATTATTTCATCACAATAATGACAATAACGATTAATAGTTATAATTCAGATTTAAAAAAAAAAATCTGCTTCTTCACCTGTTCGGTCAGCTGTCCATTTGGACAATCTTTTTTGAATCCTTTATACCTGAAAAGTGATGGTGATGATGATGAAAAATGAAAAATTATTCCTTGTCATTAATTGAACAAATTTTGATTTACAAACCATTGTCTGATTTCTTTTTCGGTAACTGTATCGCCAATATTAATTGAACAAAAAGAAGAGTGAAAGAGAAATTTTGAAATTTATTATTAATAATCTATCGATCAAAATCTATCATATTCTATGTGTGTGTGTGTGAATGGATTAACTAGGATTTTCATACGATTATAACAATGATAATTTGGACAGACTTTTTCCAGTGAAACTCATTTCACTACTTACAATAAGTATCTTTAGTTAATTTTTGTACCATTTCTGAATTGAGTTTACTATTTTTTTTGCCCATCGCCACCACCAACAAAAACAAAAACAGCAACGACAACAAAACACACACTGGTTGTAGGGAAATTTAGTGATGAAAATAAAGTGAAAAAAAAATTCAATAAATTTGCCCTTCAGTCCAATTCAAGCTTGATTCGTTCGTTTTTTGCACTTGATCAGCAGCTTTTTTTGTTAAAGTTTTTTTTCGTCACACTTTGAGGTTCCAGATTTTTTTTTCGTTTATTTGCTGGAATCAAAAGAATTTTTCGTTGTAGTTTCACGACAACAACAACAACAACAAAAAATCAAACTGAATTATTGATCAATTGAAGAAAAATTGAGAAAAAAAATCGATTTTTTTTTGAAAATGAAAACGTAACAATTGTATGACGAAACTACATGAGCCGGATTATGATGATTATTTTAATTGTCGCCGTCGTTGTTGTTGTCAAATTACAAAATAGAAATTGTCCAAATGACAAAATAAAGATAGAGATAAATTTCACATTGAATTGAAAGAATTGTTTCTTGATCAAATATCTGATCTATATAAATTCGTATCGCGTTTCTCGTTCACTTTTTGTGTTTGTGTTTTGAATCGTTCAACACAATGAGACACACAAACATACAAAAAACACAAAATCCCTTATTAGGAGAAATTGATGTAAAATTCAAAGCCAACAGTGTTTACAGGCACATTATGATGGTGATGATAAAGTTGAAAAAAAAATTTCAAATGACGTCTGTTTTTTGTTTTGTTTTTCACTGGCGGAATCCAATCACATCATGACAATTGTGTTATTGGCGATTGAATGAAATCGATATATGCTGGTTACTGTTGATTGTTTCGCTCTTTCTACATTTTCACGCCGTTTTGTTTTGTTTTGTTTTGTTTTGTTTTGTTTAAATTAGCTTTTCTTTGTTTGTGTGCAATGTTTGAATGGTCATTAATTGTCGAATTGATTGAGCATTCGATTTGTTTTTTCACACTCGATTGATGTTGATCATCGGATGTGATAATGAAATGAAAAAATCTTAATTTCAAATTCTGAATATTGCTGCTATGGGCGAATAATAAATGACAAGCACAACTTTGATTTTGCTTGTAAAAATTATCATTTACGAACACAAAATAAACTAGTAGACTAGTAGATAACTTGAGTTTTCTAAAATTTCTGAGAATTTTTTCTTGTGAGAAAATGATATAAAAATTCAAAAGCCGCCACCACCACCACCACCACTTCTAACAACAGTAAACGGCTAATGTGCAATCGTTATGAATCATTGAATTGAACTGATGATACTTTGGAATATAAACCAAGAACAAGAAGAAAAATGTTCCAAACGAAAAATGGGAAACGGATTCAGCGGGAGTCCAAATCGATGTATCGAGAATGCTACCACCACCACCACCACTAGACAGACAGAAAGAAAGAAAGAACATGACACACATATGACCAGCAGCCATCCCGCCAATGTAATTGGATGATCAAATCGGAAAAATATAAAGATGATGACGACGAACGAACAGAATCCAGAAGAGAATCGGGTATAGAGACTACACACACAATGAAATATTATACAGCACATACTCGACACAAGATACATTGAACGAGAGTGAGAGAGGGAAAAGGTTCGGGTTATAATAACAACGATAACGAATTGTGCGCCCGAACGCATGTTTCTCTTTTTTTCTCCATTTCATTTTTGGTTGTATATCGGGTGCCGTTTCTTTTCTTATAAAATGTGTTTGTTAAACAACAAGAAAACGACGAAGAATACATGAATCGGGCATTGAAGTTTTTTTGTTCCATATGATCACAAGTGACGAACCTGGATAACAACGTTTCCAACGTGATATGAAGCGAGTTTCGGGAAAAATATCAAATAATGAGACAATACAAAAAAAGAGACGGAAAATTGTCGACACAAACATACACGGAGATGGAGAATATACCTTTCTTTCTTTCTTTTTTTTATATATGAAAATTGTTCTATGTTTGTATCATGTGTTTGTCTATGGTTGTCTTTGCCAATTCTTCTACAATGGGTGTGTGTGTGTGTGTGTGGATAAGGTCCTGAAATAATTTTTTTTGTGTTTGTCTGTGTGTATGCAGGTTAGTTTTGTGTTTCTTTTGTTCTTTTTTATATTTTGTGTGTGTGTGTTTGTATCACAAATTCAATTGTATGTTAAATATATCTATCTGTACAAACACAGAGGCTATTCAAAGAGAGATATACATAGTTTAGAAACAAGAAGTGAAATGAAATTATTCTTTACAAATATTGGTAAACTAGTAAACTGGAATAAACCAGAATCTGTTGTTTTTGTTGTTGATGGTTTTGTGTGAATCATTCAACAGTGAATTTAGCTTGTTTATAGATATTTGTTAGTTGTCATTTCAAAAAAATGTTTTTTCGAAATGAAAAAAATGGAAATTTCAAATTCAAATGAATGTTTCATGATGATGATGATGACAACGACGACAACGATGAACGTCACTTTTTTCTTTCGTCACTTCCTTTCTCTCTCTCTCTCTCGTCTTTGTCCATAATTATGGTTGACATATACTATTGGTGTGTGTGTGTGTGTGTGTATTATTGTTTTTCGTTTGTTTCATTTCTCTTTCTATTTTTTTCTGGCCAAAAGTTTGAATTTAAAGTTGATTTACATTCCACTCACACATACACTAACAGACACACACACACTGATGACACAGCGCTAGACATCGCGCCCAAATCAAAATGTTCACTTTACCTAGAATTTATTTTTTTTGTCGACTCAGTCCAGTACAAGTCCACACCTGAATATTGTAATCAGGAGAAATATTTTGTATGCAAACCATATCTACATATCTGTATATTTGACCCAGACACAGTATTTGATTGAGCCAATGGTAAAAGTTGGATAAAATTCAAAATCTTTATCTTCATAAATGAAAATGGCAGTGATATAAATTGAATGTTTATGGCAATTTTTTTCGGGGCCATCATCATATCACCAAATCGAATGAATTATTTTGTCTACAGTCTACTGTGTAAAATACACAGTAGTAATATGGTGATGTCAGTTTTTATTTTCAAACAATAAAACAATTTCGTGCTAAAATACAATATATATACCTGTGCCTCAAGAAAGAATTTTTTTTATATTTTGTATATACAACATTACAAGCTCCAATAAAGAGTGAAAAGAGGAAAAAATCCATTATCATTAAGTTTGCCTTGTGTGTGTGTGTGTGTGTGTGTGTGTTTGTGGACAATTGTGATTCATTCATTCATACTGTCCGAATCGATATCTTGAATCTAACCAACCAAGCGACAATATTGATTAATTATAGATGATTGTGATAATGACTGTAGTCTTTAATGAGAAAATGAAAACAAAACAAAAATCTCAGCAACTAAACCACAAACAGGAACAATATCAATTTTCGTTAATAATAATCAACAGTGATAATAATGATAATGAATGGATATTTGATCGACAATAATCAAAACAAAGAAATGAAGAAATCTATTAATTATTGGTAAATGAACGACAATACTGTGTGCCATTCCATCTTATTACGGAAATGAGAAATTTGAATAATCAACCAAAATATTATGATCGTAAATCGATTAGTGATATAGGGCTTATTTTTGATCTATTCATAATTGATAACATTGATTAAATTATCATTTCTGTTTCATTTCTCTCTCTCTCTCTCTTTCTTTCTCTATATTTGTCCACATGCACAAAGGAAAAGTTTACTTTTTTTTCTTTCTTTTGTTTATTCATTCACATTTGTATGACTCATTGTTTCTCTGGTCATCTATTTCATTGTCGATTGATTTTAATTTGAATCCGAATACGAAAGTGATAAATTAAGATAGCATGATTCACTCGATAAAGTTTATATCGAAAGTTATTTTGATCCATTTATTTATTGATCTAAACAAGAGAGAGAGAGAGAGAGAGAGAGAGAGAGATTTGACAATTTGAAATGTATATAGCAAACCCACAATGATAATAATCAACTTGTGATGTTGTTATCATTGTTGACGATCACTAAACAACAACTTGATTCAAGTGTTGCAAAGTTTATATTTTTTCTGCTAATTAATATCTCTTTTTTAGATTCTCTATGCTCTATACACACAAATATTTGATTATCTTGATATTTCGAGTTAATAAATAGAATCGAAATATATTATATTGCGGTGTATATTGCGTGTATGTTTTCATTATTGTTAAATTCAATGATGATGATGATTGAAATAAAATAGAAATGGAAATCATCAGACGGATATAGCCGTCTACTGTAGTATGATTCCCATTAGATTCAAACAACAACAACAACAAGAAAACTTTTTTCCATTGAATTTTTTTTTTCGTTTGGTGCCACACAATCATTTAAACAACCAAGATGAACCGTTTTTCTTTCTGGTTACCACAGTAACAATTTTTTTCGTTGTTTCAATTTTGTTATCCAAATGAATAAATGAAATTTACTTTTGCAAAAAAATGCAATTGTCTGTCGTTGTTCATTGGAAAAAATCTTTTCGTTTTTCGTTAGTTTGAAAATTAATTAAACAAGCATCACTAATAGGACTTTTTCCCTAGCATGAGATGTATTCATTCATCTATGATTGACTAATCGCAAGTAGAAAAACGATATCCTCAACTTTACTTTATCTTCAATGATAATGCATTACAGCAAAAAAAAGAAAGAAAATGTTTTGCCAATGTATGTGTGTGTGTGTGTCTATGTGTATGTTTACCCAGTGGGTGATCTATGATATTCATCATCATCATCATTCTGGATAGGATGTTGTACTATTAGATGTTTACTTAAATTATTATCATCATCTTTCTACTCTATCAAAACAGAGATAGAGAGAGAGAAATATTATCGACATTTATTTGCTATCATCATGATCTAATATTGATGATAATTCAAATAATGAATATTTCCTAGAGTTTGTTGGTTCATATAAATGATCATGATGATGAATAGATAAGGAAAATTTTCAAAAATAATCGTATTATCTTTACCATAAATCATTGATTATCATCGATGATGCCAATGTTTTTTTTGTTGTCAATTTGGCAATTAATCAATTACTGTTCGATACCGTGGTGGGTTGGAGTTTGTTGATTTTTTGTATGACAATACAAACACCCACCTATTTGCACACGAATTAAAAGTGAAACGGTCAATCCTTCTTTATTAATGGAACCGTATGTGTGTATGTGTGTGTGTGTGATGAATTTCTGATGATCCGCCAGACAAAAAGTCAAGTTATTTTGACCATCAATAAAGTTTTGAAAGTTCTTTTTGTTCTGTCACCTGGATCGTTTCTTGATCGACACACGAATTGGTATTGAATACTAATATAGCGAACGAAGAGAGAGAGAAAACTTTATTTTATTTCCGCCATTAACTTTTGACTATAGCATACTAATGATCATAGTGGACATCATCATCATGATTGATCATCGATAAATGAAGCGAACCTATTTTGCTTTTTTTGAGATAAAAATTTCAAATTAATTCAATTCAAGCCTAAAGAAACAAGGTTCATTATAGTGATTAATGAAGTAAAATTCTGTAATTCAATGTTTAGTTGTTATTTCATGCTCTAATTAATTAATTAATTTTGAAAAAACAACATCTTCATTAGCTTTTGAATTCAAACGAATTCAGCTGGCACAAAACAACTGGTGAGATTATATTATATTCAATTTTACATTTGAAATTATCACATCCATTCGAGTGAAAAATAACATCCATCATTGAATTCATTTCATTTACTGACTAAATGGTAATTAGTAATTAGAATCAGTCATATTTCTTTTCATTCTGACTATTTAATATTTAACACTTGATTAGCAATGTTCTAATCATACTTGTCTCACTGTCAGAGCATGAGTGTAAAAAAGTCTGATTTCGTTGCACATCACCATTCATTCATTCATTCATTCAATTAACTATACTGGAGTTTAAATCTCAAAGATTCGAATGTTTCTATGGCCAATTCATCTAATTTATATTCAATGCCAAGATTTTGGTTCAGGAACCATCATATACATCCGTTTTTATCAACAAAGTTTTCACTCACTGGTTGGTCAGCAAAGTGAAGCAGAGGAAAAACTATTCATTTTTGTTGTTGTTGTTGTTGCTGTTCGCTAGTTTTCAGGTCACACTGTCGACTTTGTTGATGATGATGATTCGCGTTCACTTTTAAATTGAATTTTCCGCTATGTAAACGAAAATTGAAATACAAGTTCAAATAAAATGGAAACATTCCAACATAGAACAAGAAAAGAAGAAAAAAAAGTTTTCATTCTGGTTCCTTGAGTTTTCAATTTTTTTTTCATTTCATATTTGGTCATATAGTTGCTGCTACATTCTTTGTGTGAGTACAATTTTCCTTTTTCGACAATTCAATGATTCTAGAGATGAAACATTTTCTCAATAAAAAAGAATCGATTCAAATTTTATCCAAAATAATGTCATTCGTGATGATGTTTCAAATAATTTTCCTCCATTGTCATAGAAGAGTTATCTTGGATTCTTTCGAAATTCTTCTTCCATTCTATTTTCGTTCTTTCCTTCCTTTTGCATATTGAATTCTTTTTTTCTTTTTATCAAACCATAGACCAGGCAAGATAGAAAACTATTGATGAAATTTGCATTTTTTTCACTCCACAAACATCGTTCTGCATTTAATGAATAATTCATATATATATAACCAATGCCTAATGGCAAGACATTCACATTCACATTCCTCATTAATGCAAAAACAGAAATTTTAAAATTTTTTCGAAATTTTCACAATCGGACATGGCAACATCTGGTGTGATTGGTAGAAACTTCTAAGTTTAAACATTTTTCAAATAATAAAAATCAGTTAGATTCGATTTAGATGATGAAATGGCTTTTCTGTTTAATTTTTTAATGGAAGAAACGATGCTAAAAATAACGATAACTAAATTTCACAGGCTGGCCATTTATAAAACCAGTTTCGTTTTACCTGAGGAACGCTTGGTTGTATATGTGTGTGTGTGTGTGTGTGTGTGTGGGTATGTGACCTCAAAACCCGAAATCAGTGTTACGTTGTCCAGTACACAGGCCATTCTCATATCAGGTGATTATATTTCTGTGTGTATGTGTGTGATATATAAATATATTATGTAACGTAAAAAATGTCGATTCTTGATGAATCATCACTGGAAACATTCGAAGAACGTGGATCACGATTACTTGTTAGCCACGCGAAAACTGATCATGACCAGAATCATTTACCAGTATGGTTTAATCTGGAAAAATTTTGTCGTATCAAACCACTTGTGAATCAATATTTTTTCAGTATATTTTTCACCCATCTTTCCGGATTATTAATATTGATTTTTGTTCGTTCCATTTATCAAACATTATCATTGACGGGTAAATCGAAGAATCTATCGGCCACATTTTATCGTTATTTGCATACATGTTTACATGTTAAAAAATGGTATGAAGGAAAGATTTGGATCAAAAATGATGATGCATATGAATCATTACAAATGGTAAGCTTAGTTGATTGAATAGATTCATTGACAAACATTGCCCTTTTGAAAGGTTAAAACCATGCATCAAACAGTTTCGAATATTCAAAATAAAGGTAAAAATGATGGTGAAAACGAAATGGCCATTTCGATACGTGATATGACATTGACACAGGTAATTACGGAATACGGGAACCCAATCATTGATTGTTTCGTTTTTTCAGTTTGCATTTGCCGGATTATTTGTTCTTTACCCACACAAATATGGCTTCAGTACGAAAAAAGAAGATATTGAAACGATGATTTATTTCTGGTCCGTTATCGGTTATATGCTTGGTATCGATGATGACTATAATCTTTTTATCGGTGATTATGAAACGATTCGACAGAGATGTCACAGGATTTTGGATCAATATTTTCGTCCATCATTGTTGGCCTACGAACGAGACAGTGTTCAGATGGCAGATCAAATAATTCAATCAACAAATCAATTCATACCTGGATTACGATATAAATCATACATGAAATTCATATGGAAATCATTAGCAATGGACAAGGAATGGCCATCCAAACCTTTGAATCGTGAACAACAATTCTGGTATTTTGCAAAAAAGATGATCATTGAAAAGTTCTATTATTTCTGGGCTGTTAGATTCGCTCTAAATCAATTATTACGTTTCACATTGTTCACTATGCAATTTAGTTTTCTACAACGATTGAAAACAAATCAATTGGCTCATATCGATCAACAAATTCAATGATTAATTGACGTTGTTGTTGTTGTTGTTGTTGACGATGTCTCAATCAAATGAAACAATAATTGCAAAACATTTGGATGATTTTTCCAATCATCGACAACAACATTGGATTTTAGAACATTCGGATGTTTAAAAATTTTTGGCCAAACCGATTGAATTATTTGGAAATCATAAAATATCAAATAAATTCCATTCAATATTTGCTCATCATTCAGGCCTTGTTCGCGAAAAAAATTGACAATATTCTCGGCATTCACTGAATTGAATGAACGATTTGTTGATTTGAATTTTCCAATTTTATGTTTCACTTCTTTCAGCGAAATGGCGAACTGCATCTGAATAAACGTATTGAGCGTTAATTTGAAATTATTATTCTCGACCATTGTTGAAAAACGACTACTCGGTTTCAATATATTGTGGATGGAAATGTATTTCGATCTCATTCCTTTCTCCTTCAACAATCGCATGTTTTTAATGGCAACATCAATATTCATGATGAGACGTAGAAATTCTCGGCCATCAGCATACGATCGTAATTCATGTTGTTTTTGAAATTTTTCAAAATTTTCGCATATATTTGCAGAGGATAATTCCAACATGAAAATATTCGCTGATAATTGTTGAATTGTACAGCCATATTTTGTCAGGATCACATCCATTCTTTCGCTGATTAAGCTGGCATCAATATTCAATAATCGCTTACGAGAGAAAAATGTGGAACGTAAGTCTGCATTATCACGAAAATGATTGATCGAGGCCAGTCCAACAAGATTGTCCGTATCACAATTGTTCAATGTATGAAAATGTTTCACCATAAAATTTACGGGTAAATTCAATTGATTTTTCAGAATATTTAGATTCATCAACAATTTTCGTAGACTTGTCTCCGATAAATGGTTATCCGAATCTGTAGCATCAATAATATGTTGAGCAACTTGGTTGGAACAATCCAACATTAGCCTCAAAATCAGCGTAATCAATGTTCGACGTACATCTTTAATGACAATGGAATCATCTGTGAAATGTTTACATTCTTCACGTAGATGTTGTTCAAATTGATCGAAACAAAATTCGTCACTATTTGACGGTCGAAGATGATTGACAATGTATTCAAGTAGATTTAGATGTTCATCATAATAACCATTCGATTTTAATTGGCCAACATTTTTGTTCATTAGATTTGGTAATGCATAAAGCATTGCCATTTCCAGACGTTCAAATGCCAATTCCTTCAAAATGTTGATTTTGCTTTCAACTTTTTCCAATGACATATTCAATACCTGTATATTATGATTGATATCGTCGATTTGGAAATTTGATTGTAATAAATCGATTTTGTCACTCACTGTACGTTGATTACGATCAATACTTGAATCATTCATCCATTTCAATAGGATTAGATTGGCTTTTTCATCGGTGATTTTCAATTTTGTCACCAATTCCGTTCGAATCGGTTGTATGATTGGATCTTCAAGATTGATCGATTCACATATGTTTTTGTTGTTGCTTAAAGTTCTTCTAATTACTTGATCTAGTCGTACGTTTCGGCAAAACATTCGGATCAGAAACATTTTTCAGCAAAAAAAAAATATCATCAAAAATATTGACCCTCGTGTTTGTGTGTTGATGATCAGAAAAATGAATAAAAATCCCATTCATAAAGAACGTAATTATTATTTTAATAAAAACTTTATTTTGCAAATAATGTTCATATATTTATTTATATTTATAACAATGATAAAAATAGAAAAAAGGGTTTGAAATTATCATCAGATCAAGATATCAATAGATCATTATCCAAATTATTGTTGTTGTTCTTTAGTTGGCCATATTGACCCATCTGGTAGTTTGGATTGGAAAAGAAACGAACCTGGCCAGTTCGAATATTTTTATTGCCATTTTCTTCATCCACATTATTATCAGTGGCCGTTTCTCGATGACGACGACGACGACAGGCTAGATCGGTTATGGAATTCATTCTTGCAATCGGTAATAAGTTTCTGAAAAGAAATCATTAGTTAGAGAATTTTAGTATGGAAATCATACTTACAATTTAACACAAAGCAAAAGAGAAACACCAAGCATACAAACGGCGATAAACCAAAGATAAATGGAATTTCGTTTGAAAAAATTTGACGATTCATTTGATTGATCATTGGTCTGTGGTAATGATGATGATTGGCTGTCGGATTTTGTCGTTTGATTTTCTTCATTTTGATCAATATCTGTGGTCGTGTTGGCCACCGTGGTATTGGCATCAACATTGATCCAAGTGTCAAACATTTGATCTTTTTGTTTGTTAAGGAAAAAATCGAAAATATCTTCAAGATTGATAGCATGAACAATTGGTCTCGTAATCTTGGTATCGAGCGAATGAATTTTTCGTACACAAGTATGGCCATTATCTTGGCTTTCGAAACCAATGTTGCATCGACAAACAGGACCATTGGCACCGATGAGACAAATATGGTGACATGAATTATTCGTACGACAATAATCATAGATTGGTATATGTTTGAAACCAGAAACAATTTTGAGAACATCATTATCCAGATTGGAATGTGGTACTTTTTTCGATTCAATCATTTTCATTGCTGAAGTGAGATTGGTCCAATATAAACGTGGTGTATCACCATTTGTCCAAAACAAGGTGTCATTAAGAATGGCCATTGATTGTACAGTACCGACATGTTTCTCTACCAATTTTTCCGGTCCATGATGTTCATAGCGGCTATGATCAAGATGAATAAAATCAATTTTTTCAAACACCGGATCACCCCAGATCAATTCATTTTCGAATGGATAAGCTACCAGAGCGAATGGAAAACCTTGTTTCGATCGTAACAGGCTTCGTTTGACTTGACCATCCATAGTCAGCATCAATATCTGGGCACTCTTTGATTTAAGACCAACGAAAATGGTTTTAGTCAATGCGTTGATGGCCATCGAAACGGGTTGTTCTAGCTTATCATTGAGAATGGCACGATAACCTTTTTGAATGTTGACCGCTTCCATCGTTCCTTTGATCATATCGACCCAATAAAGATTATCACTATTAATCTCGTAGGTTAATCCAAATACATTGGCGATATCTTCATCAACAATCGTCCGGTAGACAAGATCTGGTTGCATTTTGGCCACAACAATCCGATCTTTGAGGCGGTCATATAGATAGAATTCGTAACGTTCATGATTGTATGCTAAATCGCTGATTAAAAACATTGGTGTCATTGTAATCATTTCAAATGGTTCGGTGGATGCGGAATCAGGATAAAATTTATATAAACGATAACCGGTACTTATGATGAGAAAATCATCTGATCGACTTAAACATGTTCGATGATCATTAGACAGGTACATGTGATCAGGACAAAGACAGGTGAATGTTTCATTCGTACGACTTAGACAAAGATGTGAACAAGGATTACGATGATGATGACGAACACACGGATCGATCATTTCAGATTTCGTGGTTTGTTGTTGTTGTCGTAATGGATGATACATGGTCAGACCGTAAAGGCCACGTCGTTTACTGATGGTTGGTGTGAAGATATTCACCTGTTCATGACAACGAATCTTTTGGCAAGCAAAAAGTTTTTTCGCAATCCAATCAGTCCAATACAGTGTGTCTTCGAATACGATCATTGAATATGGTTGGCGGATAAAATCTTCGTGCACTACACGACGCATTTCAATATCAAAATCATAATATTCAATTGAACCAGTTTTGCCATCACACCAATATAGACGATTTGTTTCCGATTCATAAACGATATCATTGGGCCATGCAACATCAGTGAATAGTTTTGTGACTTGACTACCATCCAATCGTGATTCATAGATACCACCATTATTATCATGCCATTGTGTCCAATACAGTCGATATCGTGAACGTACAGCAACTATTCCACGTGGTGATGGTAGATTTTCAATCAAAGTCGTACAGATCAATGATTCGGTATGGCAAACGACGATTCTTTCACGATTAGCTTCAGTCATATAAATATGTTTGGCCAACCAATCGATTGATATGCCTTCGATTTGACTTTTAATGTCATGCAATAATAACTTTTTCTTCTGATTTGCAACGGGATATTCTTGTATTTGGCCATCGATAGGTATCTCATAAATGGATGAAAATAAAGATTCATTATGAAAAATGGAATAATAAAGTTTACCATCAGCAATGGATAAGTCCAAAGCAATAATCGTTGTTGGATCGTAATCATTCAATGTGAGAACAGGAAAAATAATCTTCCTTCGTGTATCATAGCCATGTATATCGTTACCAGTGGAAAAATAAAGTACAGGTGAAATTCTACTGCCCGATTCGGTATCTACGACACAAGTACGATTATCAATAAGATGGTAGCCACCAAAACATTCACAACGATAACTGCCAACTAAATTGATGCATTTATGGCTACAAAGATTATGTTGTTTTTGTTGCATACATTCATCATAATCACGACAATAATGGCCGTCGATTAATTCATAGCCAGGTGGACATGAACACAATGCTTGTTTACTATGTTCATCAATTAGACAGATATGCGAACATTTCTTGTTGTGACATTTTTCGGCATGACAATTTTGCTGTTCATCATCACCATTGGGGCAATCACGTTGTCCATCACAGACACGACTATAATCGATACATAAACCATTGGATTGGCATCGATAACGATCATGTAATTTATCGCATATCAAATCATTATCAGCATCATTTATGGTGGTGCAATTTTGTTCATCTGAATGATCCAAACAATCATTGACACCATCACAACGCCATTTCGGTGGGATGCATTCTAATGAACCACATTGGAAATCACCAAGACAATCGATCGATGATTTAGAACAATTTGCTTCATCAGCATTATTTGAACATTCACTTTGGCCGTCACAAACCCATCGTTGTGGTACACAATTATTAACAGCATCATTACAAGCAAATTCATTCAATGGACATGGTAAATGTCGATGTTGATCATCATCACTGGTTTTATTTTCCGATGAATTACAGTATAATTCATCCTTGTAATTCGAACAATCATTATCACCATCACATACGAAAAATTTAGCCAAACAATGTCCATTGCCACAATCGAAAAAATTATCACCACATGCTTGTGATGAACCTAAAAATGGTGAATTAAACTAAATCAATCAATCAATCAATAACACAGAAAATGCTTACATGATTCAAATGATATCAATGGCAGAAATAATAACCAAATCAACAATCTGGCCATCATCAATGATGATCAATGATTGAGTATTGACTATAATTATAAAGATTAAAGATGAGCAAAAAATTAATTAGATCAACTGAGATGTGTGTGTGTGTGTGTGTGTGTTTTTTATAAAAACCAACAAACAAATCAATAATTTAGATGTGTGAAAACAATTTTTAAAACAATCGATATTGATTTTTGTTTCAAAGACTTTTTAAATGCTTTCTGTAAGTTTGATTTTTTCCACCAATTCAATCTATTGATTGATTCATAGGTCATAAATTGAAATTCAAAATTATGACTGATGCGTCGTTACTTTTGCTGTCTCTGTTCTCTGTTCTCTGTTTGTTTGTTTATTGGTAATAATAATTTGCTTCTTAAACTTTTAATCATCTTAATGGTGATGATGATGAATGATTGAAAAAAAGTAGAAAAAAAAATTTCATTCTTTCTAATCACCATCAACATTATCATTATCAAAACAAAAGATAATAATAATAGCCATTTGTGTATATGTGTGTGAAGTGAGTTTGAAATGGCCAAAAATCATCAAAAAGATCAAATTTCGGAAAAAAATAAACACCGTCTATAAATATTGATTATTGGTTATCACCAATAATAAATGAATAAATGAAATTAATCTGAATCTTTTTTTTCCCTTGTTGGAAATTTTTTTTTTATTTGAATTTTTTCGAATTTTTTCCCTGTATCTTTGAAAATAGGAATCGAGAATGAATGAATGAATGATTTATTTCCATAATAAATGATGCTAATCACGCATTTGGTTCGCTTGATTTATTGAATCTATGTCATGGAACATTTGTGAGTGATTTTGTAAATTGATCATTTATTCATTCATCGACTTTTTTTTCTAATGTTGTTCAATTGGGCTTGGTTTTTCGGTGTGTGTGTGTGTGTGTGTGCATGATGAACAAGAGAGAGAGAGAGAGAAAACCAATTGAATCTAATCAAAACTCATCATCATCAACAACAAAGACAAGTTGGTATATCCGGTAGTTTGTTGTATGTATGTTTTTTTCTCTCTTTCCTGGTTTTTGCCGTTTTATTTTATTTTATTTTTTTTTAGTTTGAAAATTCGGAAAATGACTGAAATTCACTGATGATTACAGATGGATGAAGTACTTATTTCCGATTATTTAAAAAACGTTACTGATAGGGATCATATTTAATGGTAAACAACGGATATGGAATATAAAAACAATAAATAGCAACCGGTTAATCAATCAATCAATAATTCACATTTTTGTTTGTTTGATTGATTATTAATCAGCCAAAAATTTCATCGATACACCATATCAACCAAATATTTTTCGATATCCGGCAAAGATTTTTTTCCTCATTTTCTTTATAGGGTGTTATCTCAACTGGAAATCTAGATCTGCTATAGAATGCTGTTGTTGTTGTGTTATTGATTGATGTTGACATTTTTTTTCTTTTTTTTCTTTTTCTCTCGCTTTGTATGTGACAATGTTGGTGATGATGATATGATGATTGTCATCTTGTGATCATGAATCAAGGAAGTTCAGGTGTGTGTTTACCAAATGATGTGTGTGTGTGTGTGAATAAATATTGATCTTTGATCGAGTGGTGTTTTGTGTTAGGCGAAACTAAATATCGATTTTTTTCTCGGATTGTTGCCGGTTCTGATCTCAATCACAGGCGACAATCAATTTATTGATCATTAAGTAATCGATGAGACAGATTGATTGATCGATTAGAAATGTTTTCAAGAATTTATGATTATTAGCAACAATCACTAGACACCTACACACAAGTTTATCAAAGAAAAAGAAGAAACAGAAATCGGAATTAATAAACACCCCCGCGCAATCGACGACTTTAAATTAATTTTTTCTACTCTGCAAGGTTTTTGGCCATCATCATCATCATCATAGTGATGAATGTGATGTGATTGCATCCATCTCATTTTGGCCATTATTTGTAATTGTATCGACTCCAAACAATTGTAAATGGAGATTGTTATTGTGTAAAAATGTCATGTCTTTTATTATGTTTGCCAATGTTGTAATAATCATCATCTCAACATATTTATGGCTTCGGATCGATAAACCAAATATAATCAATATTCTTTGTTATTAACCCTTTTCTCGTTTCGACCAGAACAGTAGCTATACAGAACACAAGTTTACCGTGTGTGATCAATTGACAAAATCATAGATCACAGATCACACTAGCACATTGGATATGCTATGAATTTTTTTGTCTATTTTCGTTGGATTCATTCAACAAAAAACATCACATCACTTTGTTGTTATTGTTGATGATAATGATAATGGTAATGGTTGTTTACAATGATGCCACAAATGGAAATTTTATTTATGTTTGTGGTGTGTGTATGTCGTAAGACGTGTGTGTTGTTGTGGTGGTGTTAAAAATCACACGACATCCAACGTAAAATATACACTTGATGTCGTTGTTGACAAAACACACACACACACATACACACTGCTTTTTTTTATTTAAGAAAAGAAACTGTCAATTCAAGACAAGTCTTTATTTCATTTTATTGACTATGATGAGATTATGTCATCATCAAATGACGACAAACACTGAACAAAATATCTATATCATTAGTATGTAAACATTTTGGCCCTAAAATGGTCAAATTGTTATTGTTATTGTTATGTGGTCAAATCAGCCTCTTTTCCTTTTCATTTTGGTTAGTTGAATTTTTTTCCTCGTAAAAATAAAAATTTCAAGAAACCAGCACTGTTTTATCTAGAACGCGATATGATGTGATGGGATTTGACCTAGATAGAAGCGTCATAATAATAAAAAATTAGTGCAACCCTTTAATAATAACAGTTGAGTGGCAAAGAAAACAGAAACTTGTTACATCAATCAATCTATTACTTGTCTATGATGAGATTTTTTTTTCTACCGAGAAAAAAAAACTAAACTAGTTGATCGTTTTAAAATATTGTCACACACACACATCGAAAACAATGAAATGTCAATTGTGATCTAATTATGCTGATTTTAAACAAAAAACCTAATTATGATGATTTAAGTTTGCATTTTGCCCTCTGTTTTTGTGTGTTTTTCTTTTATTTTTCTTATTAACTTGATTCTATTCTCATTGATGATTTCCGTTGCTGCTGACAACATAGTTGGAAAATATGTGTGTATGTGTGTGTGTGTGTGTGAATAATTTTTGTCTTTCTACAAAAAAGAGAAAAATGTTTGTTGTTTATTTGTCAATGTCACAATCATCATCATGTTGTTGATGATGGCCATGGTGAAAGGAATTTGACCAAATCGAGACGAAAAAATTTCCAAATCTGTTAGTATTACACTTGAGATTTGATTTGCAAGAAAGTATCAATAAATAAATATATATCGATATCGATCATCTTTATGATCACTGCACGAATTGCCATTGCCCTCAAACGAACAAACATTATCGAATCATGTTGGTTGAGTTTTTTGTTTGCAGTTTGTGTGTGTGTGTAAACATCATGCAACATAAAAAAGCGAACAATTTGTTGATCATCATCATCATTGATTCGATTCGTTTTCTTTTGGTTTAGTTTGGATGAAATATCAATCCCGAAATACGAATGTACGATTAGTTTGTCTGTATTGCCAATGATTGTGATCATTATCTGGAATTGGACACCGTGGACACGATCCAGATCACCAAATAAAAATGTTGATGTTCTCTCCCTCTCCCATTCTCAGCAGTACATGTTTATCAAAAATCCATATAGTCTCCACATAAGCTACTGTTATTGCAAACGAACTAATGTGAACAACAACAACAACAACAACAACAACCAAAATAATCAACAACAAAAAAAATTATCGCCACACAACCATCACTGAAAATGGAAATCAACCACCATAACATAACATCATCATCAAGAGGATCCACTTTTCTAAATCTCTATATGAGGATCATGATGATGCGTCTTAATTTCAGAGTCAACAAGTTTGACATTCGAATCTTTCATTTTTCAATAATACTTTTTTTCTGTAGAAAAAAGAGCAAAAAAATCATGTTGTTGATCAATGATGCATCACATCAATATAACAAGCAAACAAACAAACAAGATTCATATGTGAATGAATATAAATCCGAAAAAGAAGAAATAGGGAGCGATCGAAAAACTGGCTGTGGTATTGATGATCATTAAATTTTAAACCAATCAAATTAATTTAATTGCAAACTAATCATCATCGATAATTTGAGTTTGTATTTGGGTGACTCATCATCATACGGTTAGCCGGAAACGTGCTATGGATACGCCTGACTTGGAGTGATGTTTTCATATGAAAAAATGTTTTTCACTACATAAACATTTTTCCTGTGTTTATACACCGATTTTGGCAATGTGTAATATTAATCCCTGAACACAGATGGATTTCATTTTTAAAGTTTTCAAATTTTTTTTCGCAGGATTCTCCGGATTCAAAAAACGAGCATTCATTTTTTATTAACCAGGGTTGTGAATATTTGCTCATTTGACTGACTTTATCCTATTTGGGGACACACAATCATCATCATTGAATCGAGTGCAACAAACCAGATACCTCCCAGATACATACATTCATGCATATAGCGTATGGTGTGGTGGACGAGTAGATCGTAGTGTGTGGAGGTGGTGGATGAAGAGAGAGAGAGAGAGAGAGAGATAATGAGAAGGATACGGTAACGGAAATCAAATCAAATAGAGATAGAGATAGATAGAGATTTTCAAATATATTCCTCCGGTGAGTGTGTGTTGTATTCCATTATGTAATAGACAATGGACTGTTAGAGAGAGTGCAATGTGCTCATCAAATAATTGAACAATATTGTTTAGTTTAGTTGTATAATGGGCGCGTGCTTTTTTTTATTGTTCTGACTATTCGATCGTTGGTTCAATCGATCGATATCAGAGTGTGATCTTTGCCTCATATATGCTGTCATTATTCAGATTTGCTTTGCTCATGATATCCACTTAACTTTTGAACATGAAAAAAAAGTAATTTCAAGTGAAATTTTTTCTTTCATGGTTGGATGACATCAGGAAAAAAATTGAAATTTATTCATTCAAAAAAGAATCAGTTAAATTCACGTTTCAAATTTCGGATGGGTGAATCATCAAGTGCTGGGCGATATAAACGATGATTCGAATGAATGAATGAATGAATGGATGAAACAAATGGACATCAAAGTCTATGATAGGGATGGATAATTGATTTTTAAAAATAGATGATGATTCAGGATCGATTCTGATTTCATCATTTGTTTTTTGCAACACAAATATTTTTTTTCTGGTTGTAATCTAACGATTGCAATCTAATATATTGCCGTATTTTTTTTTACCGCAATGCCCCACCCAAGTATCGTACATAATATATACCTTATCGAAAAAAAAATTTCAAAATTCAAATCTTGCGATAAAGATCTACATGGGACACTTGTTCGAAACAAAAATGATACACCCAATTTGGTGGTGGCGCTGTTATCGATGAATACGAAATGACACATTATTATTATATGTCATATATGACACGACCATCATCGAACACCAAGAGAGAGAGAGAGTAGCCTACGCCTGCCAACAACAAAAATTATTATTAGCCTTATGGATTGATAATGATGATGATGTTGGTCCATATAATAACCAACCACTACCAATAACAATAAATAACACAGCGAACGATACTAAACAACCAACCAAAATGTGAAAAAAAAGACCATTGAATATTTGTCAGATAGAGAGAGAGAGAGAGAGATGGATACAAAAAGAGAAAAACCGAAAAACCATGAGTAAGCGAGTGTGACAGAGAGGGTGAGCAATTGTGCACATATAGTGAGAGAGAAAGAATATAAGAGTGTGAAGCAAGAGAAAAGCATTGGTAAACTGCTTGGCTGTCATCATTCGTTGTTTCTCTGTCGTTTCATTTGGTTCGTCTTTTCGATTTGATTTGATCGATTTTTTTAAACAAAGATTTCCTTTTGAAAACAAAAAATAAATTTCGTCTTATTTACGGCCGTTTGTGTTTTATTATTATCTGATTTGTTAATTTACATGAGTTACTGTGCATTTGTTTGCCTCGTTTGGGCTATTTGTTTTTTGTTCATCAATTTGACACACACATCGTATAATTGATATATCATCTAATCAACGCGCCGGGGTTTCCTTCATTTATTTTTTTATTAATTTCCGGCCAAGTTTTTCATTAACCAAATTGATTGATTAACAAGCTACAAATACGTGTTGTGTGTGTGTGTGTGTTTTATTTATTTGAAGGGTTTTGTGATCTTACAATTGTGTTGTCAAAATAATTATCCTGAAAATTATGAAATTTTTTATCTAAAAATCACGTTTTTAATTTCTGGGTAAGTTTTCGATATTTATTTTTGCTCTTTAATTGTGTGTTAAATAGAATAATCCAAAACTCGCATGGTTGCAAGATACAAACAAAAGTTCGTAGAATTCACGATCATGATCACGGCGTGCACGGCTATTTGGTGATTTTTTTTTTTGACTCCCATTTTTGCACATTCTCTGTCAACACGATTCGATATGTGTGTACCTCGCCCATATGGCCATCACAATATCCAATGGGATATCATTTCAAATGAAATGAAAGCAGTAGTTGTCTGGTTGGTTTTTCCTTTTTCCTCATACACACACACACATAATTCGCATTTTCATTAGTTTCGAATATAATACCCGAATAATAATATTGCCGCCATTTTGATGATGATGACGACGGTCGTTATTTGTGGTGGTAATGGCCATAGCTAGTAAAAATACTACTAGTACAGTATGTCTGTTTCATCATTATTGTGTGTAGTAGAGGAAAAATGGGGCAAAAAAATTTTTCGAACTTGAAGCAATTTTTTTCCCTTCATATTCAATGCTGCTAGAATATAATACCGCATTGCGTTGTTAATCACAACCTCCCTCCGCTTAACCCAAACCATCAACAGCAAGCAGTAGCAATGTTTGATGATGGTTCACACACACACACTAGGATTTGAATGTAGCCTTTGTCAATTGAAAAAGAACAACGACCAAAAGAGCATAGCCATCATCATCATCATCATCGTCGTTTTTCTAAATTCTCATTTCTTATTTCGCGCTTACGTGTGTGTGTGTGTGTTATCTTGTCTAAAGATTATTCAATTTCGAAAATCTTTCAACATCCAAATAAGATCATCGGCATAAAAGTTTACCTAGATCTATTATCCATCCATTTTTCTGCCCTTTCATCATCATCATCCATTCAATTGATTCCATTGTTATCGGTTTTTTGTGTGTTTTCTATTTGTCGGTAAGGCTCGTGTGTGTTTGATCGATCATTATCGTTATCATCACTTTCTTATTTTTATCCAAATCCAAATATATTTTTGCCTCTTGTTTGTTTGTGTGTGTGTGTGTGTGTGTTTTAACACGTTATCAGTGCTCTGATAAGTTTTTTGACAAATATATTGTCGTGAAAAGTTCAACAACTTTTTGTCAATTGTCATTGATTCATTTATTTTTTTCTTTTTATTTTTCAAGTAAAATCTACAGATAAGTTTTTTTTCTTCTGGATTAAATCATTTTGTTTCTACTAGTATACACAACGATATATCAAAAACCGTGAAAATGACAACTACTGAAAACGAAACTAAAGTGGAAACACAAGGAACACCAAAAGAAGAAACGATGAACGAAACAGTTGAGTCGAAGAAATCGGATGTAAAAGAAAGTACGAATGAAAACAATTCAACACCAGCATCACCAACAAAGAAAACTGAGACTCTTAAACCGGCTATAACAGCACATAAAAAAGATTTCGAAAAGGATGTCGTCTATTTGTATCAATTTACACGATCAACAACTATTCCATCATTGTCGGCTTGTTGTTTAAAAGTGGAGAATTGGCTTCGTATGTCCGGCATTCGTTATGAAGTAAGTTATGATGAAATGATGATGATTACAAAACAATTATGCATTTCTCTTTACTCTTACTCCTATAGAACGTTGATCACAAACTTCGTTTCAAATCCAAGAAAGGTCATTTACCATTTGTGGAATTGAATGGCAAAGAAATCGAAGATTCGGATACAATTATCAAAGAATTATCAAAATATTTTGATAAAGAATTAGATTTCGGTCTAACTGAAGAGCAGAAAACAACTAGCCATGCATTCATTTCAATGTTGAATAATCATACCGGATGGTGAGTCTTGTTTTTTTCTATTAGCCCCACATACCTTTTCTATTTCAATTTTTAATTGAAAAAGCTTCGCTTAATCCTGTCCACTAAATCATTCAGGTTAATTTTAATCTAAACTGAGGATTAAGATTGAATTTTTTCATTTATTCATTGTATTTGCATCCCATATGTCGCGTAGGCGGGTCAGTTAATTTATTATATTGAACTATGTGTGGTTTTTTTTGATAGATATGGTTACATCTATGATGATAGTGATATGTGTGTGTGTGTAAATGTAGGAGCATGCGAAAACTGTGATATAGAAATGAACCACTCCCAAAACAAATTGTGCCTAGAAAATTTAAATCTACATGACGCATCAATGATGTACAGGCGCCCAAAGAAAATTTAAATCATGATCAATTCTAATCATGTTTATTTGACGATGGATGGATAGAAAGGTGTAGGCTTTGTTTGTTTTTATATATAGAGACAACACTGAATTGAATAACAAATATGAATATGAATATTATAAATTTGGTTTTTGTTTTGGTCATTTTCATAACAGGATTGTACGTTGGTGGCGTTACAATAATCCACGGGAATTTCTTGAAAGCGCTCAACTTGATATCAAACGAACATTCAATTCACGTTTCCCGAATTCAATCTTGAATTTTGTTTTCAAACTTGGTTTCAAAAAGGTAAGTGTTGTGTTGTTATTGTGGTGATGGAGGAGAGAAACTAATTCATTTTATTATTGGAAATAGCATCTCAGTGATTCGCTAGGCTTGGGCCGTGGACGTTTCACATTGGAAGAGATTCAAGAATCGGCTAAAGAAGATCTCAAAGCATTGAGTAATCTTCTTGGAAGCAAAGACTACTTCTTTGGCAAAGAACCACACTTGGTATGTAGTTATTTTGATTGATGTATTAAAGGTCGACTCATTCTTTAAATATGTTGTCATTCATCACAAAAATCATTATTAGCTTGACTGTGTTGCATTCGCACATTTGGCACAATTTTACTATGTACCATTCGATCAAATGAAAGGATGGATTGAAACTGAAGCATCGAATCTGATCGCTTTGGTTGATCGTTTCAAAACAACTTATTGGCCCGATTGGGAAGAAATGTGTTCTTCATTAGAATTAAATACTCATCTTCCTAAGAAAGAAGTACCAGCTGATCAGGCCGAACCAAAAGCCGATGATGAAGAATCGAAAAAGAAAAAGGTATTTATTATTATTATTATCCAGAATAAGTGTCATTCATTATTCATTATTAATAATGATTCGCCATTGTTTCTGTAGGACGACAAAAAGAAGAAAGAGAAAAAAGAAAAAAAAGATAAGAAAAAAGAATCTACCAAAGAAAAAACTGGAGAAACGGCCAAGGAAGCTGGTGATGCTAAAGATAAAGCTGAAGATGGTGCTGCTAAAGAAACTACAGCTGAACCTGCTGCTGCTGATGCTAATAAACAAGATGCAGCTGCACCAAATGGTGGTGAAGCACCGAAAACCGAAGTGGCTGCTTCAGAATAATTTACAAATGGCATCTTGTCTATCGTTTTTTCATCTTTTTTTCTCTTTTGAAACAATAACACATACACAGTCAACCAAAATACAATAACAAAAAAAAATTCTTCATTTTCATCTTCAAAAAAGAATTTGGTTAATTGACGAAATAATTTCCAAAGCCAAACAACATTGAACCCAAATTTCGTAATTTTCGCTCTGATTTTTTTTAGTACAATTTCGAGACCATTTACACTCACCAATCAAACAATCATCGAATACAACATACACACACACACACACGTCATTTTGCCATTGGCATTCCATTTTTTTTGTCGCATTTTTAATACATTTTTTTATCTGATTGATTTTTTTTTGTAAATTTCTCTGTGCTTTTCTATTTCTACAACCATTTCTATTTCACACCCACACGCATACATTTGATTGGCTTTTAATTTATTTTTTTAATTTTCTTTCTTTTTCCTCTAAGAGAATATGTCACAAATATGCGCCCTGTTACACAATGATAACACAAAGATTTACTACAAAAGGGGCTTGCATAAGATTTATGATGATTCATTTATAGTTACAAATTAACACACACACACACATTTCTCCATTTTTGCATTTCACATTCATGATGAACATTAAATTTTGTAATTTTTGTTTCTAAAAAATAAAGATTTTTAAACATTGAAAAAAACCAAATTACAAGAGTCCACACTTATCCATAACGCAACCAATCAACCGACAACACACATACTGATACTGATACTACAATTTTCTTATTTTGCATTTGGAATCTGTATTTAATTTTTTTTAATTGATTAAACGATTTTTAATTAAAAAAATGATTACTGTCTGAAAAGATACGAACAAATGATTGATGATTAATCCAGTGAGCTGAAAACCGTATTTGCGGGTATTGAGCACCAACACCCATTGATTGATCCGGGTTTTACCAACAAAAAAAATTTCCTCTACTTTTTGAATGGCCCCGGTTTTATATAATTGTATTATTCTTTTGTTTATTGTTGCGGTTATTCTTCATCCACATGCAAATCCAATGCTTGGCCATGAATTTATGTTGATTGAATAATCATTCAGTGTGTTGTATTCGTCGTGTCTATCAGCATATTGAAGGCGAAAATGTAATATTCGCTGACTTGATCAATGACGACGACGACGACGAATCCGGAAAAGCTATGTGTTCGCGAAGAGGATACCATTCGTTTGATCATTGAGTTTTTATCAAATCGTGAACTATGTATATCACAATTAAGTTTGGAACGTGAAACCGGTGTTTATAATTGTGATTTCAATGATGATCTCATTTTCTTAAGACAACTCATACTGGATGGTCAATGGGATGATGTGTTACAATTTGTTTCACCATTAGAATCATTCGAATCGTTTTCGACGCAAACATTTCGTTTCTTAATTTATAAACATAAATATGTTGAATTATTGTGCATACGATCGGAAGCCGGTTCACCATATCAAACAGTGGAAGTTGCCGTACAAGATATAATCGAATGCTTAGACCGATTGGAAAAATATTGTCCAAATCGTGATGAATACAATCATCTAAGTTCATTGTTGACCATACCGAATCTAAATGATGATGATGAATTACGTAATTGGAATCCAAATAGTTGGCGTTTAAAATGTTTCAACGATATTTTACCATTGGTTGATCGATTCATGCAAACAAACAATGATGATGATGATACGTGTAAATCAGCTGTACGAAGAATTGCTAAAAATGATCGTCTAATGGATCTAATATTCAAAGGTTTATTGTATGAAATATGTTTGAATACTGTAACTAATCGTCTTGAACATGAAAAACAAGAAAAATCTGAGACAACCGCGACAACATTCGAACCGAATATATTCACTGGTATCATGAATGATGGAATCCAATGGTTAAATTTGAATCAAATTCTTGAAAAAATGCCCATTGATTATATGGATAAATATCTAAATCATTACGAAACCAAAACATTCGATAATGGTGATGCAAATTCATCCAAAGCTGGTAAATGGTCGATAGCGAAACATGAGAAACCAGCATTAGTAGCATCATGGTCTGAAATGATTCTTTCGACACCGATAAAACCAAAAGTATTTCCACATATCGATGTACCTTATACGCGGATCAAAGCCGCTGATTTAATGTCAAAATCATTAAGTGCTAGTCTAATGTATCATACGAATACCAAAGATTTGATGACCATGTCTGTTTGTGATATTGCCCAGTTTACTAGTTCAACATTGGCTGCAACCGGGTTTCATCTGAAATCTGCCAAGCCACAACAACAACAACAACAACAAATTTCAATTGAACAGCAAAAAGATTCGATGATCCAATCGATTGATCGATTATTTCAAGATAAACAACATGAAAAAAGAAATAAACCATCGACCATTGTGATCAAAACATTGAAGCAACATAAATCACTCGTACATGATGATGATTATAATGATGGCTACTATGATCCAAACAAAGTGATGGCAACGATTAGTGAAAAAGCAACACCGATCGAAGATGTTGATTTATCATCAATAATAGCAACCAACAACAATATGTTTGATCCGATCAATGTTAAAGGTCATCATAATAATGATGATGATGATCATAATCATAACCATGATGGCTTGATGGCTACTTCATATCTAAAAATATGGCAAAAAAGTAAATTGAATTCAACAACGAAAATCGAAGAAGGTGCCGCCGCCGATATTCGAAGTAGCCATCATCATCATCATCATCATCATTATAATAATAATAATAATAAAAATACGGGCATACATTCATCATCATCAGCAACATCTACATCGACATCAACATTGGCACAAAAATATAGAGAAGAATCGAATAAATTGGCACGATCACAATCGACTAACAACAAATCGACGACAACAACAACTATGGTTAATATCGTTGATCGTAATAATAATAATAATAATAGTGAGACTAAACATTCAATAACCGCCAAAGGCCAAAAAGAAATGATAATTGATCGAGAAAATTCGATATCAACTGTTAATATCAGCAACAACAACAACAACAACAACCATCACCATCATAGATCGGATCAGAAACATCCGATTAACAACATCAACATCAAGCCCGCATCAATGAATAACAGCAACATTATCCCTAATCAAATGAAACTGGTTACAAACGAAAAATGTTTGGATGATAATAATATAAAGGTAGGTCACACATGCATTTATATTCACTTTAATGAAATAATCAATGATCAATGCTTGAATTCAGACTCGTTTCATACAGTCGCGTTTATTGTTTCTTTCTTTGTTGTTGTTGTTGGTAATCAGTTAGACCAGTAGTCTGTATTGATGATGATGATGATGATGATGATGAATCACGATTCTCATCATCAAATTGATAAGATTTGGGCGAATGAATTTAAATATTTGAATTTTCGTGCATAGAAATCTATTATTGGTTTATTATTTTGTTTGATTGATTCGAATGTTTGGTCTTTAATGAATGGACAAACAAGAGAGAGAGAGAGACTTTCATTTTTTTGCTTTCAAAATTGATTGAAACGAAAACAAACACAGAAAAAACAATGGAACAATCAATTCTTGTTATTATTATTATTGTATATGAGATACGCACGACATTTGAAACATCAATGATGATGATGATGATGATGAGTAAAAGTCTGACCAGCAGCAGTAACAATGATTTATACACAAACATATGACAAATGTTATGATGATGATGACCTACCTTCCTACCAAATACATACATACGGAACAATCGTTTTGATATGAATAACAATGACAATCGTGATGTGTATGTGTGTGTGTAATGAAGATGAGACAATTGTTATTGTTGTTGTTATTGTGGCCATGAACAATATATTCATATATATTCAATATTCCAATAACAAAAAAGCCAGAATTGAGATGTTTCTTTCTCTCTCTCTCTACTTGACTGGTTGGTTGGTTATAATAATAATAACAATAAAAAATGAAAATCAATTGATGAATGATGATTAGTTCAACCATACCATGCTATGCTAACGAATAAAAAGCCGAGATTCTATTCTCATTCATCGTGTTTGTGTGTTGGTGTGTGTTTTGAATCATTTTTCTTATCGTTTTGATTAGATTTTCAACACAATAAATCAAACAACCATTTTTCGTTCATTAAATTCGACTTTGAGCCAATTTTTAATCATTGATTGATTCGAAGAGATTAAAAAACAAAAAAAAATAAAGATAAAAATGTGGACCACCACATCAAGACCGATTTGTCCTATTCACAATCCACAATCGGTTCGAAGCAAAAGCCAAAAGATGTCTATGTATAATGATCATAGTTTGTCATCATCATCATCCGCATTGTTGACACCGATTTCTATTTCACCAATTTCGACATCATCATCATCATCCTCGTCACCGTCACCATTCATACATCATTTTCGTATTTGTCCAATGCGTGAACATTTAAATTTAAATCTAATGAACAGAAGATTTGACCACCACCGTAGTTGTCAATCATCACCATCGTCGCTGAGTCGTTTGTTAAGTCAATCCACTTTATCCTTACGTTCATGTCATGTGAGTCTTTTTTTCATTCATGTATTTGGTCAGATTAATTAGCATTATTAATGATCATCATTCAACATTTGATGACATTGTCCACTCATTGAATCCATTATATTGGCTGTGGCTTTGCTAGCTGGTTAGTTTAGTATTGCCTTGGAATGATGACTATATTCTATTGCTTTTCGTTTGATATTGGAATTTAGATCACCCACGCTGCCATTTTAATCCATTCGGTTTTCATTTTTTTCGTAAATGTTTCTTGAATTCATTCAATCGAAAAAATCATCAATGCATTATATAGTTCTCTGTGGTGGTGGTTGTTTCGAGGTCATTTAAATGGATAGATGTGTGTGTTTGTTTATTTTTATTTTTTTGATTTTCAAAAATTATCAAAAAAATTTGTCCCTTCAATTCATTTCATATTGAAATTTTTTTTTTTTATATGTTGATGTTTATTTTATTTGTTGTTGTTGTGGATAATGTTCACTGTGAATCAAGGTCAAAAAATTTTCCAATTTCCACCTGTCATTTCTGTATTTTTTTTTTTGCAAATATGATCGAAAGTGTTGGCTATTTCTTTTCTTTCGAAGAATGATTTTCTTTTGTGTGTGTGTTTTTTTTAAAACCTAAAACCAAAAAAATTATCATTTGAGAAAAGGGTACTGAACCTGAACTGGTTTGTTTGTTGTTTATCAAATATACGAATATTGAAAACCTGTTCTCTCAGCCAAAAAAAAATCTTAATCCTAAAAATTTTTTTCTTTTGAAAAATTCACAATCTCCATGAATGGCCTTTTTAATATCCTGTCTCTTTTTTTTTGGTTAGCATTGTGTTGTCAGATGAATTGGATTCAATCCATTATCGAGCGTTGGTGCTTCACGAACGAAAATTTGAAACGTAAATTTAATATATCGATGAAACAACCCCCAAACAATAAGAATCAATATATTGCTTTCTGCTGTGTTTGTCAGCAAAACACAACCACCTACCATGCATTTTTTTCACGAAATTTGATTCAAAATCTAAATTCGTGTAGGCATTGATTTAAAAACAAACATTCATTATTGTTTGCCCCTTTTCTTTTCCGATTACCCCCTTTTTATTTGAGTTTTTTTCCAAAAGAATGTCAATGAAATGAAATGAAAGAAAAATTACAAGTGTGTGTGATGTGTGTGTGTGTGTGTGTGTGTGTGTGTGATGTTATTGAGATGCTAATGTCTAATAGTCAGAGGCTTGCGTGTTGATTTCCTTTTGTGGGCAAAAGCGAAAGAAAAAAAATGTACAGGTTTGCTTTTGATGAAAACTTCATTGATTTTTTGGCTGTTTTGTTTTGTTTCGAATTTTCTGGTGATACTGAATGAATGAATGTGTACCCATTTTTTCGTTCAAATTAGAATCATTCTACATTGAATTGATTGGAAATTAACCTCTATTCTTGTAATGTACAGCAGTGTAGTGTGTATTATGATTGTTTTGATGTATTTTAGATGACATTAGCGATATTATCTCTCCTGTATAATAATGCTCGATGCACATATGCACTTTTGTGGTTGTCGCATTTTTTGTTTGTTCAATCAATCACACTGAGAAAAATCTTTGAAAAAATGCCTCACTGTTTTTTGCACATATGACACACATTTATTTGGCTGAGTGCCTCATGTTTACAGCTGGATTTTATTTTGATTCTATCTAAATCGAGTTTGCTTTTGGTTTCTGATTTCTGGTTTTTCTAAATTATTCAAATTCATCATTCATCATAATGATGACAATGTCTAATGTGGAAAAATTGTTTCACCAACATCAACAACGACAGCAAAAGGTATTGCTTCATTTGTATTCATAGCAATCATCAAATCTTAATTGCTGAAAAATTTAAAAATAATTGTCATTTGTCTTTTGTTTGTCAAACATTATTTTGCCCACTAAAACACGCTCGATTGTTGCTTGTGTACTGTTTTTTTTCATTTGCCAAAAACTTTCTCCTTCAATATGTTGTTCATCATCAATGATTATTGGCATTATGTTTGCCCAACAACAAGACATCTCTACTACTTTGTTGAAAGTCAATTAGGCACTTTAGAAGGATAAAACTTTTGCAGTCATTTGGTTTGTGTGCATTGATGATTTTTTATGATCTTGCAAAGTGTGTCCAAGGCGTGAACGAACAAAGTATTGTATGTTTGTCCAAATGTCCAACTGTTGGAATACTTTGATGATGGCTAAAAATAAGCATGTTTCATCTAAATACTTCATTATTACAATTGAATACCTGGAAACGAAATTTTTCTATTCCATTTCATCGTTGCATTCGTTGTCACCTACACACAAAATTTAATTACTGCTTCACAAATATAACTTGAACTTGGTTTGTTTAGCTTCTTTTCCATTTACCTGTTCTTCAAGCTTCATTTCAGGGTTTCACTTTTTTTTTTGGCGCGCGTCATTTTTCTCTTAACCTGTGTGTGTGTGTGTAGTATTTGCATCATTCCGATGGTATATAAATTCTCACAACCAAATTGATGATGAAAAAAATTTTCCCATTTCAACAAACGTGTTGTTCTGGTGTTTGACTGTTGTTTCTTTTTTTGCCATCACTATTTGATTGTTGGATTTGAATTTATTGTTGTTTTTTTGTTCTGATTGTGATTTGTTTGTTTTTTATTTTTACCAAAATGAGTCGTTCATACGGTGTTGGTAGTGATCGATGGTCCAATTTTGATAAATTTTCCACATCATTATCAAGTCCAAATCGATACCGTTCAAAGTCACCATATCGTTCAACTTCCTCACTATCACGAACATCCTCGACATCGAATTTAAAGATTGATGATGATTATTTTAATGCTCTGAATAAAAGTCTTGGTGCACATGATGCCAGTTTTATAGAAGAAGATTCTGGTTCAATGAAAAGTGGACATAGTGGTGGTGGTGGTGGTGGCCGTTACACTCATTCACTCACACGACCTTCATCATCATCACGTAATCGTTATCAAAGTGGTGGGGATAGCAATCGAAAATATAAATCCACGTTTGATGATGATGGTGATTTGGGCCATAAATATCGATATGGTACTGGTAAAAGTTATGGATCATATGATAATGATTTGAATAATAATTATCCATCCACTTTTGGTGGTGTTGGTGGTGGTTATTCCACAACGACAACAACCGTAACAAATAAAGGCGTATCATATGCTGCTGCATCCGATTCTGAACCAGAATATGAACCTTATTCATATAAATATGATTTGAAATCGAAATCAACAAAGCAACCGAAAACAACTTTATCATCGTCGACAAAGAATAGAGGTGAACATCGATTATTTGATTATGGCAATCACAATAATGACAATAGTGAAGATGATGATGATGATGGTGGCCATGAATCGGATGAAAGTATGAATGAATATCTTAATTGTAAATCATTCTATCCGGATAATCTTTCCGAAGCGAAATTGTTTGTAAGTTAATCTCGTAAACATCTGCAGTCCATGTGTGTGTGTGTGTGCTACCAGATTTTGTTTTGTTTTTCCAGCAACAGTTTGGATTAAATTTTTATTTCATAATTTTTTTTGTTTTGTTTTCATTTGATTTTTTTTGCATTCTCTTCAACATTGCTGTTATTGGTTTGTGTGCAGTGAGGTGCAAATTCACATCCAGATCTATTATCGAAGAATGAAAAAAAGTCTTAAATTATTATTACAATAATCACATTTTTCACATAAAAATTTCATTTAAAAATTGCAATCTTGAAATACATTACACACACACGCACACATTGATACAGGTAATCGCAAGGGAACATTCAACAGATAAAAAGGTGTGTTTGTGCAAAACTCGTAAATGTATAATGGCCAAAGATAACCTTCAAGTTTATTATTCCATCTACTAGTAATCCAATCATGTTCTGAATCTAAATTTTCATTCATTCTTTTTTCTCAATTAATATGCCATGTCATTCGGATGATGACGATGACTGGATGACATATTGATCATAATCATAATAATCATGGTTTCTCTCTCTTAATCTTTGTTTCATTCGAATTTATTCAATCAATCAATCTTGGACTAACATTTTTTTTTATTGTTTATTAAGCTTGGGCCAAAAATAACCATTTTTTAATGAATATTAATATGGCAAATGTTTAATTGATGATTTTTTGTTTGTTTGTTTGTTTGTTTTCCACATCGAAATGCACAGCATGGAATCCGTACATCACCGATTTTGTCCAGTACTTCGGAACATCGACTACATCATCATGATTCATCGTATGATATGTCCAGTTTAACTTCTCAGCAACAGCAACAACAACAGGATGATAATCAAGATGTAAATTTTATACCAATAATCAAAATTCGTGATCAACAAGCCATACGAACCGGGGAATTTCATCCTAGTGGCAATTATTATGCGATTGGATCCAATTCAAAATTGTTACGAATTTTTCATTATGAGCCATCCTTACAATCAAAGAGCGAAAAAGATGGCAATCAATTAGATCAAAGGTTTATCAATGGTTTTTTCTTGTTCATGACTAATAACGATTCGTTTTTTTCCAATTTGAATTTTAGCAATTCACATGAATTGATCGAGCCCGATGAAATATACGCCCGAACCAACTATCATAAAGGCTCCATTTATTGGTCAGTAATGTGTTTTATGTTGCAATTCTGTTCGTTTATTAAATTTCGGGTTTTCTCACTTCACACAGTTTGGCATGGAATAAACTGGGAAATCTATTGGCAACTGGTTCCAATGATAAAACGGTTAAAATATTGCCATTCAATCAGGACACGGCAACATTTTCAACGAATGAAATCAATCTAAATGCACATGATGGAACTGTACGAGATGTATGTTTCATGGATGATATAACCAATGGATCAAGTCTACTTTTATCTGGTGGCGCTGGTGATTGCAAAGTTTACATTACCGATTGTGAAACCGGTACTACATTCTTAAGCCTTTCTGGCCACTCAGGACCAATTCTATCGATGTATACATGGGGTGGTGCTATGTTTGTTTCTGGTTCACAGGATCGTACGATAAGATTCTGGGATTTGAGAACAAATAGCTGTATCAATTTTGTCACATGTCCAACAATATCGAGAAATAAACCTGGTGGTGCTGTAGCTGCTGTTTGTGTGGATCCCTCCGGCAAACTATTGGTATCGGGTCATGAAGATTCTACCTGTATGCTGTATGATATACGAGGTGGAAGAGTTATACAAACATTTCATCCGCATACTGCAGATATTCGTACGATACGTTTCAGCAATAAAGCCTATTATCTACTCACTGGTAGCTATGATAATCACATTGCATTGACCGATCTACAAGGTGATCTAACACAACCACTGCAAAGTATACATGTTGCTAGTCATGATGATAAAGTGATTCAATGTCGTTGGCATCCCAATGAATTTTCATTCATCACTACAAGTGCGGATAAATCGGCCATCATATGGACATTACCTGATATGACTGATTCATAATAAATGAGATGACTAATATCACACGTACACAAAACTGGACTAATTGGAACAAAATGCAAACATTTTTTAATAATTAATATACCATAAATGATATGATAAATGATAAATGATGATGATATTATATATATATTATCTTGTAAAATTGTAAAATTCATCAAATAAACAAATGTTTTTTTTTCTGTAAAATATGAATGTTATATCATGTCATCCATTTTCAATACTTTTTTCAATTACATTTTGTGGTGGAATGTTAATAATTAATACTTGATGTTGTGATAAATTTTCAAACAACCGTATGATGTGGACGACTTTTCTTGACCAATATGCACAATGAACTTAATGTACCTTGATTTTTACACAATTCAAATACCGATGTTTCCGTACGTTTATAATCGACTTTATTCTCAAAAATGGCTACACTTTGTGGAAATTCGGAACGATGAACTATAATAATGGATTAAAAGGGTGTGGAAATTTATGATTTTGTGATACGTGATTTATCAATTGGCTTACTTAATGTTCCATTAATGTAGAGAACGTTGGCAGATTCATTATCATTGGCCGTAATGGTCGTATATGGAAATGAAGCTTCGGAAGCAATACGCTAGTGGCAATAAATATTTTCAATTTTTTTTGTTTATTAATTTTGTTCATCATTTAGCTTACCCGTAGTATTTCCTGAGCTTCCATTGTGGAACTAACGGCAAGAATATCCGGACCAGCCATTGAAACACAGGATTTCAGATGAAGAACTTTACGTGGAACATTGATTGGTGTTACATAGAATTCGGGAAATGCAGATGCAACGGCTAAAGCACCACTTAGATTGGTTCGTTGTGAAACACCGACAAATATTTCACGGCCTAATTCGACATTTGGTTAATATCAATTTGGTTTGTTGAACTTGTTGAAAGTGATTACCTGTAAAGAGGATATCGCCACCATCTAGTTTGGCTTTTGGATCGGTTATCTCGATCAATGGCAGATTAAGCTCTTTACTCAGGATTGATCGGATGGTATCCACCTGGTTTAATGGATGAATGTGCAAGATTAGAGCATAAAGAATCAAATAATCAGGTATGGATTACCTCTTTAATTCTGGAAGGATGACCAGGACGACAAATCAATGCGGTACCATTGACAGTGAAGGCAGTATCTTCAACATAAACACTATGCGGTAATTGTGGATCGGCAGGTAATTCGATAACATCAAGACCAAGTGAACGTAATAGTTTCGTAAAACGTTCATGTTCTTGTCTTGCTTGTAAAAGGCCAGATTGTGTTTCACAAAAATTGTCCGGAACACGGGCCACAATTGCATGTGAATATCGACCAAACGATGAGAACATTTTCATAATCAATCATCAATCAATCATAAATTCATTTATTTTCATACATGAATAACAAATTGAAAAAAAAACAAACTACTATATATTGTAATCGTAAACTTTGACGAGATGATGAACAGGTGTCCGATTTGTGTGTGGCCGTTAAGAAGCTATAAAAATAATGTAGGTTACGGCAAAGATCTTGACAAGCGATGGGGATGGCGACAGCAAAAGGGGAAACCAAGATCTTACATACCACACACACACACAGACACACAGACACACACATACGCAAGCATCCCAAATTGCTACTACTGCCAATGATCCACCAAAAAATAAATATCCAACGGCAACATATATCCCGAATAAATAAAATATATATTGAATGACTATTTCCACCCAAATCATGTCTATCATGGTCATAATATCGTTTTTTATTAGGGTTCGGTTTTTGCCTGATGATTATTCTTGATTGATAATTTATCTGGATTTGGATTCATATTTTCATTCATCGTTGTTTTGTAACGATAAATGCTTAATTCAAGAATGTTATAGTTTGATATACGCTTAAACAGTTTAAAGAATATAATTTTGTATATAAGTTTTTTTTCATTCATGGTGTTGAATTCTGATTTATCCAAAAAAAGGGGCGAAATTCTTCAATTCATTCTGCTTGTTCACTCATATTATATACCAATAAATCGTCATAATCATCGATAATCAAAATCTATTCAAATCAATCAAACAAAAATGGATCTGCCTATGATGGTTAATCAGCCGGTTGTGATTGACAATGGATCAGGTATGATTTGAATTGAATTTATTGAAAAATAAAATAAAATAAAATTATTGAACACTGTCAGGTGTCATCAAAGCCGGTTTTGCTGGTGATTCAATTCCTAAATGTATATTCCTTAATCTTGTTGGTCGTCCTAAACATATTCGTGTGATGGCTGGTGCTCTTGAGGGTGATTTTTTTATTGGTAAAAAAAATGAAAATTTCTCCCGGATCAAAATTAAATTTATAATTGTCATTCATTTATAGGAAGACGAGCGGAAGAACATCGTGGTTTATTATCCATAAAATATCCAATGGAACATGGTATCGTTACCGATTGGAATGAAATGGAAAAGATATGGCATTATATTTATTCAAAAGAACAGCTGCAAACATTTTCGGAAGAACATCCAGTCCTATTGACAGGTTTGTTGTTTGTTTTTGATAATCATATCGATTGAATGATTTATTAATTTTTTATGGTTAAAAAATAGAGGCACCAATAAATCCAAGACAGAATCGTGAACGAACGGCAGAAATTTTTTTCGAAACATTCAATGTGCCGGCATTGTTCATATCAATACAGGCAGTGTTAAGTTTATATGCAACTGGTCGAACTACAGGTATTGTTTTGGATTCCGGTGATGGTGTGACACAAGCGGTGCCTATTTATGAAGGATTTGCCCTACCACTTTCGATAACCCGATCAGATGTGGCGGGTCGTGATGTAACTAGACATTTGAAATTATTACTCCGTAAAGAAGGTCTCGTATTCAATACGACGGCTGAATTCGAAGTGGTCAAAACTATCAAAGAGAAAATCTGTTTTCTAACCAGCAATCAACAACGAACATACGATGATCGAACTGTACCCGGTGGTACTGGTGAATTAGAGAATACTTCATATGTATTACCAGATGGTCGAACAGTGGAAATTGGTGTATTGCCACGACTTAGAGCGCCCGAAATTCTATTTCGACCCAGTATCATTGGTCATGAATTCGAGGGCGTTCATGAGATACTTATATCTAGTATCGAAAAAGCCGATATAGATTTGAGAAAAATTTTCTACCAAAATATTGTATTAAGCGGTGGTAGTACGCTATTCAAAGGATTCGGCGATCGTCTCCTGAATGAAGTGAGGAAGATTGGTCCAAAAGATCTTAAAATTCGTATCAGTGCTCCACAAGAACGGCTATATTCAACATGGATCGGTGGTTCTATATTGGCCAGTTTGGAATCATTCAAACGAATGTGGATCTCAAGAAAAGAATATGATGAAGAAGGCCTAAGAATTGTTCAGAAGAAAACGTTTTGATGTCAGAAGAGTTTTGAATCACTATCAAGTCACAATAGTTTTGATTACACATTCTATTCTATAACATTATTATTATGGAAATTATTTTACATTATTTCATAATTGCTGGTCGATGATTTTTTTAAAGAAAAAAAATTATAAAACAATAAAAAAATTGGCTAATTTTTTACGAAAAACAACCCGTTTTCAGCGATAGATGTCACTATGTTTGACATTGTGAATTCATTCCAACATAAAAAGTCAGCTGTTGAATTTATTGACAATTTCACATCCAATTCTGATTCGATTTAGTCCATCAATCAATATAATCATCATGAGACGACGAGGTTTAGGCGTTGGTGCCATTCATCGGCAGCAGAAAATTGATGCCAAATATCAGGAGATGAGTGCAACCATAGCCAAAGAACAGTTGGAAAAACTGTCACAACAATTCGAATCATTTCGTGGTAAACTTCAGGATTTTGCCGTCAGCCATAAAAAGGACATCAAAAAGAATCCAAATTTTCGTCGTGCATTTCAGAAAATGTGTGCCAACATTGGTGTCGATCCACTATATTCAAGTACGAATTTTTTCACCAAAATGCTTGGCGTTGGTGATATCTATTATGAATTGGCCGTCCAGATAACTGAGATTTGTGTGGCCTTAAATCATCGAACTGGTGGTATGATGGAAATCGAGGAATTATACAAACGATTGATAAAAACACGAAGTGTAACAAGTAAATCGGATGCTGATATTGTTCAAGAAGATGTTGTGAAAGCCATCGAAAAAATGTCAACATTGGGCACTGGAATACAGCTGGTTAAATGTCGTAATACATATGTGGTACAATCATTATCAAGTGAATTAAATATGGATCAAAATGAAGTGGTCAAATTGGCTCAAGAAAATGATGGTCATGTTACGGTGAAAGATCTGATGGATAAACTTGGTTGGCAAAGAAACCGAGCGGAAAAAGCTTTGAATGATTTAACAATGGATGCTATTGTTTGGCTTGATGAACCTGGATCGGCACGATCATCAACTATTTATTGGTTTCCAGGCTTTTATAAATTATAGAAACTTCATTTCATCATTGTTTATTGGACAAAAAAAATTTAAATTTCGTCAAGTGCTTTATAAAGAGAATATGAATATGAATATGAATATATGAAGATGAATCAAATGGAGTGTAGTGTCTATATTATCATATTATCATCATTATATTATTATATTATGAAAATGCATCGGATCACAAACACTATGGCGCTATCGTCGAACACACTAAATTCGTATTGCTATCACAGACAGATTGTTTAGATTCGAATTTTGTTTTCAATTATTTGATTATACAATTGTTGATCAAGTGGAATGTATGTAAAATTTTTCGAGTCAAAAAAATATAACGGATCTTTCACCAGTTGTGGATCGAATCCTTGTTTACGATAAGTAACTTTATGCAATTTATGTGTTGAAGTTAATTCCAGTTGATCCACCAGACGTATGAAAACAGGTATGGAGAATATGGGCACTTTTTGACGTAATTTTTTCAACAAATCATTAACATCGACTGTACGATCATTATCTAGAATGGCAGCCATTCCTGCTTTGCCTTCACAACCAGGCACTTCAACACCATAAACAATACAATCGGCCAACTGAATTGTGTCACTGATAACTGCTTCCAATTCGGTTGTCGATATGTTTTCACCTTTCCATCGGAATGTATCACCACAGCGATCTTTAAAATAAATATAGCCAAATAGGTCCATGGTCAATAGATCGCCAGAAGCGAATGCACAATCTCCTTTTCGGAAAACATCATAGATGATTTTCTTCTTGGTGGCCTCTTTATTTGCATAACCATCAAAAGCTCTGGTTGGATCGGCAGTAATTTTACCAACAAATTCGCCCGTTTCACCGGGTTTAACACAAACACATAGACCATTTTTGTCACGAATTGGTTTGCCCGTATCTTCATCAATTCTAATCAATCGAGCTGGATATATTATCGGTGCAATCTGTGATATGAAACCACAAGCTCCTTCTTTATTATCCACGTTAACTAAACAGGAGACAAATATTATCATCATGATGATATGATAACAAATGCACTATTGATGGCTACTACTCACTCATATTAGCATTTCCTTCGGTTGAACCATACAATTCACCAATTTGTTTGATGTTGAAACGATTGACGAAATCTTTCCATATTTTCTGTCGCAAACCATTGCCAAACATTAAACGTACCGTGTGTTGACGATCACATGGTGATTCTGGTTGTGATAATAAATATCGACAAATTTCTCCAATGTACTGAGCTACCTATAAGCGATCCAAAAGTCAATCAATTATCAATAATCAAAATCAAAATACACTTACGGTGCATCGATATTTAATGCAATCTTTCCAAAAATTGGATGCAGAAAATTTGCCACGAATAGCAATAGTGTTGCCAAAAACAACTCCTTGACATGCGCCAATCGTGCCACCAGCAAGATGATATAATGGCAAGCATGTATAGAGGATATCGTCGGATTTAATATTGATCATGAATCTTGTAGCAGCACCCATATAGATAAAACGACTATTCTTTATTATTGCTGCTTTCGGTAATCCTTCCGTACCGGATGTATAAATGTATAGTAAACGATCTGATGAAAATGAGAAAAATGCAAAAGAGAAATGAGTTGGATTGGTTTTGTTGTTGCCCGAAACTTACCATTGAAAGAAACAGAATCGATACTTTTTTGTGGTGCTTCACTGGACATTTTATCCATTTCGATGTTCAAATTTTTGCAAAACACTTCTTTTCCTTGCCTCATCATATGATGATCATGATCATCATTTGAATTAACATTGAAACAATAGAATTTCATGTGATCATTTTTACTTTTCAAATCTTCACGAATTTCATCGACCGCTGAATGATTGCAACAATAGAAAATATATAATCAATCTGATCTGAAATCTAAAAATCTGTTTAATAATAATCTGGTAATGCACTGACCTTGAAATAATTCCGAGCTAAAAATCAATGCTTTACATTTGATTACGACCAATGAATGAATCAACGGGTTCATACGTTGATTGTTATTGATCAATGCAGAAACGATACCAGCTTTGGCTAGTCCAAGCCAAATAGCGACGTATTCAGGCCGATTTTCCATAAACAATGCTATCTCATCGCCTTTTTGAAAACCTTGCGCAAGAAAATAGTTGACAATTTTATTGGAAAATTCATCCACTTGTTTGAATGTCCATTGCTCATCCTGATAATGGAACAACGTTTTATTCGGTTGTGATGAACAAATTGATTGGAATATTTTCGGTACCGAACGATTCCCTCTTCGCATTCGAAATAGAAAGAAATTTATTCGTAAAAAACGAAGTAAGCTTCTACAAAACAAAAAAAAAACAAAAAAAAAAAGAAAACAAAATAATAAATTGATTGACCTTAAACTTTGTTTGGAAGAAAAAAAAATTTGGACGAAAATAAATGAAGAAGAAAAAATATCAACTTGAATGTTGTTGAAAATAGTTGTATATATTAAATAATAATGAGAAGACGACCTTGGCCATCATGTTTGATCAAGTTTTTATTTTGTAGCGATAATCTTGATAACATAGTTTTAATTAATTAAAAATCTAGCTTAGTTCGACAAACAAATTTAGTGTAGTTTATTTATACATAGATCGATTTCATTTTCATTGGCCTATATTTTATTTTACATTCGAATCATGTCATCATAGATTGCAATGTTTGGTTTTGTTTTTTGGTGAAACTAAAAATAAATCTGAAATATGAATGATGATGAAAACAACAAACTTACATTGCATCACGGTAAATGGTCATCAGGACAACATAGCCATAAAGATACCAACTGCCACCAGTGAATGAATAGATTAAATAAAGGGTTGCCACAATAATTGATAATATGATCGATGCTGACCATTGATATAATGTCATCATACTCAATGAGCCGATTAGCCAATGAAATAAATGTTTGTTTCGTTTCGATAGACATGTCATCGAATTATATAACGAGGATTTTAATTCTTGTTGCGACATTTTTAAATCTTTTTCAATCAATTTGAGAAATTCGTATGCTAAAATTACTGTTCACTGTCTTGTGTGATGGCAATATTTATATGACAGCACGGTTAATTTACAATCACGTGAAATCGTTAGGTGAAATGACAATTGATGATGAGCTTTGAAATTGAGGATATTTATTCATTTATCTATCGAAATTCATGATGTACATCCATCATCATTAGACACCATTCTGGTTATCTACACAAATGACGTTATCATAATCGAAATCATGGCGACATTTCATGATAATCAAACAAAAAATAAGGGTACATAGAAAAACAAGGTGGATCGAAGGTTAAATTGAAAAACTCGGTTTAACTCGCTGGTTTATTTTTCGAAGAAAAACGTTTTTTTTTGTTTTGTTTTGTTCCTCGTAACATTGAAACACACACCACATACAAGAACCAACGACAATCATGAAATGATGGAAATTTGGTGTGTGTGTGTGTGTGTGTTGTTTGCTTTCTTCGTTTGGCTATGAGGTTATTATTATTATTATCTTGTCCCCATCGATCGATCGTCGATAGCCACGCTTCTCGTCATCGTGTTCTCTTTTTCTTTTTATTTTTATTATCATCTCGTCATATTTGAAACAACGAAAGTGATTTTTTTACTTTCTCTCTCACTCTCTCTCATTTTTTAACGATTTTCAAATCATTTCTATCGGCTAGTTTCATATTTGATAATTGGTGCGAGAACAATTAAATATTTGAAGATCATCATGTTTGAATATTTCACTGCTTTGAACGATGATGAATGATAAGCTGACAAACAAACGATAAATATCCATTCGATTTATATTGCCACATTTTCCTCGTTGGTAAATTATTGGCTAATTAAATTGTGAATCTAAATCTAATGTACATCAAGATGTAATGACAAATCAAGTTAATCAATCAATCAAAAATAGTGAGATTAGTCGGACACCTTTAGCACACACACATGGCGTGATACGATTTGAATATGGTCCAAATAATAAGTTCACTTTGAACATTTGATCAAATACATGACATATATGATGAACAAAATTAAAATTAATCTAATCATCAAGGTTTTTTATGGAGGAAAAATTACTACCAAATCTGTACATCATTTCCAGAAATTTGGAACATTTGGATCATGATGTTTTTTTCTCATCAATGTTTACCGTTTCTACACTGAATGTTCGCCTAGGTCGATATAGTTTATGAGCATTTTTCTTTATTTCTTTCTTTGACGCTCATCTTGAGTGTGTGTGTGTGTGTGAGCAAAGTGTGTGTTTCATTGCACCAGTTTCCTTCGATTTTCTCGTATTTCTGTGGACATTTGAGCTGTATTTTTTCCATTTTTTTACACAAGAATTCATATTCCATTTTGATTTTGATTTCATTATCAACGAAAATAATTTCTGTGGACATTTGAGCTGTATTTTTTCCATTTTTTTACACAAGAATTCATATTCCATTTTGATTTTGATTTCATTATCAACGAAAATAATGGAATCAAATAATGCATTCAAAGAGGCACTATTACGTGCAAGACAGGTATGGAATCGTTAAATTTGATAGCGAATTCTATTCATTTTTTGTTCAATCAAATAGCTTGCTGCAAAAATATCACAACCAGGTACAGTGGGAGGAGGTGTTGGTGCAGCTGTTGGAATGAAAAGGCCGAACGATGATGGTAAGTCGATGAATGATAAGTTTCATTTAGCAAACATTGAGAAGCATTCAAATTTACAAAGAAATGATGAAAAGATGTATTTCAATAATGTCATTTTTTCATAAACTAGTGAATGCTAAATTATCAAAAGAATTCGCTAACACCATCCTTTATAACGATAGGTGGAGTTTGATAGTAGATCTTGTTACATTTTTTTTTTTTTCTTTTTTGTAGATGCTGATTATTCTCCTGATGTCAAAAAAATTGATTGTAAATTGTTTTGGTTTTAAACTGTAATTTAATTTGTCATTAATGATTGTTTTTCTTTTTTGTTGTTGTTGTTTCCACAATCAAAAGTGGGATCAAAATTATCGGCGATGAAAAATGCACCGAAACCAATGAAAGATCAACTGTATCTAACTGGGACAATTTTTAATGGAGAAAAAATACTTGATCTTTTGATTCCAGGTAATAAAGTTGGTTTCGTTATTGGTAAAGGTGGTGAAATGATTCGCAATCTTCAGGTAGGTCAATTTCAATTTCAATCAATGTTTATTTGAATCATACTAATCATCATGTCGTCTTTTATGTTTTAGGAAAGGGCTGGTGTTAAAATGGTTATCTATCAGGAAACAAATGAAGTAGGGATCGCGAAAAACAGTTACGAATCAGTGGTGCACCAGATAAAGTGGATCACGCCAAACAATTGGTGAATGATTTATTGGTGGAAAAAGAACTAGAATTAGCTAATCGATCATCGAAAAATAATAATAATACTAATAATATGAACAACAACAATAATAATAACAAACTTTTCACGCCACTCAATGAATATGGCTCAGCTAGAATCACCTATTTTGAGTATCCTGTTTCACCACAATTGATCGGTTTGGTCATCGGTAAGGGTGGTGAAACTATAAGAAAAATTCAAGCCGATTCCGGATGTAAAGTACAATTTGATACGACAAAAGTGGATGCACAAGGAAATAAAATCTGTCAATTCACCGGAACACAAGATGCAGTAAATAGAGCATTAGATATGGTCAAAGAAATTATCGACACTGTAACTGGTGGTCAGGTAATAATTGTCTTGATTTTCAATTTTTAGACTTGATTGCTAACTGCGAATTTTCGTTTAGGGTTCAATCGATGAGATTAGATTAGTGGTTCCCACCTCACGAACTGGTACAGTAATTGGTCGTGGTGGTGAAACGATTCGTGCATTGAAACAACAATCTGGTTGTAATATCGAATTGGATAAGAATTTTCAATCCGATAATGATGAAAAATGTTTCATTATTCGTGGTACGGCCGATAAGATTACTTATGCTCAACAATTGGTTACCGATAAAGTTGGTGGCCATGCAACGGTCTTGATGAATACATTGGCCAACAATCCAATGTATGCTGCGGCAGCAACGGCCGCAGCAGCTGCTAACAGTACTGATGGACAATATGGTTATCTCACCAATCAGATTTATGCCAATCAAATTGGTCAATCACAATATTATTGGCCACAAACATCATCTGATCGTAAGTTTGTTTTCTCTCACCCCACCCCCCTGTCATTCTCTATGTCTGTCATTGTCAGGCGTGCACAGCATTAGAGCCAAATAGTACAATTCATTTCTTCAATCAATACGCGGCTATTTGGTGTCAAGCTTGTGCTAAATGAATTCGGAACTGAGAATCATGAATCATTTTTCTAGTTTAATGATCAATGATTAATTAATTGATTTTTTTTCTGTTCTATAAACCCTTTTTATAGCCAAATCTGTTCAAGATCAATATGCGATGTGGGCCGCTTATTATGCACAATATTATCAACAAGCAAATGGTGCATCATCTGCTGCTACTGCTGCCCCTGATCCACAACATCAACAGCAACAACAGCAGCAGCAGCAACAACAACAACAACAAGCGGCTTGGGCGGCCACTTCTGGACAAGATAATGAATCCGTTTATCAACAGTGGATCGAGTATTATAAAGCATGCGGCATGACCAAAGAGGCGGAAGCAATTGAACAAAAACTTAAAGAGTATAAAAACGCTAAAGCACATGGTAAAGATGACAATAATCATTCACATAATGGAAAATCGCCCAAATAATCCATTATCATGGCAAGGTAAATATTGAAAATTTTCTCTCATTCTATTTCTATATACATAAATCTCCCACAATTCGTTCTCTTGATCTCAAGATGTGAACATTTCTCTGTTATTTCCCACTTCCCATTATTGACGCGCTCAAAAGGCTTAGTATTATTTTGATTAGTTCAATTCAATTCAAATTAATCATGAACATATTTTTACAGTCGGATATAACTTTTTTTCCTCTTTTGAGGTTGTAACTGCCAAATGTAAATTATATATTGATTGATATAACAGTAGGTTTATTCTATTTTCAAGCGAGAAACAAAAAAACACAATCGGCCATAGGTAGGATATTTTTGAATTAAATGATTTTTATTGAAAATTATTATTTTTATATATTGATTGATTGATTGATTGATTATTTTTTTTATTTATTATCTCATATATCGCCGTGAGTATTTATTTGATTATATTGATTATTGAAATTGCATTATTTTTGATTTTGAACTTTAAAATATTTTCCAATTTGAAGTGAATTATTTTTTTCTCTAATCAATCTTCATCTACCGACTGATTTTTGAAAAAAAGAAAATTTCTGGCACAGGTGATTTATATTATATCATTATTATCATTGATGATTGATTTATTTTATTTTTTATTGGATGATGATGATTATATTACGAGAAATTCATTTATAGATATATACCATTTATCTTTTGAATGTTTTTATTTTTATTCATTTTATTTTATTTCCATCAAAACAAAAAAAAATGCTTTACCGATTCATAATATTGATTTTTTGATTGCAATCGATTCCTTATTTTTCCTTTTTCAACAGTGAATTTTTTGCCCATTGATTTTTGATTGATTTATATACAGATCATTTACATTATACAGATCAATTGATTGATTGATTGATTTGATATTAATGATGAATTGAATCGATAAAATTATATTAAATTATTGCTTTAAAATATAATAAATGTCAAGAAGCATACATATGTATTCCCCTATATAATGATTCAGTTATTCATCCATTATGGTGGCCACTTTTTTCGGGATGGAAAATTGTCATCAATGTCAACATGCACACACACACAGACACATTCCATCATGCAGCGACGACACATCGAATCGAATCAAATCAAATCAAATCAATACTAAATTAGTTTACTCATCTCATTGATTTTTTTTAATATCTCATCTCATTAATTATAATAATAAAAATTAATTTCAATTCACAATAATAAATAATACTGTTGTCTTTTGGTTTTCTCAGAATTCTGGATTCCGTAAGTTGTCGTAATCATCGTTTCAAGAGAATTTTGCTTATCGTTATCAATGGATATTCGATGAATAAGGCAATCATTAGTGATGCTAAATATGTAACAATTATGTTGCTTATCGTGAAATAAAGCTATTGATTGATAATTGAATCATTATTCAAAATCATTAGTGATCAATTACGGCTCGCTTACCAATAGATATGGTGTGTACTCAAATGTTTGATTACGGCTGCCATAAAATATGGCTATTATGATTGGATTGAGTAGATATGCGCAGTATGCCAGACGACTTAATGGTATCCATAATTTCAATGAAAATAACGTCTGTACAAAACCGCCTTGGTCAGTGATCGATACGAATGTAATCCATGCTAAACCGACGGCAAATAGATTTCGCGATAATGAACTGTACATGGCAGCTGCCAATATCGTCGGTATTAAACCATTGTTTGCCGGTAACATACACATGACAATACCGAATGTAGCAGTCGCTGTGAATAACCAACCAGCAATCAATGTTTTCTTTATTTTGTTTGAGAAATGATTTGTTGGGGGGGGTTAGTGAATAATTTTCATCATCAACGAACCTTTGATAAGCGAACATCTCTTCTTGTTGTCATCATTTCATGTGCCAGCAATAGACCAATGATATATGGTCCAATACGACAATATGGCTTTATATAAACGTGTTTGTAGTACGAATTCATTATGTTGATATCTCTGTGTTGTTGATCAAAGGACAAATTAATCATGTCTGTTGTGTTGTGTTGTTTTTAGATTCAATGTGCTTACATTTTATCATTGAAATATGGAACTGCTGGATATTGGTTAACATAGGTCATTATACTGGTGATGATTATTGAGCCAAAAAGAATGAGTAAAATCAAAGTCATTCCTAACCATCGTTTTCGAATGAGCAAGATGGCCAATAATGGTGATATGAGAAAGAATTGCATATCTACTGCTGAATACCAAGAATGGCTTAAACACTGAAACCAGTAATGTAAGTTTGATCAAATGCAATAAATAAATAGAAATAATAGAAATAATTACCATGTTTTCCGTTTGAATAAAATTATGAACATAGAATAGATTGAGAAACCATCGATTTCTACACCAATGATCGAACATAACGGTCGATCCTAACCATTCCGGTCCATTACCAAGATATCGTAGAACGGTTGTACTAAAAAAAATCAAAAACATCATGGTTGGTGTCATGCGGATATAACGATTCAAGTAGAATGTCTTGAGATTCAAACGAGATGTATCGGCTGACATTGACCGGACAAGACTATGCATGACTAGATAACCGCTGATTGATGGATTGGTTAATTTATTGAATACACACCAGTGATCAAATGAATATCATTTACCTGATGAAGAAAAAAATATCGACGGAAAATGTTCCATTCAATAGGAATATTTCGAGAATATTGTACACTTTGTATTTAATGTCGAATGGATTACTGAAATTGATCCATATCGATGAGAATGACATTGAATGTTGGGCAATGATCCAGAACATTGCTAGGAATTTCAGTCCATGAAACACATTGATCGATTCACCACCGGTAACCTGAAATAATTTCTGCCAATTTTGTTTGGTTGAAAATGCCAGCAGAATTTTCTCATCCGTTGTCGGTTCTCTGGACAATGATTCATTACTATTCTGTGATTCTAATTTCGTAATCATTGCATATGATTCACCATTCGTCTTGAATTTCAAATTATAATGATCGAATATTGTGCCCATAATGGCCAATAAAACGAAAATGAGGCATATCGCAACGAATATGCCCAAACCGAATGGATTTTCGGTTTCATCATTTTTTTCAACACAATTGGACACTTTGATTTCCAATTCCGGCACAAACATTATCGATACTATAGAATAATTGTTAATTCATCGATTATTGATTATTGATCATTGATTAATGACAATGGCCATTCAATCGCATACTTACACTGTCTGGCAATGGCTTCGATTTCTTCCTGTGAACATGTGGATGGTAGACAAACACCTAATTTGGCCGAAACCGTTTCGTACATAATATGATCGAATCCGGAAATATTCTATTGATTAAACACAATCGATGAATGAAAATGATTGGAAATTTATCATTAAATTCTTACCGATAAAACTGTTATTAAATTATTGGGAATCGATATATAAACGGTACAATATTTTCCCGAAAATGATTCACTTGATGTTGTCACACATTCACTGAATTGTCCAAGATTAGTGAATCTACCTTCCAATAATCCACTTGTTAATCGTCCATTCGAATCGATCACTAATCAATTGGGAAAATTATTAATTAGTAAAATCAATTTGGTGGGATGTTTGTCATTTTTGATCTGCAATTAATTTCCATTTTCCACTCACTTTCACTTTCTAAAAAAGCATGTAATTTTTGTGGCTGCCCTGAAGGCGGCACACACATAACAATCATGGGTTTTTTTCTATAATCGCCTTTAGCGTTATCATTTTTTGTCTGAATAATAAAATGAAAAAGTGAAAGCGAAATTGTTTTTTTCGTTTGGTCATCGACCTTTTTCTTGGAAAACAAAATTCATTGTGTCCAAGTGGATATGTTTTTCTAAGAATTCTATCTGTCTTTTTCTTTGAAAGTTTTTTTCGAAGCCAGACACACACACACACACACACAAACACAAACACACACATAAACGAATAACAGCTAGGTTCGTTCACACGAATCAATTTCCATTCATCCATCTCCGGCATATTCACAAACACTTGCACATGCAAACAGGTATGTAATTTTCAATGTCGGCCGAATAATGAACCTTGTTTGTGTTGTCTCATCGATCTGTCGAAAAAAGCCGGCGCGCGCGTGTTGTTTTGTTTTAGTCCAAGTTTTTTCGTATCGTGCGCTTGTCAGTCAAGTTTGTTTTTTTGTGAAAAAAAATTCTCAAACACGAATAAATCACTGTGGTTGTGAAAACAAGATGAAAGGACATTGAACGCGAATGAATATAAATCGATCGAAAACTGAAATTGAAACAAAAACAGCAGCAGCAGTGGAAAAACTGTGTCAATATATCTGAACATTGAAAGCAATTCGTAGAAATTTACCCTCAAATTCTCCAATGTGATCGTTAAAAATCATTTTTTTCATACAAGTTGTCGATACGTTTTTTTGTGTCGTGCAGTGAACTTTAATTCACATCTCATCATATTTGTGAAAAAGATTAATTAATCAATTTATTTATGATGATGAGAAAGGATTGATCAAATGAATTTACTCAATTTACTCAATGCTCACAACACCACATCCGGACCGCTTCACTGTCATTCTCAATGTATGTATGTGTTATGTTTTTTCAAGTTGGTTAATTTTTAAAACAATTTTATAATTATAATGTTCTCTCTATGTGTGTGTGTGTGTGTGTTTTGTAAAACCTTTTTGTCGACTCTATTCATTATTCATTATTATTATTATTAACCGTGAACAAAATTTTGACAGGTTCTCAAATGTCATTTTCTCTTTCTCTCTCTCTCATGATAAACACTCATTGATGGTTCAGGCATTTGAAAAATTTTCTTTCGGACCTTTCATCTTTGGTCCCTCTCTCTCTCTCTCTCTGTTGTTTGAGAACCTTGGACCGTCTTAATTACATTACATTTCATTTTTCATTCACAATATTTATGGCCCCATCATTCACATTGACGGTAGCAGTATCATAAACAATCATCAAATTGCCGGTATCAATCAAAGTGAAAAAACTTTTTTTTTCACCAGTAATAATAACACAACACCCTTTCCATATTTTTTTTCACAAAATTCATGTTCAAACTTACTTTTCATGGCATAATGTTTCCGTTTTCGAGCATCGCCAATCAACTGTTTCAATGATGAATGACATTGACCATGATGATCATTCCAATGAGATTGAGATAGAATCATTTGAAGAACATTTAGAATTTGTGAATTATGTTGATTCCATATTTTGATCACATCGATAGGTCGTTGTTGTTGATTGATTGAGTCACTGTTTGTTTCTTGTTCACCATTAATAGCCAGCGTGGAATCGGGATTACAAATCATCATGATGATGATCATTATCGATATGCTCAAATTTGCTCGTTTCAATGTCATAATTGAACCAAACATTTGTGACACACCACACATGGATCGTTTAAATTTATAGCGAATGAATTTTGAATAAATTGAATTAAATTCTTTTGTCGAATTTATTATTGAAATAAAACTTGTGTCCAATTGTAATGAATGTTCTGGAATGATTGACCAGAAACGGTTGCAAAAACATTCTTTTAAATAGTCTCTCTTCATGTGTGTGTATGTTTGTAATCATCATTCATTTATTGGCATTTCATTCATTTAAACATTTACACACACAACTAATTCAAACTAAGAATTTCATTTAGGGCTGACCATAATTTTTTCCTTCTTTTTCCTCCTCTTTTTTTTATTGGCGGGAAACTTTGAAATGTATCGAAAGTGAAAGTGAAAAAATCAAGAAAGAATGTAAGTTGGTTGTTATTTAGCATGTAAAAAAAACCATACCGCCTCAACATCAATGACCATGATAATGATGATGATGATGAGAAAAAATTGTTCGTTTGAAGGATGATACCACCACCATCAGTGACCAACAAACAAAAACAAGTGAATGGTTTTCATTAACAAAGAAAAAGCATCAATTTATTGTTGTTGATGGTGATGATGATGATGATGATGATTACAAGGAACCAAGTTGTTGCCACCCATTTTGGGACGGTCACTTGATGAATGAAGAAACATTTTCATTTTTCCAGGTTTTATTCATTCATTGATTCAACTACCAGTGTTATTCCACGAGCATCATCATGCTATCATTTACTGTAAATTGAAATTTTGTTTTGTTTTTTATTACAAATCAAAATGATTATCTAAATCAGTCAGTTGTTTTTTAATTCTGGAATGAAGCCTTCAAGGTCATTGTCAAGTAACACTGATTATTATTATTTAAACACCAGGATTGATTCGATGAATGCCTCGTCGACAGGTTGATGATCTTTTGTACATTCGTACATTTAACAAATTCCTTTTTTCATACTAAAAAGAAAAAACAATTTCATGTTTGATGTTTAATGTTTAATGTTTCAGTCAATTAGTCATTTGAAAAAATAACCAACTTTAAATCCAATGAAAATAATAGCCAATTGATGATTACGATCATCAGGAAATCGATAAATGACGACAATGATGACCATGGTGGTTGTTATCTTGAAATAAACGAAAACCTGCTTCGTTTGACAGTTATATGCATATATACAGCTATATTATCTTGTTATCATCGTTATAACTGTAAAATTTGAATTTGATTAATAACACATACTCTATACTTGTTCTTGGTTGATCGATAAAACCAGAAAAGATCATTTATTTAGTTTCGGAAGGGTTTGCCTTGAACCTGGCAAACACACAGGTGTCATTATCATTGAATGGTGCTGGGTGGATAATTCGAAAATGAAATTGGATGTAATTTATAGCCTTGTTTACGTGATCACCATTATCATCATCATCACTTTATTATCGAATACTTTTTTCAATCCATCACACACACACACAAGATGTGTTATTGGCAGAAAAGAACTTGATTCAGAGATTATCATCTGATTATTATTATACACACCTTTCTCTGGAATGGAATATTTAAAAAGGTGCACGCGCGCGCCTTTGATTTGAATTGGATAATTTGCATTTTTTCCATCGAAAACATACATGTAATGTAAGTCATCATTTATTTATTACTCGGAAAAACACGAGAATAACGTTGAACTGATAATGTAACTGAGTGTCACACGATGATGAATAAATTCATTTTTTATTTTTAATTATCCAAGCATTTATGTTATGATTGACTGGACGATGTTGAATCGATGGATATATTATCGAGAAACGATTTCTGATCACTTTCGGCCAATAATTGTGTAATTTCTTCATTGCTCAGATCTTGTTCACGTACCACTTCAAGAATTTGGGTTGGATCGGCAAAAACACCCATAAAACAAACGACACCAGTTATTTTATCCAATATCAAAAATATGAATGGATGATTGGCCTTAAATTTGACCCTTTTATTTTCCGAATGTTCTTTACTCAATGACAAGGATTGTGTTGTATCAGCATTCTCGATCTGTTTTTGTTTGACAAAACGACTTGTTTCATGAGACTGTGTGTGTGTGTGTGTTGTTGTTGTTGTCGTAATGAATAAATTATCATAATGAGATTATCATGGATTGATTGATTGATTGATGGCAACACATGAAAACATGAACATACCTTACTAGTGTATTGATGTGAACCTCTTTCATCCACTAGAATGAATGCTTTATGTACTAGCTTTGTGAGATGTATACGTTGGTCATTGGCACAAATTCCATTCAATTGTGCTGTTTCAGGGTCATAAATGGATCTGGCACCCATTTGTTTGACTGACCGTTGCAATGATACTTTATGGGCTTCCAATGCAAATCGTGGAATGGTCAATTCGGTCAATGATTTTGGTTGGTTTTGTAAGTTCCAAAATAATTGCAACAATTTATCTGCATTCAATTTATCGACCAATGTAATTGCCTCAGTAGTGATTGATTCGGGCATGATGAGCACCATTCGAATATCACTCGATGCATATGCTATTGATACGGTTTGTGCTTGTAATTGTTCATCATAATAATAACGATGATAACCAAGATGCGACATCATATCGATTTGTACAGTTTTCGAACCTGATCCATAATGGAATTGTTCTTTATGAATGTCACCGAATTTGAAAAGCCAATAACCACGAAAAAATACAGCATTGGAAATGACCAATTTCACTTGGCTGTCGTCATCCTGAAGATCTTTGTGGCTAATAACACCTTCGATAACACCATCGGTCATTTCATATGCATCCTTATTAATCATATAGATTGCTTCATTAATTTTCGAGAAATCGATCGGTTTCGGTTTGATTTCGAATATACTTTTCACTTTTTCCAGATATTCTGGACGCAACTTCATACGATGATCTACGTAGATGACCGTACCGTAAACCATAATTTCGTGATTGCTTTTGATTATCCATTTGATTAGATTGATCAATTCTTTGTATTTGGTTGGTTGGTTAAAATCTTTCAAACAAAGCATATCTTCTAGCTGTGTTTCGGTCATACCTTTTGCACCGACCAGAAGCATCACTAATGAATTGAACACTTCCAATGGTGAGAAACACATGTTTTTCGAATCATGTTGATGACGACTGGCAAACATTTTAAACAATTTGAATGCAAACTGATTCATCGAATTAATTAGCGTCATTTTGAAGCCCAAACTTTTATTGAACACACCATTATTGATTGCCGCATCCATTTCTTTTCTTTTTCGATCGATCCAATTTCATTTCATTCATTTCATTCAACATTTATTTATCAAAATTAGTTGGCAATGGCAATTCCATAATTAAATTTTTTCCAATTTTAAACAATTCATGCGAATGCGCATGGTAAATTCCATCATTATTGCTATTTGCGACAATACAGAATTGGAACATTAATCATTGGCTACTATATATTTGATTACTGGGTCCCAGATAACATGATATAGCATTTTTATTCTCAAAATTATTATTCCATGTTGTGTAATGATGATGACTGTCCTCTGCATAATGGATAGTTTGATGATCTGCTGATCTATAAGTGTGCTGCTGCTGCTGCCAATGCTGCTGGTTGTAGTGGTGGCTATATATATGTTTGTTGAGACAATCCCCTGTCATTTCTCGGCGAGTCTGTCATCATTTTTTTCAATAACAACAAAACAAAAAACAACAACAACAAAACGAAATTATCAAATTACCGTTTTGGTCATCATCAATTCATCAATTGTTGCATCTTCTATCTGTTAATCATTTGTGAATATGGCTCTAAAACTTTTGGTTGGCCAAAGTAAGTCTAGTTCGAATAAAATGTTTTGTTGATGCTAAATTTGGCCTTTATTGTGAAACAGAGATTATGAACGATGTTGTTCGTGCTAGCCGAAAGAAAGGCGAATGGAAAGTATTGATTGTTGATCAACTTGGAATGAGAATGATCTCATCATGCTGTAAGATGCATGAAATTGCCACAGAAGGTATTACCATTGTTGAGGATGTTGGAAAGAAACGTGAACCATTACCCAATATGGACGCCATTTATCTCATTTCGCCGATGGATAGGGTATGCTATTGAATGTGGCTATTTTATTCTAAATGATCTGATTTGTTTGTTGTTTTTTTTGTCCATTTTAAATTCCATTGTCAATTTCATCGATGATTGATAGGAGGTAAGATACTTTGTTGTTTTCATTCATTAATGATTGATTGTTGGTCTGTTTTCAGTCGATTCGATTATTGCAACAAGATTTTCTCAGCACTCGTTGTGCACTTTATCGAGCAGCACATGTATTTTTCACCGAAACATGTCCGGACGATCTATTTAATGAATTATCGAAAAGTCCTTGTGCAAAACATATTAAATCACTGAAGGAGATAAACATTGCTTTTCTTCCATACGAATCACAAGTATATTCATTGGATTCGGCCGAAGCCTTTTCAATGTTTTTCAGTCCCAACAAAGCAATGATACGTTTACAAGCACAAGAAAGATTGGCTGAACAATTGGCCACATTGTGTGCAACGCTTGGTGAATATCCCAGTATTCGTTTTCGTTCGGATTTCGAACGAAATATTGAATTTGCAAATGCTGTGCAACAGAAATTGGATGCATACAAAGCGGATGAACCGACCATGGGCGAAGGGCCAGAAAAAGCACGTTCACAATTGTTGATAATCGATCGAGGATTCGATTGTGTGTCACCATTATTACATGAACTCACATTCCAGGCAATGGCCTATGATCTATTGAACATTGAGAATGATGTTTATAAATTCGAAATTCAACAGGCAAATGAAATTCGTGAAAAGGAAGTTCTTCTCGACGAAAATGATGAAATCTGGGCCGAATTACGTCATCAACATATTGCTCTAGTCTCACAAAATGTAACGAAACAATTGAAAAAGTTCGTCGAAAGCAAACGAATGAATACCAGTGACAAAACTAGTCTCAAAGATCTGTCGCAAATGATTAAAAAGATGCCGCAATATCAAAAAGAACTGAGCAAATATTCCACACATTTGCATCTGGCTGAAGATTGTATGAAACGTTATCAAGGATATGTGGATAAATTGTGTCGAGTCGAACAGGATTTGGCTATGGGCACCGATGCCGAAGGTGAAAAAATCAAGGATCCAATGCGAAATATTGTTCCCATTTTGTTGGATCAGAATTTCGAAATTTTCGACAAAATCCGTATCATTCTGCTTTACATTCTTTCGAAAAATGGTATTAGCGAAGAGAATCTAACCAAATTGATTCAACATGCACAGATTCCAGTATCGGACAAATCGATCATAACAAATATGAGTCATTTAGGAGTAAATATTGTAACCGATGGTAGTCGTCGTAAAGTATATCAATATCCTCGTAAAGAACGAATTACGGAGCAAACTTATCAGATGTCGCGATGGACACCGGTCATCAAAGACATTATGGAGGTATACAAATGCTTTAACATTAACATGTGACTTATAAAGTGTTTGTTATTGTTATTCATATAGGATGCAATCGAAGATAAATTGGACCAGAAACATTTTCAGTATTTACCTGGACGTGGTGCACCCACTAGTTATGGGCGTCCAGCACCCACCAGTATGCGTTATGGTCATTGGCACAAAGAGAAAAATTCATTGAATATCAAAAATGTTCCTCGTTTGATTGTTTTCATATTGGGTGGTGCAACATATTCCGAAATGAGATGTGCTTATGAAGTGACTACAGCATCAAAGAATTGGGAAGTCATTATCGGTATGTTGAAATGTTTTGAATTTGATTCACTCATTCATTCATTCATTAACTAGGAGGCGATCACCTAATGATGCCATCAAGTTTTCTTGAAGATTTACGTTCGCTGAACAATTGAAACACCCACCGGATTCGTCGTTTTTAATATATAGTCCTTTCTTTCTGTTGTTTTATTTGACAAATTCACATTTGATAACATTCATTCATTTTTGTTTGTTGCTATATAGAAAATAGATGTTGCATTCTATTTGATTGATTTGCGATGTGCACACAAATTGTTTTCCTCCTCAACATGACTAATCAATGAACAATCATTCGTTTTTTTCGTTGTTGTTTCTACATTTATCTACATTAGAACATTAACGGTGGTTATATATCATCTGATGATATATCAACAGATGTTTGTGAGTGTGTATGTAAAATGGTTTGCAGTGAAAAGTAAAAATTTAGAAAAAAAAGTTGTTTTATTTATTCATGAAAAACTTCAATTACATTTCTATATTAAAAGATTATTCTTTCTTCTTCGATTGACGAGTCTTTTTGGAATTTTTGATGCGCTGTGCTCGTAGCAATGCACTGGCTTTTCTCAATACGACCTAAATTTGAATTTTAGTCAAAATTAGTTTTTGTACTTTAAATTTAAGGTGTTGATGACTTACGTTTTTCAAATCGTTCCGATAATTTTGCTTGTTGACAAATTGTTTGATGTTTCGTACGGTACGTCGAGCATTACGATTCATGACCACACGATTCAATGATTTGGCCGGTTTGTTTTGATTTGCTCGTTTCTTGTAAACCATCACAACGCCTTTACCCGATGGATTTTCCTGTACACTCAATGCTCGTCGTTGAATTGTTCCTTGAAATCGAGGTTTGTAAAGACCTTTTGGATTTAATGGATCGGTGCTAAAATGATGGTTCACACCACGACGTTTCAGCAAATAGCATGAACTATTTCGGGTGATCAACCAATTCAAGTCGGACGAAGTATTTAAACCAGAAACCATTTTTGAAATCGTCAAAATAAACAGAATTTACGAGCCAAAAATAACAGAATTTCAACAAATGATGATGAAAACTCACACCACACACACAGCCACAGAAAGGAAGAAAAGGAAGCCAAACAACGTGTGTATATCCCTTCATAAACAATGTAACGAAATTATAGTCAAATCTTTATCGGACAATATTTTAATTATTATATTCCAAATTACTCAACATATATTCAACAATATTTTATAAATAGGCCATTTATTCACTTTAATCGATAAGCAAAGATCTTTTTTTATCGGTAAAGAAAGATTTCAAGTAATTTGTACTGTTTGTTTTGAATGGTCACTTTCAAATGACAATGTAAAAAATGGGCTTGTTCTCACAGGCATGTACGTTTTTCTATAAGCACGTTGTTTCATTGTCTGTATACACAAGTTTTCAAAGTTATTTTCGTTTGATTTGATCGATTTAATTTCCATTCATATCATTTACTATAAACATGTTAAACATTCAAAGTCGTTCGTTGAATCCGGTCAATATTCTTAAGACCGAAGCAGATGAAGAGAAAGCCGAAACAGCTCGTCTTTCATCGTTTATCGGTGCCATTGCAATTGGTGATTTGGTCAAAAGTACATTGGGTCCAAAAGGTATGGACAAAATCCTGTTGAACGAAGGCCGAAACGAAGGAAAAGTGGAAGTAACAAATGATGGTGCTACGATATTGAAATCAATCGGTGTGGATAATCCGGCCAGCAAAGTTTTGGTTGATATTTCAAAAACTCAAGACGATGAAGTTGGTGATGGTACCACTTCTGTCACGGTTTTGGCAGCCGAACTCATACGTGAAGCAGAAAAATTGATCGAAATGAAAATTCACCCACAAACAATCATTTCTGGCTGGCGTAAAGCTGTCGATGCAGCCAAAGTAGCTTTGGAGAAATCCACTCAAAATCATAGTGACCAACCGGACCGATTTCGCAATGACCTCATGAATATTGCCCGAACGACGTTAAGTTCGAAAATCCTTTCTCAGCATAAAGATCTGTTTGCTAAATTGGCCGTTGATTCTGTTCTTCGACTGAAAGGATCGGGCGATTTGAATGCCATACAGATAATCAAAAAATTGGGCGGTAGCCTTAGCGATTCATATCTAGAAGAAGGATTTCTACTTAATAAAAAACCAGGCGTCAATCAACCTAAACGTATCGAAAAGGCTAGAATTCTTATTGCCAACACACCGATGGACACGGATAAAATCAAAGTATTCGGCTCACGTGTCAAAGCGGATTCAGTGGCCAAAGTGGCTGAATTGGAATTGGCCGAAAAGGAGAAAATGCGCGAAAAAGTGGATCTAATTGTGAAGCATAACATCAACGTTTTCATAAATCGGCAACTCATTTATAATTATCCGGAACAATTGTTTGCCGATGCTGGTGTGATGGCCATCGAACATGCCGATTTCGACGGTATTGAACGGTTGGCTTTAGTGACCGGTGGAGAGATTGTTTCGACGTTTGGCAGTCCGGATAAAGTGAAACTTGGCCATTGTGATCTGATCGAAGAAGTTATGATTGGCGATGATAAAGTGTTGAAATTCTCTGGCGTACCTTTGGGTGAAGCTTGTACGATTGTCATTCGTGGTGCTACACAACAGATTCTGGATGAAGCTGAACGATCATTGCATGATGCGCTGTGTGTTCTAACAGAAACGGTTAAAGATTCCCGAATCATCTATGGTGGTGGTTCCGGTGAAGTGTTGATGGCTCATGTGGTCACACAATTGGCCGAACAAACACCGGGAAAAGAATCGTTTGCAATAGATTCATTTGCAAACGCTTTGCGACAATTGCCTACAATTATTGCTGACAATGGTGGCTTTGATAGTGCACAATTAATTTCCGAATTACGGGCCTATCATTCGCAAGGCAAACATACTTATGGTCTAGATATGAATGTTGGATGTACAGCCGATATGGCCGAATTGGGCATCATTGAACCATTTGTCGTCAAACGTCAAGTGTTGATTTCAGCTGCTGAAGCGGCCGAAATGATTCTACGTGTTGATAATATCATCAAGGCAGCACCACGAAGACGTGAAGTTGATCGCCGTGGACACTGATTGATAATAGAAAATCAGTGAATGGTTGAATTATGGATTTATTTTATGGATTGCTTTTTTATATTGAAAAAAACTACAAACAAAAAAAATTGGTAAATAAAGCTTTTTCTCTTTCATTATGGTTTATTCATAAATTGATTAATAATGCTCGGTTTCGTTGATGTTGATGAAGATCGAATTTTACGTTTCGAATGTGCACTTCCATATGGATGATGGTGATTCATATTGATCAAGGATACTTTAGTATTAATGACTTGACAATCAATTTGTAGCATATGTAAATGATGATTAGGCAATGTTAATCCAGTCTCCGTTTGATTTTGGCCATTACTATCAGTGTTGTTGGAATTATTTCGTTGTTGGCTAAAATTATATGCTGTTGGTATGAGAAAACTGAAACGAGGTCGAATATCTGTTCGATTGGACATTGGTGGCAGAATTAAATGACCTTTTGATGGATAGGATAGATAATAGAATGTATCATCACGTCTATGTATGGTTGACATTAAATTCTCCAGATCATATGGCACGAATGGATCATCGAAAGAATGATCTAATTCTTCATTCAGATAGTCCATGTAACGTTGTTTTTGCATCCAAAGTTTCAGTCTTGGTATCGGTACATGTTTAAGATCGTATAATAGTTTTTTCTTTGATTTCGATGTTGAATGTTGACGACGGCGAGATTCATTCTCTTCCAGTTTGAATCGTGTGAGCCATCCACGAAGTTCATTCTCCAATCTTATTAGCTCAGTTCGATTATAATAATCTTCACAGCCGCCAACATTTGTTTGATTCGGATAAAAAGTGTCTAAATTGCTTGAATTATAATTGGTTGACAATTTCTGGAAATAATTATCAGTTTCTTCCGTTTTCCAAAGCAGTGTTCGTGAAAAATGATGATTCTTATTGGCTTCAAATGATTTGACTGTGAAATTTTTATTTGAAAAAACGACTGGAGCAGTGTTTTCATTTGCACGTTCATTTCCAGGCGATATTGACATCAGATATGGTGAAATCTGAAACAGGAACATGAATGCAACGGCAAAGAAGCTAATTTTAGCCTTTTTTCTGCTGCTCGCTGCATCTGTAAAATTGCCATTCGCATCTAAAAGTCTGAATTTTCCGATTTCCTGTTCTAGATCAACAATTTTCTGCTTCAACAATGCATTCTCTAGCATTAGATCGGTATTTTCTTTGCCCAATCGTTTGACTTGCGATTCTAAATTGTCCAGATATTCTTTCTTTTTTAGCCGAGAATTTAATGCAGCTTCTCGATTACGTAATTTACGTGCTTCAATTTTTTGTTTATGTAAATTGTCACGTTCTTTCAGTCTGTGATTAGAAACTTTGCTAGGTAATATAGTTTTCGGTTGAATATTATTATGATGACCATTAGATATTTTACTATCAAACACACGATTATAGCCATTTACTATGAATGAGGATGATGACAATGATGATACTGTATCGGTTTCGTTTGAACATAGAATCGTAGGACAAGTAATGGTCAATGGAATCGTTGTATTCGTGGTGATTGAAGTGTTGTTACTATTGTCACTATCGCTTTGATGATTTATTGATGGTGAATGTTTGTTGATTTCATTAAAATTTTGATTGAAATCCAGCACATTTTCACCGAATAACACAGTATTGATGGTGCTAAAATTATTATTGAGAATATCGTTTCCGTTGCTAGTAATGGAACAGGTATGATTATTAACTGGTGTTTCGGGTGGTGTATCAATGAAATATTGATCCGATGGCGGTGATGTATCGAATGTATCATTATCCGTGAATGTGATTAAATCACTTTCATCAATATTTCCCAGATAATCGTTGGTTATTTGACAACAAGTATCCTGATAAGATGGTAGTATACCGAAATGATTATCAGCTGCGAATGTGAGATATAATAAAAATTAGATTTAGACAGAAGAAATCAAATAGTACTTACACAGAATATTTATATCGACCATTGTTGAATACAATAAATATATTATTATTTACGATTACGATACGGAGTTGAATCTATTTATTCAATCAATTCAATTCAATTCAAATTAAAATACCATTATATACCATTAATAATTTTGATTCTATTTACAGAGAATGAAACGACGATTATCACTCATCTGAATCTGAATTGAATGTTTACGTGGTTTAACAATCACTAATTCTGTAAGATATCGATTGTATCGATATCTTTCGAATCACACACGCTCTAGTCAACAAAGCTGGAGAATTGGATTTAGCCGAGTCATTGCCTATCGCATATAAAAGCTTGGATTGTCAAATGTAGAAAAGTGTTTATTTTTTTATTGATTTAGAATTTTAAATAATTACTACTAATACTAATTACTATTACCAAAAATCGATCGACATGTCTTCGGCAATCTTGCCCGAAATACCAACTGGTGGATTTAATTTTGAAAATTTTGAAAGGTACGATTTATCGATATCTAAATTTGTACGATTAATTTGATTAAATTTTTTATCTACAAGGAATGAGTATTTGAAACAAAAAGGTTTTCCCATTCCTAAAGTGCAGAAAACTGGCACCACTATTGCTGGAATCATTTTCAAAGATGGTGTAATATTGGGTGCCGATACTCGTGCAACATCGGGTAACGTTGTGGCCGATAAGAATTGTGCGAAAATTCATTTCCTTGCCAAGAATATGTATTGCTGTGGTGCCGGTACAGCTGCTGATACGGACTATACTACAAAAATGATTAGTTCACAATTAGAATTATTACGTTTGAATACTGGCAAACAAGTGCCTGTGTGCGTTGCGAATCGTTTGCTGAAACAATATCTTTACCGGTAAGATGATTATTTCGGTACCGAATGTTTAACCCAAGCTTTGCTTCATATAGGTACCAAGGATATATTGGCGCTGCTTTGGTTTTGGGTGGTGTGGACAAATTCGGTCCTACTCTCTATTGTATTCACCCACATGGTTCGACAGATAAAATACCCTATACAACCATGGGTTCCGGTTCGTTAGCAGCCATGGCTGTATTCGAATCTCGTTGGAAACCCGATTTAAGTGTATGTGTGTTTGACCCTTCAATGATGATTAATGGTTGTTGATTTTTGTTTCATTTTCTTTGATGATAAATCCCAGTTGGAAGAAGGTAAAAAATTGGTTCGCGATGCAATCGCATCTGGCATTTTCAATGATCTTGGCTCTGGTAGTAACGTGGATTTGTGTGTCATTACCAGACACGAGGCCCAATATTTGCGACCATATGATGAAGCTAATGTTAAAGGAAAACGGTATTTTTTGATCATTCTTTCACATTGACCTCTTTATTGAATATCTATATGTTCTATTTTTCCCTACAGAGAAGGAACCTATCAATTTGTTCGAAATACAACAGCCATAATTGGACAACCACGAACCATACCGATTGAAGTGGAATCCACTCAAACAATTGCGATTGGAGTAGAATCAATGGATACTTCATCATAGCCTTGGATATTTTTATTTTCATTTCGTGTTCTGATTAATTTCCAATTGAGCAATTGAATCGAAACGAAAATCTAATAATAAATACAATTTTGCCCAATAATAACAGGTGTCATTCAATCGATTTATGATTGCCATATGTGATTGAGACGAATCGATCGATCTAGTGAGATTTAGATCATCTCGATCGATGTGTTGTGTGATGGTTTTTTTTCCTGGAAAATAATCGCAATGAGAAGAAGAAAAAATATTTGTGCTCCAATTCATTCGAACAATAATGTTCATAGTCGTCCATCACATCAATAATCATCATTTCGATTAATTCACAAATCTCGGCTATGGACAGACGACGACGACGACAATAACAATCGAAAGCCACTGTGGCGGATGAGAAAATTTTCTATTTTTTTTCTTTCCCTCTTTTTCGGTCGATTGATTGATTGATTGATTGATTGATTGATGGATATTGGACTGTATATTGTGCAATTGTATATTGTATCGTTATAAAAACAGACAAACAATTCAGATGATTGGGGTTGGGCCATTGATATTTGATCAGGTAATTGATGAATGATCTGTATTGTGGCCAAGCCTCATGAGAGTGGTATATGAAATATGAAATAATAACCTCTTTTTATTTATTTACACTAATTGATTGTAATTAACTTGAACGAAAATCATCACCAATTTCTTGGACATAGCGCATCTGACGGATGGATGTGCCCGAAAGTTTCATACTTAATCTCATGATAGCGGCAAACGAAAGGCCAAAAATACAGCCAAGTGTTGCATTGACAATTGTTGCACGTAGTCCAAGATGTGCTTTCCAAATCACACCAGTCATAGCACCGGCCATGGCACAATCTGGATAATATAAATCATTCCGATAAGTGGCGGCCATTACTAATGAGCCAACAAATGTTCCGGCAAACAATCCATATCGAATGGCATGTTTCGTACTTCGGGTAAATAATTCAATGTATATTGTATCGGTTAATTGACGATTTGCTTGATGTTTACCACGAAAAACGTTTGCATTATGTTTCTGAACAAATGACTGGAAAACTTGTCGATTTTGTGTGATGGCACCCAAAACGAAACCGCTGAATGCACCCATACTGATTGCATTGGTGATGATTTGAAATTCAACATTACTCTCACCACGATTGAATGATTGCCAACTTTTCTTTATTCGTTGCCATCCAGTTTCATTTGGATCGATTGGCACTTGAACCTGTTCGATGGATTCGAATCGAAATCTATCCGCTATTCGTTGCATGTATCCAACCAACGGATGAACATTCATCGACGATTGTTCAGTATTGTTGTCGGGCATTTTGATTTTCAAATTCCATACATACAAACACAAGATTCTGATCACTTTTAATTTATAAAAACAGACGATTATCACATGTGATCCATGTATCCAAACATCATGACTGTTCATACGATACGTTACGTTGTATAATGATGACTATTCTCTATTGTACATTCGATTTGTTGAAATAGTAATTATTTTGTTCATTTGATCATTACTCAGTGTTTGTGAATCAAATTTTTGTGAAAATGTGAAAAAAGTGTTTAATTTGTTTGTCCTTTTTCAAATAAAACATAAAACATCATCATCATCGTCATTATCATTATAATTGTTTGCATTTATCAAGAACGATTAATTGCAATTTAATCATTATGATGATGATCATGATGATGATTATCCCTGCTCCCCAGAAGAAGAAGAAAAAACGTTTTATTTTATTGTAAGTATTCAGTAAGCAGCAAAGAACATTTTTCGCTGGTCACATATTATCTTATCACATGCTTTCCCCACTGATGTTTTTTTTATTATTCCAGCTATTTTCACAAACAACAAAGATCAGATGATGATGACCAATTAGTGATGGGTCGCGACCAGAAAATAAATTTGCTCATAAACCATTGACATTTTGATATTGAAAGAAGCATTTTTTTTTCTTACCACATCTTCACCATTGTTGACGGTGATTTGCTGTATCGTTCATAATAATAATGGAAAGACGAAAACGAAGAAGGGTAGAATTTTGATGACCAAATTTCATGGTCGCTCAACCGTATACAAAGACAATCACACACGACATGCAAGTGTGGTCGACCACCGGTAGTAAAATGAAATTGAACATTGCCATAATGTATAAACAATCGTTTCTAATAAATGATCTATATGTTTACATTGAGCACAACAACAACCACCACCATCATAATCATCATCATCGTCATCATCTATACACAATGTATCATGATCACTATGAAAATGAGCAAATCTAATCAAGCTAGGAAAAGGAATAAATTTATCCAAGTAAGTGTAACCTACGCCATTCTCGTGTCTCTATGTCTATGTGTGTGTGTGAGTGTCTGCTTTCTTCTGTGATGCCAAATTCAATTTTCAATGATTTTGTATATTGACAAAAAGCAATGGTTGGCTCATTATGATCAATAATAATTTTGTTTTATCAGACACATTCACACTCAGTCATATTAATGTTGTCGTTGTATTAATTAAATGATGATCATAAACGAATTCTATATGCTTTGGATATTAGGAGAGGATTAAATATCATCTCGAATTCATGAATGTGCTCATACTACTACTGTTGTTGACCAGTAATGAGGTCATTAATCATGAGGCTATCCTTGTTTTAAAACTCAGATTAACCCCCTCAACCTCTTTTGAAGATGAATTTCATTTCTTGTTAATGATGATGATTGTGATTGTGATGAGATAGAATGAATGGCCAAATAGCATGACCAATGGTGATTCGAAATGGTTGTCACCATTGTCATTCATCCATTTCTTCTTCATTGACCAGATGGGGTCTATGTTTCCTTTGAATTGATGATTATTATAATGATGATGATGATGCGAATAAATCGATATGTTGAACAAGAATGAATCTATGAATTTGACAATTAATAAATTGATCAATTTTCTGTTGTTGTTTTATTCGCTATCGAATTAGCTCTAACCTGTTGGATATACGATTGGCACACATTTGGCACACATGAGATAATTTGCTGTTGATTTTGTTATTTTGTTATTCGATCCTATTGGGTTATTTGATCTCAACTTGCCTATCATCATCTATCTGATCATTCAGTCAGTCAGTCAGTCAATCCATTGTCTATTGACATGAAGGTAATTGTAATTTCCATTCTGTCATCATCATCATTGTTGTTGTTGTTGTTGGCCGGTGAAAAAAGAAAATTTAAACTTGCACATTCAACACTCAATGGTGCATAGAATCGAATCAAATTTTTTTTTTTGTTTTTTGCACAAAACAAAATTGATCGAAATGAATTGACTGAATCGGAAAAAAGACAAACTAAAACAAGCCACTAGATTGATATTTAAACAGATGATGAAATGTGCAAGGCTATAATCTTGTTCTCATCTCGAGAAATTACCATAAACTGACTGTGCATATTGCATATTTTGTTGTTTTGTTGTTTTGTTGATATTTGTGAGCTATTTTTGTTTTTCTTTACCAAACACATTGGTGGACGAAATAATAATGTGGGTAATAACCCTCTTCTTTTGCTTTTCGATCCAAACATAGTTTGCCTGTGAGAATTTTCAAATTCCTTTTTGCTTCAATGAAAGAAATGAGGCAGCACATATCAAAATTTTTTCTCAAAAGAAAATTAGTTGTACCATGCAAAACTTGTGATGTAGTGAGCCAGTACTGGATGGTATCATTTGGAGAATGAATTTGATTGAGCTAAATAATAAATCCACAAAACTTGATTGAACAATCGAAGATTCCGCCAATGCTTCAATTCATTTCTCTAAACTAATTTGGACACAAACTCCACTCGGTCGATGATGATGATGATGATGAGAATTTCGAATGAAAAGTTTGAGAGTAAGGTTCCTGATGTTGATTGAAATTCAATAAGCGAACAATGATTTGTGATTGATTTTGATTTTGAGCCACTTGTGTTTTATGTGAATTTCTCAATGAGAATTATAATAATTTGGTTACATTTGTAAACATTATGAACACTTGAACCAATCAATTTGTTTGCGCAATGGATATATAGTAATGTGAAAAACCAACAATGATTATGGCAAGATTGTTGTGCAAATACAGTCAAATGATTCAAAATTCCATGCCGAACAAGTTGTTGTTGTTGTTGTTTATTATACATTCATTCACTTGAATTACGATTCAAATAGACAAGTTCAGCACATAACAATAAGACAATAAACACACAGGTTAGATTTTCAAATGTAAAAAATTCAAGCAAACAACAACATAATACAATCGTACTATTAGGAGATATGCGTGATGACATTTTCGTGATATGGATAGAAAGATACCGGCTTAATATCCATTTTTGTTGTCGATTATAATACCGGAAATTTTGCTTTACTTTTTTTCATTAAAAACTTTATTCAATTGAATTTAATTTGATTCATCATCAAATGTTAAGTAATTCGGTCATTAGGATGTGTCATCTGTGGTTATAAGGGCGTGTTATTCACCGGCCATCAACATTATTATCATCAAGATGATGATGAACGGTAATTGGTTTGTGGCTGACTTGCTAATTGAGTGTATTAATTATTTTAGCGACAGATCACTTGTAATCTCCATACGATGAACATTGAAAGAATGTAGGATGGTTTCGTTTGAATCCATATTTGCATCCATAACTCATATTGGTGAGTGAACACCACTGACCTTAAATTATGTCCAGCTTTTCATGAATGAATCTGTTTACAAATTAGCCTCATTTTTCCATCTATCTCCAGTTTAGTTTTGTTTCATCAATGAACACAGAGATGTGAATGGATGAGATTGCGTGTGTGTATGGAATAACCATGAACAACAAGTATGAGATGAGAATGTGAAAAACAAAACGAAACGAAACGAAATGAAAAAATGCACAGTCCATCACGATGATGATGATGATGATGATCGTTATTTTTTTCTTTGCTCGGTTCTCATTATATAGTTAGGGTTTAGATTCTCTCATTCAATCGAATTGAATAGTCCATGGATAATGATGAGTGATGAACGAAAAAAATTCGTTCAACCAATTTCTGATCGACCATCATCCTCATGATTGTTGAAAATTCACACATTTTTCATCTGCAAAAAATGAAATGAAATGAAATGAACTGCAATTCAATTAGAATTGTTGTTGTTGTTGATGATAAATTTTCTCACCACATATAATTATGATTATAAACCACCATCATCATTTCTTGTTGTAATGAATATCATTATCATAGCATTGAACAAAATGGCAAAAGATTCATCATTGGTCAATCAATTTGTCTATTACCTTGTTATTTATAACCCCATATAGCAAAATGAAAGCATCGTTTTCAAAGTGTTAAATTTTTGTTAAAACCATTTTCTGGTCAGTCAATTTTTGAATTTTTCCCACTAAAAAGTCAATTTTCAGCAGTAGTAGCAGTGTGTGTGTGTCTGTTTGCAACAAGTAGCTAGTGAAAATATTAGCAAATGTGGATTTTTTCAAATTTTTAAATTTTCGTTTCAAAAATTGTTGATCATTGCATTGGCAATATATATCGGATTTGATCCCAAGTCATCACATTTCATACATGATCGTGATGGAATGTAAAAATATGTACATTTTAGCAGATAAATTCAAAGTTACACCCGTGATTTCTTTTCACCTGGTCATATTATTTATGTGCCAGTAATAAGTTTGTGGTCAAATGAACCTCGAAACAATGAGATTAAATGAATGGATGAACAGCACTAAAATTGGCTAAATTTTTGTCCGAAAAAAATGTTGATCTAAGGATCTGAGGTTTTGTTTTATTTTCTGTATTTTCTGATTGGCAAAAAGTGAATCGACGAGCGAAAAAAAGTTTGATACTTTTTTGATGGTTGTAATAATAGTTATGATATGACAAGTTAATACCAATGAATGAATGTTTTTTTTGCCCATTACCCCAACGAATCGATAAGCTCAGAATTCTCATGACATTCGGTTATTCGGTCGGTCGTAGAAGAGTTACGATAATAAAAAACAAAGGAAGGAATGATCTCGAATGGATTTCATTCTCTTTTCATTAGGTGACTGGGTTATAAAATCACACAACAAAGTGTAATCCTTGTGAATGGGGAATAAGTTTGCCTATGGACAGGATTAATTTGATGGTGATATGATGAACATGGACATACGGATGGATAGAAAGACGATAAATTATCGAAATTATAGCCATTGTTTTGCTCTCATTTTTTCTGCTTGTTTGCTGCAACTGAAAGAAATCTGAAGTTTTTTTTATTATTATAATTCGAATGACCAACCGAATGCCCCGCACAATTTTGTTAGATATGCATGAACAGAGTGATGATATTCATATTCATCATTCATTCATATTGGACATTTCACATCGTTAACATGAGTCTCAAGTCATTATCTATGAAAGTAAGGTGTATGACATATGCATGATTTTTTGTCATATTTTGTTTGCTTCTTTTTCTTTGACTTGGTACGAAACAAATCGAAAATGCGATTATCTTGATCGTTAGGTCGGTATTATCCATTTATTCATTTCCCGTTGTGTTGTTGTTGATTTCAGTAATCCATAAGACACGATTTGATTTGATGATGACAATTTTTTAACTGTTTTTTTTTGATGGAAACGAGTTGAATTTATTATTCAACCAACACAGAATATAAACTACCGGTGATGGAAAAGAATATGTCATTAGATACCGGTAACGATAATGATAATGATGGCCAATACTCATGTTATGGAATGATTGACATGAACACTGTTTATGGCGTTGTTTCATCACACACACACTCACGTTTGACATGAAATTTTCGATCAAGTACCGGATATAGTGTTATAGGTAGATAATAGCTGTCATTGACAGAATAATGATTATTCAACATTCATTCGTTGTTGTGGTGGATGTGACAACCAAATTGATAACACCTTTTCTGTTGTTATATCGTACCAGGAACATTGCTGAATTTGTAGTATAAGAGCTATATTTAAATATTACTGTTGCTCGTCATCCCACACACACATATACAACACACACACACACACGCAGCTTTGAAGATTGTCTAATTAACCCTCTTTCATTGTCATTCTCGCTGATGATGTTGATGATATTGAGTAACAGAGAGGTACTTTGATGAGAGATGTCAATCCGAATCGAATCTCTTTTCCACCTTATTATTATTATTATTGTTGATCATCATCAGCGTTCGTGGCTATTGTCTTGCTGCCACACATTCTACTATCATCATTTTGATATTAGCTATTCGAAAATTGTTCGTTCTGTGTTTTGTTTTTTTTTC